CTAACTCCCGATTGCGTCCCAGCATCTTCATTTCCGCGTACCATTTTGCCAGCTGTGGCGTAAATGCTCGGCAAGGTGGACACCTGAAGCGGTACATTGCCAGACTGCATGACACTGCATGCTGTCACTCTTGATGCTATCCACCGTATGTGCATTCATGGGAAGCATTGAGAAGCCACATACATTGAAGGCAACATCGCAGCCGTTAGCATGCTCTTGAGTTAGTGGCAAGCATGCTTCGTACGACGCTCAAGATAGGCATCGGGAGACATACAGAGCGATGCCAAATCATGATATTTCATTACGCTGTCGCAGATTTGTGCCGTGCAGGTGTTAGCTCGCATAGAGGTGAAAGACACACAAGTATCCAGTACAAGACAGGTTCTATGTTCAACTCAAGCAGGAGTCGCATCACGAGCGGAGAGACTACAGCACTGCCCAGCTCTACTCAAACCTTTTAGCAAGGGCATTGATGCGACCACGGATGCAGCAAAGAGGATGTGCAAAGGCCCAGCCGGGTACATCACGACTCTCTTGTGTGTCTTGCCGTCTGTCGCCGTGTTGTCTGAAGCCAGTCTGTGCCGAGATGCCAGTGCGCTGAAAAGTACAAGCCCAGCGTCTTGCCTTCCTCGGAAGGGCATGCACTCACAGTGCTACACCGTGGTGTTCAAGAGCATTGGGTACAAAGCCTCACCAGCCAGGCGTCAAGCTTCTTCTTGTCCACAGTCTCGTCCCCATCCATAAACTGGTCACCCAAAGCTTCCTCCAGCGAGCAACATGTGCACTGGCCCCTGTGCTTGCGCTGAAGGTCCGATTTTTGTACCCTCAGCTCATTCAGTAGCCCATCCTCCGACAAGTGCTTCTAGCGGAAAGCTTTGTGCAGGTGTGCTGTCTGCAAAGCTGAGACGTCACGTGGAGTGCACCGTCTCACGAATTGACTACCTGGGACGACAGCAAACCAGTATGTGCTCAGTTTCAAGCCAAACCAATGTTTGAACACATAAGTACTTGTATGTATACACACATAAAATAAACAGGCAGATGGATGGGCAGCACGCAACCAATATTTCAGAAAGTAGGACGAACCCCGAACAACAACTGTAGGACCTGCCGAAAACTGTGTCGGCTTACCCAAAGTCACTGATTCCGCGCATCTTCCTGCTGAAAGCAGGCTTCTGTGTGCCACGGGGATCTAGAGTGTCCTGGAAGGTGGGCGGTATCCACGGAAACTTTTTGCCTCGCAGGGATGGCGGTGATGGGTCTGAGGCGAAGTATCATTTCTTCAATGTCTGTTCAGCAACGCAGGCCGCTGGAGGTGCAGAGTAATGTGGTGTCTATGGTCGCTTCCAGTCCTCCCAGGCTTCGTTAGGACAAGACCATCATTCGTGCCAAGTCAACGGCACTTGAGCGACGGTTTCTGGCAGTACTTTGCAGGAAATGCCTCAAAGCTTCTCAATCTGCTGTTGGTACCTGCTAATCGAAGTCGAAGACACACCTTGATGGGAAAAGGCCTTCCGGATCTGACATGACTGCGCTGCGCCCGTCTGTCGTGATGACGGAGCCATTCTCCGCGTTTATGATGACGAACCTGTTCTTGCACATGTAATATCCAAGCCAGCTGCAGGCGATGCATTGCTTTACGAGACCTGCAGATGAATTGGATTTCTGCACTTGTACTTGCTAGCTGTTGTAGCCAAGCGACGTCGGAATTCCGCTGACCTTGAACTTTTTGGAAAGGTCGGCCTGCTCAGGGGCAACGGTGATTCATGTCTCTCATAACTGAGAAGAGCAACGTTGATCAGCAAGCCGACTGCAAGGGCAATGATTCGGAACATCCCGTGGAAGCAGCTGGTCTGATATTTGCGCCTTTTTTGTCCGCTCGCCGAAAGGCAGTGCGAGCCATGGCCTCGACATGCCAAGCGAGACTCGTTGCGCCTGTTGCAGGCCCTGTTGCTACGATTCTGCAGGCAGACGGCAAGCCAGAGTGCAGTCCACACTTCCTACCTGTCAGAAGGAGCCATATACTCAGCCTGCACGAAGTGAATCCACAGGTGACACAGGCACTGTTGTGGAAGGGCCACCGCTCGTACACGCTTGGGACAGTAAGACAAGAGATCTAGCAGACCAGTGCTGACGAGGTGCATTTCGCCGAAGTAACTGTTGAACTCTTCTTCGGAGTCTCAGCATCAGGCACAGCATCGGAGGCCAGATGCGAAGGGAGAGGCGGGCATCAAACGAAAAGGTGCAGTTGCACCCGGAACGCGATTCTGCCAGGGAGCTGTCCGAGGATACGAAAACGATTTCAAGGCCCTTGTCTTTTAGATGAGCCTTGTATGCCTCCGCCAGCTTCGGTGTGAAGCCACCTCAGCAAGACCGCCAAATCAAGCGTGCGCTGGAAATATGCGCTCGAAGTGACGGTCTTTATCTCTGAGAAACGCGTTCCAGGACTTTACTACTTTGCTACGGATGCTACATGACTTACAAACAGCATGCGCGAGAAACAACTGGCTCTCATCCAGTCTTGATTCACATCTCCATGGTTTCGCTCATTTCACGATGCATTAGGCGCAGCTCAGGCACGGCACGGAGGACACCTCGGATGAGCAGAAGTCCCAAGAGCTGTGCGGACAGGCTACCTTTGGTGCAAAGCCTCTTGGAAGGCAGGCTGGGGCTCTGGTCTGTCCTCCGTTCTGAATTGGGAACATGCTCCTGGTCTATCAAGTCTTTGTCTATCCACTCGCCGCGAATTGAAGAGGTGACTGTTCTGGTCCTGGCCTCCCCTCCGCGATTGCAGACTTGGAGGAGCTCCGCATGCGCAAGTCAAGCTACACAGTAACAAACAAGCCAAACTCGCCAAGGCATGATGTACAGGGCCAGGGCTATATGTTGAATTCCTCCCACCCTCACAGAAAAAGCTACTGTAGATCATTGCATCCCAAGGCTTCTATCTGCATGCACAGGGGGTGTATTGCGCACTGTTGAGCATGTGCACATCATTTCGGAATTTCAGCCCGGTGACCAGTGGGCCGAAAAGTAGAGCCCAACAGCCTTCTTGCCTTCGAAAACACTCGCCGTGTCGACCGATTCGCCTGCCACTTCAAGCTCACAGCATACAGCACGGGCACAGTGATTTGTGGACTACTCTAAGTTTCTAAAGCTGGCCGACTAGCCTCCAGCCGCGGCACCATCGGCTTTAAGGCCTCCAGATTTGAGGAGCTTGTCCTGAGCTCTGGCTGTGACTGGTGGGAAGCCACACTTGCCCGAAAAGCAAAGCTCACGAGCTTAAGCCTGTCATGGTCACAGCTACTTCCAATCAGTTTTGAGCCGGCAAATCTCGAACAAGCAGCGCCGAGAAGTTGAATCGCAGACGACTTTGCCTCTGCAGATGCACCACCTTGGACGGATGCCGGCTTTCTGAAAACACCTATTGAACACGGATGCTGTTTCGCTCGCCTCGCATGTCGAATCGTTTCGGGCGTGCAAGGAAGCATCATAAAGAATTCTGCTGCACCTGCTGCCAAGAGTCTTCCCATTTCGGCCACTGCCGAAAAGAAGGCTCGACTGAACAAACTCTCTTGGAAGCCGCTGGAGCTGTAAAAACGCAGCGGCAAGGCTTCACTGTGAATTTGGTAGGGAACCGACTCGCTCATTGCACCGGGGCCCAAAAATTCGCGGGCTGCGGCGGCAGACACGCGCACTTCGTGTACCGGGGACTGTGGCACGGAAAGGTCCAGGTTCGGGCAACAGGCATGCGTGCCCTGATCGCACTGGACTCGCGCCCGAGTGCGACAAATTCGCGCCGAGAAGTGGTGACTCACGAACGGTGGACCGATTCGACGCTGAACGCTCCTGCCTGGCTTCTCGTGAAGCCCTGGAGTGATCTTATCTTGCCCACGGGGGATCCCCCGGACCGAGCATGGTCTTGATTGTCCTCCGCGCCCAAAGACACTTGCAACTAAGTGTATCTCAGCATCCGAAGACGGTTCTTGTTCGATCTGCTGCAGGTGGGCCAGGACAGTGCTGCATCAGGGCGTGGGAAACCGCAAAACGTCGAAAGGAACAATGGGACATCGATGCCAACACCCTACAAGCTTGATGCAGGGTAGGCAGCAAAAACGAAGGACTGCAAAACCCCACAGGCTCAGGAGTGATACCACCTATACACCCCAAAAGTAGGTGAGCGGCCAAATTAACCCTGAGCTAGAGTTAGGAGATGCGGTGGGGTAAGGGTAGCTGCGCTCGAACCATCGCGAGCGCTGGAACCGGCCCAGTGCCCGAATTTGAATGGCAGTGTTCTGTGCTTGAATCGGCGGTGATCGAACTCGTGACATGCTCGAAACGCGAGTAATGCTCGTGCTTGAATCGCGGTGCTGTTTACCTTTCTTCTGGAATCTGGAATCTTCCATGCGGTGAGGAAAGCCGGAATCCATGCTGAAGACCACAGTGACAAGAAGACGATCTTATACAGCAACTTCGACTCACACCAGTCCTCATCAAGTCCAAGTCCTCATCAAGTCCAAGAAAGACCCCTTTCGTGCTACATGTCAACATGCCGTGTCAATGTGCTCATGTTGGTCTCTCTGGAATGTGGCCCTGTTGCGTGATGGCTCGGCAATTTTTGAAAATGTCTGCGTGCACTGTGAGGCCTTTGGCCACCCGTCGCAGAAGTGAGACAGAATCTATTAAAACGTTCACATAATTGTCGAGAGCCTTCGCTGCCGGACCATCCGCTTGCAAGAGCATCGGAGTGTCCATTTTTCAAAGCACTACATGTTGAAAAATCCTGATTCGGTTTCTTTAGCTTCGGCTCTTGGTCGTCCTTGTGGATTCAGTCCACTGACTGCCTCACCCCTGTTGTGGGACAAAATGTAGGACTCCAATGGTGCAGTGCCTTCTTGCCCATGATGAACCTATCTTGAAATAATGAAAGCCTACTGCTCCAAGCCTGGAGTCCCGAGGCATCTCCGCTGCAAGATTTCCACTCAGGACCGGGAAGTGGCTCACGGTTGCGAAGCCGTCGGCGCCTGGTCTCGATCGCTGCCCTAAACCCCCGAAACCCTAAAGCCCGCAAGCCCCTCCAACCCCCAAAGTCCCTAAAGCCCTGGAAGCCGAAGCCTTCGGCTTCGATGGAGACCGCGAGTGGCTGCGCTCCGTTCGCTCCGAGCGCTTTCCGGGAGATTGGCTCCCAGAGCGGCTCCGTGAGCTGGCGCCTCCAAAGCAAGCACTTCATCATTTATACGATAACATATTTGTATAAGAGCAATGATGCTCGATGCTCATAACAATAAGAGTAGTAAGAATAAGGACAGTAGGAATAATAATCAGAAGAGGAACAACAACAACAACAGCAACAACAACAACAGCAACAACAACAACAACAACAACAACAACTAAAACATACAACACAAATAAGGCTGATAGTACCAAATACAAGCCTCAGAATAGTAGCAGAAACAGTGCCAATACCAACAATCATCGTCATAAGTAGCAGTGATCAGTAGTAGTATACTACTACTGGTCATAACAATTTTAGTTAGGATACCGATAACAGCAGCAGTCATGATACTAGTAATCGTAATAATGGTAATAATACTGGTACAGTGCGCGGGGAAACGAGGGCCGATATGACCCATCTTGTTGTTTTGGGGGTGGGCAAGATAGGCGTGCAAAGCTTGCTAACAAACCATTTGCACCACTTGGGAGGGGGGGATCTTGGTCATATTTTGCCTCGCACCACTGGCACAACTTGGGGACCAAGATGGGCAAGATCGGCAAGATTAGCAAAATCTTGGTAAACAGCGGCCCTCAACTCCCGGCACAATGTAATAGTATAACAATAATAATTCGGTAATCACAACAACAACAACAATAATCATTACAAGAACAAGAATGACAAGAGCAATAGCCTTTAATCAATGGTGACAATGGTAATTATGATGACAATGATCACGCATGTAAACGTATGTGTGAATATATATATATATATATATATATATATACATACATATATACACATACATGCACACATGTGTACGCATGCATGAATGATGAATGAACGAACGAATAAATTAATCAATGAATGAATGAATGAACGAATGTATATGTATGGATGTATGTACGTATGTATGTATGTACTTCTGTATTATCTTATGTTCCCTGGCTGCTATACTCATCGTCCTCATCGCCAATACTCGTAAGTTTGGTAGTGTTGCTAATGTAGTTTGCGCTTGACGCTGCTGAGGCCAGAGCAGCCTGTAGCTTCAGAAGCACTTCATTGAACCATTTCAGGAAGAGGGATTTGGATGTGGGCAGCCCGCCCGTTCAAGAGTACAAAGTACCTCTGCTGCAAGAGCAGAACTTTGTGCTGGAGCGAACGAGGTGACAGGCTCTTCAAGAGCCAACTCTCGAGATGGTTGCAGCGGAATGACCAGGTCTTGTGATTATTCTGTAGCTAGTCCTGAGGGTCACCTGAGCGGGAACAACGAAAGAGCATTCCGACAGCATTCTGTTTAGGATCTTCGGGATGGGCCTCGGCTTGCATTCCATTAGGAGCGTCCGCATTTAAGACTTTGTAGTTTCCGCCCGCTCAGCAGTGAATCACGGCCTGCTGGTACAGGCGCCGTCGGCAGCACCACAGGGGCCCCTGGACGCTCCAGGATGCTCCTGACAAAACTTCAGGGATCCGTGGCTGCGGGGGATGAGCGGCTGCTTGAATGTGTTTGAGGATTTTCTCGGGTTGCGGCTGCTGCCATGTTCTTTCGTGCCGAATTTCAAGACTTGGGTGGCAGTCGTAACCACCAAGCCAAAAAAAGGTACAGGTTCAAAAAGCTCGGTGAAGACGCCTCGCATTCAGGTTCGATATGCCCTGGATGTTGTCGAGATTGATGTTCGGATCGTCGCTGCCTCAGACTTCCGAAAAACAAGCAAAATCGGTCCGCGACATGACACGGACCAAATTGACGACACGGTCCTGCTTGTCTTGGGACTTCGCAGGCTTCACACCGAATCTGAAACATCAGATGCCGAGCTGGAACACTGCTCGGAACATCTGAGCTTCTGGCCACTTAGTGAGAAGGCAGCCTTCTTCTTGGCCTTTCAGGCTGTCCCAAAGGGGCAAGAGGGCGCAAGTGTGCGAATCCTTGTGGGACCCGACCTGATCCACAGCATCTTGAAGAAGATGCCCGGGCCTGCAGATTTGGCGGCCCCGTGGGGGAGGCAACAGCTGGGCTGCCATGCCAGCTGTGCTTGCACTTGTTGCCATGGCCTGCCCTCCATGTGCTGATAAGGCCCGGGCATCAGAGAATTGGCCTCAAGCTGGCTCTCGTTCCACGCAGCCAGAGCCAATGGAGATGACAAGGACACAGCATGTCAATGCTGGGGCGCTTGCAACATCCTGCACGGATGGTGGGGCACCTGCTATGGCTCCCCAACTTCGGCAGGCTTTTTGCAGCCCGTTGCATCTCTCTTGTCATCCAGCAACAACTGAAAGGACCGCAGAGTACCCCCGTTCCGAGCAACGCCGATCAGCGGGCACGACTCGTGCCTCCCAGACTAGATCGCATCGCCTCAGTCGGAAGTGGCTGGCATCGTCGCAAGAAACTCGGAGAGACTCAGGGCACTTTTGCTCTGCCAGGTTCAGAGAATTAGCTGATTAGGTTAGGTTTAGGGGAGTAGTCTTTGACTGTATTCATCGCTTTGGTGCAGGCTGACTCGCGGGACTTCCGGCTGTGTTGCGCAGAAGCCACTTCCGCGCCAGGCTCTGTACGATTGCATTTGTAACAGGCGCTTGGTGGTGATGGTTACTTCATTTCTGCGACCATGGATCTTTTCATTTTCGCGCTTGCTACTTGCAAAGTGTATTTAAACTACCTTGGCGTCTGCAGCCACTCTACGGCTGTTCACATTGACACAGTCAGAAGCACCGTCGCGCATTTATACATTCAGAAGTAGAAAGCACACTGTTCCAGAAGACTTCACGCTGGGATTCCGGCCTGCAGAAACAGCGTGGCATCTTTGAAGGACACCCCAGACTGGCGCAAGGCTGGCGATTCTTGAAGACAGGCTCCCCGTCGGGATCCCTGTTGGAGTAAACTGCTGCTGACACAGCTTCCTACCAACAAAACCCAGTGCAGAGCAACCCCGATGTTCGGATGCAGATTAGGCTCTGAGACGCGAACGACCGAAAATTAGCCAAGTCTTCGGATCCCTAAGAAAACTTCAGCTGCCAACACCAGCAACATCGCCCAGTCATATGCAAGACTAGAGCTCGGCTATCCAGCCCTGACAGACACTCACATGTGCATCATGTGTGAGTATATAAGCATTTAACTTTAAGTATGTCTGCATGCAGGCGTGTATGCATGTATATTGCAACAGACATATACATATTATTACCACAAACAGGCAAAACAAAAGTGTGTGTGTGAAATATATTCAAACATGTATTCCCGCATGATGTCTGCAAGCATGCCCACACCAAGACAGACTGCTCGGTTCTCTGCAAAGCTTGCAACACTGAAGACAGGTAAGCACCAGAGCCTCGACCATACACTGGCGCAGGTCCATCAGAGCCCTGCCAGCAAATATAGCCAGTGGTCACTCTGTAGTCACTACTCACTGGTCGTTGCTATGTTGTCTACGACCTGTCCCAGTAATGCACACGGAACGGAAATCTTGCAAGAGCAGGCCCCGACGAATGCTCACTCGTGGCGAACTCTTTTCGCACCTGTCTTCCTTTTCTTCCGCCGTTTGCTCGCCTTGCTGCCATCGATGTTTCGTTCGGGTCAGGGCAATGGCTATGTCACTAGTGAAGGAAGGTACACAAAGCTCTCATACTCAAAGACATAGAAGCCGAATCCGCAGCAGACACCTGCAAAGAGACCTGCTTTGCATGCTGTTCCAAGTCCCCACCGAGCCTTCTGTGCCATTCCTGCAGAGTTGGGCTGGGACACGGGCAGTGTTGGGCGTGTCTCACGACTCAAAGTTATCGGTCCCCCACACCCTTCCGCCTGCCTGGTAGACAATCGATTCATTCGTGCCTTGGTGCAGCTGACGTGCTGACATCCAGCTCGGGGGATCGGTAGGTCTTTGCTTTCCTTTTGCTTTCTTTTCCACAGCCGTCGTTCGAGGCAGAACAAGCACAGCCCTGACCTGACCGAGCGGTCAGATTTTATAAGACATGTCGCCCTGGGATTCCCGCTGACATATTCATGAAGGCGGCATCCACACTGCCAAACTTCCTGGCCGCAGGGATGCCGTTGGCCTCATGTTACGAACCATGCCGTAGTGGCTTGTGTTCGTATTCTGCTCCAGGTCATGTTTACCAGTTTACCATCTTGGAGCCCCTGCTCTCCTGGCATACTGCGATGTCGTGGCACCCTAAGCGGGCCTGTCAAGGCTCTCCTGAACGCGCTTCACCAAGACCTGGAAGAGTCTCTGACGGATCGCTCTTTGCTCATCTCAGGCAGGCGAACATTCTCAAGCTGCTTCTCAGCAGTTGCAGGTGTCCTCCCGCCTCAGCCTCGCTGCCCGCTTGCTCCGGAGGTGGACGTTTTGGAGGCTCCCTTGATGCCTCAATGACACCGAGTCAAGGAGTCAAGTGAGAGTGCGAGGATCGTGCAAGTCACACAAGGCCCCGGGCGGAGCGAGACGAACGAGACGAGCGAGGGGCTCGGCTTTCGGCTTTCCTGGTTTCCATGATGCATTGCTACCGGCACCGCAAAGCCGGCACTCGTTTGGAGGGAGGACGAAAATGCCGTCGAACCTGCTGTGGTACTGTCCCTTCCGGTCTGCCTTGGCAACGCCTCCAATGCGTCGGCTTCCAGGCCAGAATCATCTGGAGCCTCCTCAGAACGACATCCCTTCCTGCCCCGGATTCCAGAATGCTTTTGTTCGCCTCGACCTCACCACCTGCCTAAGCCCGAAGCTCTTGTCAACACGGGCCAGATGAAGACGAAGGCCGAGACCCTCTCGGGGTCCGGTCGGGAGAAGGGATGCTTGGGCCAAAGCGTTCTCGGGCGGCTTGAAGGGCTTGGCGAAGCCCTGTCGACCAAGCTGGCATAGAAAAGGCAGGCTTGAACTGCGCGAATAAGGGCAGTCCCGACACTCTCCAAACAGCCCGACGCTGAAGCGCCAGGAAGTGACCATGGTTGCAAGACGGCAGCAGGCGCCAGCCTTGCTGTCAGTGCTCAGCACGGAGACGGAGAGAACATCCTGGAGACTCCTGGCATCTGCGTCGAACAAGACGTTGCTTGGCAGGTAAATGGAGAGGATTGAGCAAGAGCAAGAGCAACAAACTTGCGACAATCGTGACGGAAGCGGAGTCCGGGAACGGGCTCATGCATTCTAAGTCGTCGTCGGCTTGGTGGCAGCAGCAGATGCAGGTGCTTCAAACATCAGTAGCAGTAGCAGTCGTCGTAGTATTGGTGGTAGAAACAGTAGTAGTAGTCGTCGTCGTCGTCGTCGTAGTCGTAGTCGTAGTAGTAGTAGTAGTAGTAGCAGCAGCAGCAGTAGCAGCAGTCTTGGCAGACGTAGCAGTCGTCGTCGTAGTTGTAGTGGCAAGTAGTAAGTCGTAAGTAGGATCTAAACCCCAGCAAGTAGTATGTAGTGGGCAGCAGCAGCTTCTGAGGGAGCTGCAGCAGCGTGTCTAGCGGTGAAGTTGATGGCAGCAGCGGCGATGGTGATGAGCAGGATGGCCACATCGAAGCCACTAACTGCGATGATATGAGATGATAGTATGCTGGTGATGCTGATGTTTTGGGATCCTGATACTGCAGCCATCACCATCAAACTCAGCACAACACGTTTGCAAAAGATACGATGCCATAACCTTGAACATAATGCTGCTGGTGCTGGCGCCAACTACGAAGATGGCACAAAGAGTATGAAACAATGCCATTTGCGCATCACAGCATCCCGAAACCACCGGCACATGTCGGGTTTACTCGACTGCTTCAGGACCTGCAGCTTGTATGGCACGCATCACTTGAGTTGACAATAGGGGACAGCTTGTGCACACGAAAAATCCAGCTGTTGTCTGGAACGCGGTCGTTGACTCGCCTCTTGGATCTCGGTGCATGGAAGTGGAAGGGGAAACTCCACCAAAAGGCGCTCGCGCCTCGGGTCACAACTTGTATGAGCCCATCGCAGGCGAGAAACCGCACATGCCTCTACTTGTAGCGGCAACATGCCATACTCGACCTCAAAAGACCAAGAGCGCCCAAGCAATTCGTTCTTGGCAGCGGTCACTCGACAGGAACCAAAAGCTCAAACTCTGTCACATGGGAGTGTATCAACTGCAGTGTTCAGTTGAGGCTGTTGGAGTCGTTTGGCTGCTCCGCAGAGACTTCACTTGCATACTAAGGCTCATGTAATCCCCACCGGGTTGACAGCAATGGCTGACACGTCAGCAAGTGCAGCAGTGGCAACTTACGACATCTTGCTGCTGCGGGCCGCACATCATCCGCATCAGCGCGCACCTCAGGAGAAAGATCAGCTCAGAGGTTTCACTCTGCTCAACGACCGGACGAAGAGTTGCAGAAAGGGCGCGGCTCGGCTCGGAGACATATTCGCCTTCGATGCTACCCGGGAGGCCACCTGCGACTGGAGGTCGTGCAGTTGCTGACGGTGTGTGGGGCCGGCCGAAGTCTTCTGAACTTCTACCACGCTTTCAGCGGTCCTCGCTGAAGACAGCACCCGGCCTCCGACCCAGGCGGTGACCTGGACAGGAAAGAGCTCTATGCACCTCTTTAGTTGGATGTGTGGTTTGTCCACCAGCAGTTACGTACTTAAACAGACAAGCAAGATCATCCCGTCACGCACGAAACGCATGTGCATGTGCACCACAAACAGGCAGGCTTGCAGGCATTCTTGAAACAACTCATTACACATGTTCCCTGCAAAAGTCTCGATTGGCCGTCGTGCAAAACATCGTGTATTGTGCTTTTTCATGTTTCTCCTGCTACACAAGTCCCTGTGCCAGTGCCTCATCTTTTGTAGCTGTATTGCACCATGAATGCTGAATCTGGGTCCCGAGCGCTTGTTGCCGCGGTTGCCCTGTTCCAACATAGAGCGCGTTGACGTCCGGAGCAAACGGGTCCGCTTTCTTGGACTGGCCACAAAACAGGGCCGATCGTGCACTGGCTTGCAGCTGCAGGTTCCGAAAAGGCTTCTCGTGGTAGTGGCTGACACTGCGGCATGCCCGCCGTGCGAAATTGATGCTGCGAACGGCTTCAACGCCGTGGAATCGGCCTCGGGCTGAATCAGGTGCAGAAGTGAGGCTCTCCTGCGGCTTTTCGACGGGCTCGTCTCCTGAGCGGATTCAGCTGCTTTTGCCGCGCAGCAGTTGGCAACGTGCTGCACGGAAACACACAGCGCGAGCCGGCTGAGCAAGCCGATGAGCAGAAACGCATGGATAAACTAAACTTATGAAAACTCTTGATGTGTGATTTCGCAACAAGTTGCAGCTCTGCGTTCAGACGAGATGTTGCTTTTTGGCCTATGAGAGTCTTTACACGATTTTTCAATTGCAAATTGGGAGCCGGACGGACTTCGAGTAGACGAACCAACAACTTGGAGTAGGGTTCGCTGTTTCCAAGACGAACTGTAGCGACAGCTCTCACCAAAGATGTGGCTGTGGCTCCTGAGCCTGACTGGAGCGAATTGCAGCGACACCTCGGGGCGCAGCTTTGAAACTTGGAACTTCGTAAAACATCGTACAAGTCTTGTCGACACTGCCGCTCCACAACTACTGCCGGATATCATGTTTTAAAAACAATGTGCATCATACCAAGAACTCGGCGAAGCTCTGCAGCAATGTTTGCTGGCCTGTCTTTGAGGAACAGCAAACAGCGCACGAAGAAGCTGTGAGATTCATATGACATGATATCATATCGGCAATGCTAGCAGGCCGCCGCATGCTCCACAGTGATCATGTTTCGAGGCCCTGCCTGCTTCGTTCCTGGCAGCAGGAGCATTGGAGGGACATATGCACATTTGCAGTTTATGCGATAGAGAGAAAAGCAGCTATGCTTTTCTGCCAGCATTGCTGAGCCCAAATCCTGAAGTCCAAGCTCGCGACCTCTCGCTTCGGCGGCTTCGCCATGGCGCCCTCCCGCTGCTTCTGGGCCTTGGCCATCTCCAAGGCCTCCAGGGGCCGAGCCAAACCACTTTAGATCTCTGGCATGCTGGCATGATGCTATAGCCAGTATACTATACGGTGTCATATTGCGTTCTATTCGGCTCTATCATGTCAAATTCTGTTCTACAGTAATTATTCTATTCTATCCTACCACCTGATGTTCGACTGCACTGTACACTCGAAAGTAGAGCCCAGGCCCAAGACTAATTCCGGTGATTTTCCCGCGACCAAGGAAGAATCGCCTGGAGGAACGTCTGAGCTTTCTCCCCATCACGCGGGGGATGAACCTGGCAAAGCAACTCTTGACTGATCTTCTCCAACTAGTATAGCAACATTTATTAGCGTCGAAGTGAAGATATGCTGATATGCAAGACAAAGCAATTACAATCAGAGTAGCAATATCGATCAGAACAGCTGCAATTTATGAGGGTATCAATCTTGGTGGTAAGTAACAATACGAAATCTAGTAATGATCATCGTAGCATCAGCGTTTGCCGTCTCTTCTTTCCCTTGCGCCGCCTTCTCGGCTCTTTCGGGCCCTCCACGCAGTCGCGGAGTTGGCCTGGAAAAGGTCGGTGTACCGTGCAGTGCGGACATGGGCCGGGCAGTCATCTGTCAAGATCTGGCGCTTGAGTCAAGATTCAGGTTTCTCCCAAAACCACTGTGCTGCTTGGCTTCCATGTTTACGAGAACTTTCCAGCCTGTCTCGTGGATCTCGTGCGCCCCTTCGCTTGTCCTCTGGTGGCATCGCCTTGCATACTGAACAGACGGATGGCGGGTCCAGGCCTTCTGCTTGCGACTTTTGCTGCCATACCAAAGACTTTGCACAAATGACATGCATAACGGCCCTTCCACGCCTTCGCACACTGCTAGATACTGCCTGGATGGGGAATGCTGGGAATGCAAACCTGCCTGGATGGGGAAGCTCGGCGGCTTTGGCCGTAGCAAGTCTTCCAGGGCTGGCCTGTGCTGGGGCAGTGCGCCTAACATGAAAAGCCAATCGTTTAAGCATCTCCGACGGCAGCTGATATTTCAGAAAACCAGCCTCGGAGAACTATCTTGAGGCGCTGGATCTGCCTCCTGTGGGCCGCGCACATGCAGAGCTGACACGTGCCAATTTTGCCAATGTTCGCCACGACAGCTAAGCGTCTCTCTGCAAGGTATTAGCCTCTCCGTTCTATGTTCTAGAGCCAAGGGCGAGGCCCGTGGGCTGACAGGATCGCTGCGTGGATCGTTCGGCCGCTCAGGGCTGGAGAGGGAGGCGTCATCATGAGGCGATCTGGCAGGGGGAATTTGCCAGTGCTTTCTGAACGTCATAGCCACAAGGAGGTCGACAGACATCTGATCTGCGTGATACGAATACCGGCCATTCGATTGAAGCTCTGCCGGCCTCCCTGTGGAGTTGCGACGTCCACGCCCTGGACTGGCCTTGCACTCTTATGGCTGGACTTGATTTCGCATTCGGCCAACTCTAGGAAGCCTGCGATGCTCTTGTCTTGAATGGCAGCTTCAGCATGCACATCTTGAAGTTCTGTCTGTATGTCTGCATGCATGCATGCCGGCCCGCATGCTCCTGTGCATACATCGCTATGCAGCATGCGCATATGAAGTTGCGCATCTCACAGATGCACGCACAGTGTAGACGAAGACGCAGAGGGATACACCCGTACATGTGTAAATAGGAAGGTCGAGAGTTACATGTATAGACACTGCTAGCCAGTTACCTACCTACTAAGATTTGCAGCATAGCAGACATGCCTGCAGCCGGTGGCATGCAGCCCTGTGCATGCTCACACTATTTTGTCGATCACATACCGTGGTAGCGACTCCAAACTCAAAAACTGGCGTTCCACTTCTTCTGAGCACCTGCAGTCTGCAGTCCAGAACCCGAAGCCGTACGCAGCCCCAGACCCACAAAGTCAAGAGACCAAGAGGGCAGAACAGAGACACACCACCGTGGCCTCGTCCGGCTTTTGTATCCGCTGCCAACCCTGCCTCGGCAGCTCCAGGGCTTGGCATCTGTCCGGGCAGCTTCCTTCTGAGGGTCTGCGTTGGATCCTCGAGGACTACCCCGTGACACAGAAGGCTTGCGAACAGGAGCACATCGTGGGAAGCATGATCGCCCCACGCAAGACACTGTAAAACCAAATCACGCAGCCGCCGTCGATTTTGACAAACCCTGCAGCGAACCGATTTCCTCTCCTGATATCCTGACACATTCCCTGAACCGCGCTCGTAAATGAGCCGCACGGCCGGTGGTTTGCAGGGTTTTCCACCAACAGCAGGATTACACCAATAGGAGTTCACCTGCAACCCTCTGCCGCAATACAGCTCTCTGCATTCTCTCAGCTGTCAACAAGTCCTCATGGTCTCACAGAGGAAGCTTGAGACAGCAAGCTGCAAGCACGGCGGCCCGCAGATCCAAGCTACCCCGGCAAGTTTCCCAGATCCGGTATCTCAAGCCCGAGAAGGCAATCAAGGCCACATAAGTCCACTGTCTCGACTGGTGACTGGGGCCCTGACAGCTTGGGGCGGTTGCTGTGTACCGGACCCACCGGGAGGTCCCGGGACGGTACCGGTAGAGGAACTTCGAAGGACTGGCATACGGGGCTCTGAACATAAATGGGATCTGGTAGCCAAACGTGGGAACAAGAGAGGAACACACGGGAAACAAGTTGAACATTCCCATGACAGCAAGCTCCGATTCAAAACCCAACAGCGGCGTTGAAATTTAGGGCCCACGGTTGAGAACGGTATCCAAGCCGAGACTTCAAGCAGAGAAGACCCTGGGAGCAAAGCCTTCTGCCGCCCCCCGGCATATCAGCACTTCCAAAACCCAAAGTTCCAAGATTGGCGACAGTTGTTGAGCGTTTTCCGAATTGTGCGCGAGACTGTGGCGGAGCACCACTCATGGACGCACTACAAGGGGAATTGTAAGAGCGGGAACAGAACTGCCTGCAATGCTACATGCCTTCTTTACGTAGTTACTTGCGGTGCTCCGCTTCTCCGTCTCGTGGTCCTCGTGGATCTTTCGTGTACGGCTACTAACGAGGCTGGTTCTCTACTGTGCAGACTTGCGAGAGTGCGGTCAGGAGTCTAGTCACGGTGCTTGCGCCTCACTGCATTTTGGATCGGTCTTATCTGTGCGTTCATGCTTCAAGCCCAGAGGCCCCTCAGTTGCAAACTCGACAAGTGTTTGGGCCTGCATCGACAGCATCGACGGCCTGCGGAACTCCTGCCAAATAGCAGCATGCTGGTCAGCCGAGGCTGTTGCACAATACTAATTCGTTTTTCAATGGCCCTGGCATCCAGTGCCACGACCCGATCCTGCAGCAACCGCGCAGAGGGCTTTTGCTCTGTGCCTGCAGCTCGCACGACACAGGATATCACTGGCCGCCATTTTATGCAAGCTGAGCTGCCTGATTCGACGGGCTGCACATCCCGCACTGCCTGGTCAACACATGCCGTGAGTGCTTAGCCGACTGCTTGCAGCTTCCACAATCATGAAAGTGGTTCTACTTACATACAAGGCATGGCAGGTGCAAGCCGAGTTGCGGCGGGAGATGGGCTCCTCGAGTGATCTCTTTTCCTGGCTGTATGAGTCCGAAAGGAACACCGAGACATCATCATGGCAACATAGAGACAATGAAACTCAAGCTCCTTGCTTCACGGCGGCTTCTGGTGTTAGAGGAGTTCATTCCTCGCCCCATGCATTGAAAGAGTGCGACGGCCTCACATCTTGTTGTCCATATGACAGGATCCGGGAAGTCTCCGGATACTTTTCATTGGGCACCACTGAAGACACGTTCCTTAGGCCGAACAGCAAGTCGGCAGAGTCCGAGCTGTACTTCGATATTATGAGATTATATTCCAAAGCTCATGCTACCTGTTGACTTAGACGGCAGACGGCCAGGTGAACGATACCAACGTTAAGCTGCTGCTCAGGCCATGGCGACTCAGCAGCAGTCGGTGCCTAGCAGCAAGCTTTGGACGCCAGAGCCAGCACCAAGATCCACCAATCCGACATGTAGCATCTCTGTCATGGGTGTAAAACACTCGGGCATCCTGCCTGGGACATCCGGCGAGCTGAAGGCAAGGCCTTGGTCCAGCAACTTTTGCGGGCGGTCATGTGCTAAAACGTTGAATCACAAACGCATGTTCTTGCCGTTGCCGCAAAGAAGCGGGAAGAGTCAAATCGGCAATAGACATCCTTTGCGGCCTCTTCTGCGGCTGCTGCAGGTGCTGCTCCTGCGAGCGAGGTGGACTGCTTCACGGCGGCTTAAACCGACTGCAGATTCCGAATTCCGAACCCATGTTTTTTGGATCTTTCTCGTCGGCCAAGAGTGAAGAACGGGAGAGCTTGCGAGCAGCGAAGGGAAGTGATGCCAGTGAATACAGTCTAGTATATTCTAATATAGTCATTCTACCGGAAATGATGACGCCAGGCTTAGTTTGGGTGATTTTGGCCGCGGGCTCGAGCAAGAGGAATCAGAACCAAGTCAGGATTTCCTTGCGTTTCATTACGGCAACTTGTCCTGAGTAAATTGCCGAGCTCAGCTTTAAGGTTTGTGTCCGGCCTGGTTTCACCCGGCTCTCTTCATGTGTTGGCTGGTGCCTTCGCAGATCCCACGATGCATTTCGTTTGCTTGACTCGCGTACATTTGCCGCCGGACCTCTCAGAGGCCAGCTGATTGCAGAGTGGCTGCGAAAGTTTTCAGCAACCGTGGCCCAGTGGGCGACGAAACGGGACAGTGGCATCAGGTTGAACATCTGCTATTGGTAGGTACGCATCCTGACGGAAAAAAGAACGACTGTCTGCACGATCGTGCTACAGCTTGCGCCCGCTGTGGTATCCGAACCCGCACGGGCAACGTGCCAACAGTTCGCATTGATGTGCAACGCAGTGCTGTACCGAACGATTACCCTGGCAGGCTCGTCTTCCGACTCGATGCTTCGCAGACCTTCCGACATCGCACCCTTTGACCCCTGTGAGTAAACGTCTCAGTCTAGCAGACTAAATGCCGAGGTGAAAGAGTGCGCTAGGGACTCCTTCAAAACATGATGTCGTGAACGAGGGTTGCAGGCCTCTCGCGGCGATGCCGCTGGCAGTGCGGCATCACCCTCTGCTCGGCGGGCACTGACAGGCAGGGGCCTCCTGTGCAAAGCACGACTGCTATTTCGCCGTCCCAGAAGCTGTCGCACATCGTGCCTGCTGAGCTCCGTCAAGCCAGGCTTGGAGGCATTTTGAGACTGTGTGCCGGCACTGCCTGTGGCAGCCATCAGGCTTCGTGCAAATGCAGCTACTCCTAGAAATGTCAAATGCTGAATGGAAGTCAATGTTGTCGCATAAAGACAGCGAACCAATTGCCTTGCCGTGGAGACATTCCATCTTGTTCTCGATCTGATGGGCGAGCTTGAATTGCGGAGAACCCCGAGACCGCCTCAGTGTCACGAAACAAGCATGATTAAACTCCAACATATCAAGCTCAAATGCTGTGTGCTTGGATGTGATTGGCATGTTTGCTACTCACTTTCCTACCTGCACACCAGCAACGTCCACGTGAGGCTTTGCTGCTTAACCTTCGACCCTTTGTGCGGCAAGGATGCTTTGGACATCGACGACGCCTCGGAGGTGCTGGTGGCATCAGTTCCTGACAATCTAGGCGGATTTGTGTCAAACCAACATTTCAGGTCCAAGCCTGCGCTCAGGTTTCGCAGTGCATCGTCGGCGACGCCGCGGATTTTGGCGTGTACGAGCTGCGAGGTCATCCTAGAAGCCTGGCAGCATTGCTGACACGCTTTTACTGTCCACTTAAGCCTGGAAGCTGCAATCGACTTGGCTCAGCCGCCTGTGGCCCTCCCAGTTCAAAAGGAAAAGCACCGAGACCCTGAACCGCCCGCTGGACCAGCCACAGGATCGCCACACCAGTTGGCGTCTTGCAGAATTTGCTCGTCGCCTCTTCAGCGCCAATCTCTGCTGCACGCCGGGGTGCAAAGCCGTTGGCGAGGGCTACAGCTTCCGCAGCCTGCAAGAACTGGGTCTAGGTGATGAGAGATGTTCTTGCCACATTTGTATGGTGTGAGCGTTTCTCACGGACTTGAGGTGTCGGAAAGTTCAAGCTCTCCCGGGAAGTTAAGGTTTACAGTTTAGATGCACAACAAGGAGATACGAGGATTCAGGATATACAACATCGCTGGGTTCGTCAAGTCGAGCTAACGTCTGGCGAACGGCAACCACTGCATGGCGTTAGCGTTCCGGTTCTGCTCCCGAGAAAGGACCCTTAGCCTCACATTGTCTCGGAAGCCAAATTGGAATCGCGGCCCCTAGCAACACAGTCTGTCAGATGCTGCAATTTTTCTCGGCCTCATGTGTCGCCATTGCTGTCATTGCGACGAAGTGGTCGCTTGCAATGCTGTTTGCATCCTGGGTATCGAATCGCAGCACTCGTATCATCTCGTATCTGCACTCCTTCCTGTCAGCTGACTTGATTGCGCGGGCAACTCGGCCGCTGGATATACGAAAGGACCAGAGACTCGTTGAACACAGTGCAGTTGCAGGTTTATGTGCGAATCCTTTCGTTCAGGCCGAGTTGCAACGAACCTTTTGAGGAATTGCCCAGCCATAGTTGCTGCATCGCTGGGATTCCAGCCTCTTTGCGCCTAGGACTGCGCGATGCTTCAAGTACGCGCACAGAACATAGCATGTGCGCATCGCGTTCGAGCGAAAGGATCGACTCAAATTTCGGGCTTAAGCACAAATTCCTGCAGCTTTCCTTGGAGGCTTGGGCACCGGCGGCCAGCTTGGCCACCACTGCGCCGATGGCCAGGGCTCCACACTGAAGAGCCAAGTCGGTGGGGCAGCCAGCAACCTGACTCACGGTTTGGAGGGGATGAATTTCTACACTGCAGCACTGTAGCAGGTATCCTTCTGTCACTCAGACACCAGCCAGTGCGGCTCTTTGAGCTTCAGCGGCAGCCTGGTAGAGGTATCGTTCTGGGGCATGTGAGAAAGTCTCGGAGGGGTCCATGTCCTTCTGCCGCGGTATGAAAAGTTGCCATTTCGGACAGGTTCATGTTGCGGTGAATCGTTAAACTCTTGAGGTCAGGGCAATGGAGGCAGCAGCTTCCGGCGTCGTCCCTTGCACCATCGCAGCCTGCAAGCGGGATCACCACACTTGCGTTTTGTGTTCGCACAGAGTGCGGACCCCGTCCTCGGAAGCCGCCAGCCCGGAGCCGAACGAGGCAAATTCAACAGCCTCCTCTTCGGTCACGCCCTGGGCATGTGGAACATGACCCCAACATTCGAATTCTCGAAGGGGACTAGAGCATTTGCGAAGGAGTAGCAAACCGCTCGAAAGGGACCGAAGCATTTGAGCAAAAGGCGCAAACCCCGCGAAAAAGACTAGAGCATGTGATAAAATCGAACAAACCGCTCGAAAAGGACCAATTAGAGTAATTGAGCAAAAGGAGCAAATCGCTCGAAAGGGAGTGGAGAATTTGAGCAAAAGGAACAAACCGCTCGAAAAAGACAACGAGTATGTGATAACATCGAATCGACACCGAACAAACCGCTCCAAAAGGACTAGAGCAATTGAGAAAACGGAGCAAACCGTTCGAAAGGGACTAGAGTCTTGAGTATTTGAAGAAAAAGGAACAAACCTCCCCAAGGGGGCTAGAGAATTTGAGAAGACGTAGCAAGCCGCTCAAAAGGGACCAGAGCGAAAACAGGAAAAAACCGCTCAAAAAGGACGAGAGCACATGCGAAAAAGGAGCACACCGCTCGAAAGGGACTTGAGCATTTGAGAAAAAGGAGCAAGCTGCTCGAAAGAGACTAGAACATTTGAGAAAAAGGAGCAAAGCTCTTGAAGGGGACTGGAGCATTTGAGACTAAGGAGCAAACCGCTCGAAAGGGAATAGGCATTTCAGAAAAGGAGCTAACCGGTCGAAAGGGACTAGAGAGTTTGAGAAGCAAACTGCTCGAAAGGGACCAGAGCATGTGAGAAAAAGGAACAAGCCGCTCGACTGGGACAAGAGTAATTTCAGAAAAAGAACAAACCGCTCTGAAAGGGACTAGAGTATTTGAGAAACGAAGCAAACCGCTCGAAAAGGAGTAGAGCATTTAGAGCAAAACGCTCGAAAGGGACTAGGGCGTTTGAAAAAAAAGGAGAAAACCTGAGAACGAAAATGACTGGAGTATTTGAGAATGAGGAACAGACCGCTCGAAACGGACCGGAGCATTTGAGAAAAAGGAACACACCGCTCGAAAGGGACTGAGAAAAAGAAGCAAAACTGCTCGAAAGGGAATCGGCTCGAAACGGACTAGAGCGTTTGAGAAAAAGGAGCAAACCCCTCGAAAGGGACTCAGTATTTGAGAAAAGAGAGCAGACAGCTCGAAAACGACAAAAGCATTTGAGAAAAAGAGACAAACCTGGAAGTCCCAAAGCTCCAAACGCCCTGAAAGCCTTGTGGTCACCCTTCTTCCGCCTTCTCCATCATCGCCTTGTGAACGGAGGCAGCAGCTGTCAGGGCCGCTTCGTGCGGACTTTGGTGACCGAGGCCGGCTGCCTTACCAGAAAGGCTTGCTTGCACAGCCTTAAGTGTGTTACGTTGCAAGGCTTTCAGGTTTGATGTGGGTTTTGAGCAGCGGTTTCGGGACTGATTGAAGTCGGGTTTACAGTGATTAGGGTGGCTCCGAGCCTCTTTTTCCCTCACCGGTGCAAAGCAGACTTCCAGGCCTTGCCAATGGACACGGCCATGTGCTTGGCTAACCTGAGCATGGTCATAGTGATTTTGTCCGTGGCCGCGATAGGCTAAAGGGCAGGGTTTGGGTTTCCTTACGGTGTACGGTTTAGGGCGTTTAGGGCCTGCTCGAAAGATCCAGAAACCTACTACCTACGTTAAGTTTTATGATGCTACCTACCGTGTCACAACTGGTGTGGGCTTGCAGGGGGCTATCTGGGCCACATAGAAACCAGCTCTTTGAGCATATAACCCATAAAGCGGGTCCCAGCAGCAACAGTAAGGGGTTTGGGGTCTCCGCTCCAGAGATGGGCTGTTGGTGGTTGAGGCTTGCAAACTACGGTGTTGGTGCTGGTTTGCTTGCTGTTCGTGCCACCGATCGTCCGGGCTTCATGATGCCGCAGGCCGAGCAGCATTTTGGACTCGAGCTCCAGCTCCTCAGCGACATCACCCAATTCCATGGTGATGGCCTTGGTGCCAGTCTCGCCCATGTGAGCGATTTGTCAAAACTTATTACTTCAGGCCCGGTCCTCTGGCTTTTCGAGGGGTTTTGGCCAAGTCCGGCATTCCAAGACCGGCCTACTCTTAATTACAATTTCGGCAGGTTTGTGTTGCTGCGCCCGCCACATGTTACTAGATCAATTTCCTTAAGTGCTTGCACATGGCATCCCAGCTACTGGTGGATACTTCATGTAATGAAAAGGCTCGGGGCTTCTGCCCACCTCAGGCACGGGCTTCTTCTGAGCCTGGCACAGTCCGTCAAGTCAACCATAGCTCTACCGACCAACGGAAAAAGTTCATGAAGAGTTCTAGATTCGCTCGCAGAAGAGATCATTTTCTGCGGAGGTTCACCCTACCTCACCCCTTCAAGTTCATATGTATCATGGCGCGTCTACGTGCATGATCATGATGCTCCTGTCTGTGTGGGTCCTCACACAAAAAACCCATGGAACGGTTGATAAACACAGGCGAAACATTCATCCGTCATTCCGCCACATGCGGTCCACGCGGCCGACGGCGGGCCAAAGTCTATACACTCGCGACCCGGCGCTCAGAAGCTAACCAGCTTGCGGCACCCCGAGCTAACCCTGCAACTCTGCCAGCAAGGCGGCCGCCAGAGGATTTCAAATGCAGCAGCCGTCGCGAGGTGGAGTGCTTGGCTTTCTTGTGCCGGGCCGGTGTGCCAGACTTGGAAAGCCGAGTGTGAAAGCCACGAGAAGCTCCTTCTGCTATATCCTCTTCTCTCTGAGCAGTCGACCAGACGGCGAAGAGGCGGCTTCGTCTCAATGCTGAGCCGATGATCTGTTTGTGCCCCGAGGCCAAGATCTCTGGTCAAATCCTGAGAAGCTTGATGCGAAGCGACGGCTTCGCCGAAGCACTGTGGCACAAGGCGAATGCGCCTCCACGGAAGACTTTCGCCGTGGAACCACATTCCGAACAGGTTCTGTGGCCACGGCATGTGGTCCTGCAAAGCTCTGTGCTTTGATGAAACTGAGTTGCAGATAGCAGCTGGTACAGCCAAGCCGAGGTTCCGAACACCAATCCAACCCGGCCCAAACCTGCTTGACCAGTAGGTCCGGTAGGTTTTGGCGAGGAGCCCTCCTGACATTGAAAGCCGCTCGCGCGCAAGCTTTGATTTGGATGTCCGATTCAAGAAGAATGGCGCACACAAAGTGGTAGAGTCGTTCACCCCTCAACAATGTACACTCGACCCGATGTGCTGGTGTTTTTCCAGCCTTCGCAAATTCAAGTTTCAAGGCGATGCCTAGTGTTGTGCGACTGTAGCCCTCTCAGAAGTCGGCCACTGGCTTGGAAGGCAACTGCACCTCCACATCGAAACTCACTCGCAGCAAACACTTCAAGCTGGAACGCTCAATGGAGGATCGGTTGAACAAACGAAGGTTGACAATTGGAAGACTGAGTATGTGTACGTAGATACGAGCTGAGTGTATCCTGCTGTTCTTGCAGCCGCGTGGCTTGATCGGATGAGAATGCTTTCTGTCAGTTTTCTTCCCGACTGCCAGTGTGCAGATAGTGCAGTTGTGCTGGCTCTCCTCTTTGCTTTGCAAATTGCTTCGAGCATACCTCTTTCTTCAGAACCGGCGCTGTGCGACGCCTTGCGCTGCGCAGGTTCCACTGGCGCGGGAGCCAGTTCCCCTGGACCATGGCTGATGCCTGCCTGGTGTAGGCTGAGGGCTGATTACTGGTTGTGCCATGGACTTCATCGGGCATATCCACGTCTGCAATCTCCATCCGAAGCCGTGCCTGGAACGCCTGCTTGCTCGGCGATGCAGTCTTGGCCTGACATGACATGACATACCGACATTGGACCTCCATGCGACCAGCAGGGTGCATCTCAGAAGCACCGGCGAAAACAACGAGTCTATGATAATTTGGTACGCCGGAAGATGCTGCAAGGACAAGCTCCGGGTACAGTTGAAGTAATGCTGAAGGTGGCTGCATCCGCAGTAGGCTGCTATGGGATTTGACACCTCTCCTTCCTTGACCGATCGTTTCAGGCCGAAAGCTGGTGTAGAATTTTGCAGGAGGTGCCTGTGCAGGCGGGCCGCTGGTGCTAGCAAGGGCCTTAGAAGCCATTGCGATTTCATGATGACATGCATTCAGAGGAAAGCAAGGGCTTCAACATGAACAAAAAGGCTTCCCATGCGAGTGCATGCTCAGGATGGCTCTGGAGCGTCGGCTGCAGATGGCGGGACTCCAGCCTCTGCTCGTTTTGGCAATGCCTGCCTACCTGCACTTACCGCAACTCCTGACAATTCCTGTTTGCAGAGTAGAACACTCGGCTTTTCCAACGATCCCTTGGCCTCGGCAACGTTCGGTGCTGGATGGCTGCCCCCGCGTTCCAGTTCATCCTCAAAGGAGAGCTTGTAGGTTGCATTCGAAAGAGCGATTCCGACACTTTCTGCTAGCATATCCTAAAAGGAAGAGAGCCAATAATCAACGCTCATCACCGCGCGCGTCTCAACACGAACATGCATGAACAGTCTGCTGTGTGGTGTCTTGATACCCGAATCATGGTATTGAGTATTGAGCAGCTGAGCACGTGACCACGGGAGGCATCGATTCTGTTGGGACCTGCTGGTTCAAATCCAGAGAGCGCCAGACCAGCCACGGTTCGCTGAAGTTTGGGTAAATCACAGGACACAAGCAGGCTGCATGGTCCCAGGCTTCAAAGACAGTTTGATTCAAGTCCCACTCCAATTTGGAAGCGCCTTGTACGGCGCTGACGCGGGAGCAAGCTCCTGACTGATCCCTGCCTGGAGTCGACTTGGCCCTACGGACACCAGACTCTAGACTGTCGGGAGATGGATGCATGAATGACAGAAGCAGACAAAGACAGGAATCGTGCTCGCACGTCTACGTCAAGTCCCCAACAGCCACTATGGTCAAATCTCTGGCAGGCAGGCAAGATGGCATGCTGGTGCCTGCAAGGACTGCTCGCTGGAGGATGAAAACAGAAAGGCCTGGTCGCATCTCGTCACTTCAGAGACTTTTTTGTTCGAGCATCTCTCCGCCTGCGAAGGCGGGCAGCTGGTGCTGGCGAAGGCCTGAGAGCATGGCCAAAGCAACGGCGAGCAGAGAGCTCTGTCAACCACGTTTCACATCCCTGGCAGAGACCATCTTGTGAGGCTCTGTGCCAGTCAGTGCTTGTCGATGCTGGGGGCGGTGCTGGAGGGTTGGCCAAAGAGGTGGAAGACGATGATGGTGAGACAGAGGCCTCCGCTCATGTCGATCAGACATGTCTAGTGACCTGATTGCCTGCCAGATCTGTACACGGCATACCTGCGCAGGCAAAGCGTCTCGAATAAGTTGTAATCCGTCAGTACCAAATCCAGTTTTCTGCCACAGCCGCAGTACCTTAGCACGCTGCAAACGGGCCTCGACGGCTTTCGCAGCAGCCAGAATGGCATGTCGTTGTTCCGTCTCATCCTGCATACTCGTGAAGGACACTGGCGAGATATTCATCTGAGCATCGGCTGACCTTACCACGTGCGTTTACAGAGTTAGAGTTAGTCATGTCACAAAGTGGCATTTGTCGTCTGTTCGAGCTGCGCGGATACTCGCCACCATCCACGTCATCATCATGCCAACCACCGTCGCGGTCACGGTGACGATCACCCACAGCGAAGACGAGCTCCGGATGCAGCATCAAGCATAGCTGTCACTGGCTGCGGGCAAGAGGCCATTGAATTCAGATCTTGGCTCGCCACCCCCGAAGTGACCAAGGCCATGGGCCTGCGCAGGCTCAAACGTTCGCTGCTCAGCCTTGCTGGGGCCGACTTGGCAGCTGGACTTATCATTTTCGTGGAAAAAAGCATCTTGGATTGTTGGAGAAGCACCGTTCGATACATATCGCCACTGTTCCAGTTGTGGCTTCATGACGCTGCAATCTGGAGGAAGCTCTGCAAGACAGTCCAGGCTTGGTATTATCGTGTGAGGAGGGGAAAGCGTCGTGGACAAGTCGAAAACTGAAAGGCGGTTTAAGCTTGCGTTGCTCTAGCCATCAAACACGAATATCCAAACCGGTTCCAGCTCCTGCAGCTACACCCTAAACCTGAAGCCTGTGGACAGAACACTGACGATCACTGCCAGCCAAGATGCGGCATTTCGGGATCCTTCAAGACGTGCACCTGGCGACATTGATCTTCCGAGGTATTTCCGTCAGGGGTAGATTCTCCGCCTCAGCACCTGTAGCAAATGTTATATACGAGACTGACAGCATGTCGATCACAGCCTCAGCAACCCTCCGGATGGGCTGGGTGCCGTCGCCTGCACACTTTCTGGGGCCACGCCGCCCAGAAGAAATGCCGCGGCCTGCGGAGCTGTTTCATTACCACCGCCGGACTATGCCAGGATTGTTAATTGAAACTAAGGCACTGCCTGGTTTAGAACTCTCTGTTTGCAGCATGCTCGTGCTTCCATCCGTCGTATCTCTCTCTTGTCGCTCAGGTTTCTTGCCTCAACTCGAACGAACTAACTTAAACGTGGAGAGCACAGTAAGCTAGATTAACGCAGGATGCACTCAGGGCTTCGGCTGTTATTGCTTTCGAGCTTGGCCTGTTACGTACTTTAGACAGCACGAAAGCTAGAAGCTACTACAGACCAAGATGCTTTATCGCTCAAGCGTCAAAATTGTCAATGTGCCAAGCCTTGCATGCCACCGAACCCGTGTAGGAGTCTTCGTCATGACTCGCTGAACAAGATTGAGCAAGTCCAGTGTAGTAGCAGCTAGAGCTTGCATTGACAGCTGTTGCAGCCTGCTGCTGCTGCTTCTTCTGCTGCACGTGGACTGTGACATCTGCCTGTCTCGCTGACAGGCGCTCGACATCAGTCAGACCGTGTTCGATCGCATCCGCTCGCCCACGGCATTGCCTCTGCTGTTGCCGTAGGCACTACCACCGTGTGGTGCGCCTGCTGCATGTGCGAGTGAGGTAGGCGAGTAGGGACCATGGACTAGAGTACTTGTAGTTACCGCTCACAGCTTGGAAGAACTGGGGACGGCTCCTGCGCAGGCACGGCTTGCTGCTTTGCGGCCTGTGCGGCCTGTCGGTGGCAATTACTGTAGCTTGACTCAGATGTCCCCGTTGGAGACACGTGAGGGAGAAATTCTGACACTTCTATCCCCTTCTGCCTGCACGGCATTGTCAACGACTTGAAGCTGATAGGTTGCATCCTGGTGGGGCCACTTCATTCAAACGGTCACATGCATGTGCTTCTACAGTCTACAGAGCCTGAGCCATAAGACCCATGTCGCCACCCATGGATGCCAGCCTTGGGCTGAACAGCTCAAACACGGGCCGTGCGGATAGCATCAGCTGTCAGTAGCCTGCTGGCAGCAGCTTACTGGCACCTCTTTCGCTTACGAATCATGCACCATGACGGCCTCTGAACTTTTGGATCCGAATGACATCGTAATTGGATCGTTTGCAGGGCTTCGTGGCAAAAGGAACGACGCCACCACCACCATCACCAACAACAGCAACAACACCTGCTGCTACTGCTACTCCTACTGTCCTACTCCTACTGCTGCCCTGTGCTGCTATGTACGGCTACTGCAACTGCAACAACAACAGCAGCAACGACGACAGTGACCAACGACAACGACGAAAAAAACAAGAACAGTAACAATAACACGAACCAGCAAAAGAACCAGAACACCACCACCACCACCACCACCACCACCAACAACAACAACACTCGATTACGGTGTAAACGCGTGCAGGGATGTGTGACTGCAACTTATGTTGTGCGTGGCCTGCGTGGGACGAACGCCACGTCAGTTCTTTGCAACATGTGTTTTTACCGAGGGTTTAGGCATGTTGAGTTCCGTACAAACGACGGAAATTTCGAGGCACGTTTTACGTGACCTATGCGGGAAAAACAAGCTTTTTGTACAACTCTTGCCCCAACTTTGACACATTTTTGGTCAGCGTTTTGCCGTTTTGCTGGGCTGCGCGGGGCAACATGCATTTCCTTCAAGAGAAACATGAACAGGAGGATGACGGTCATGGGCGAAGCAGCGGTCATCGTTCATCAACATCAGGCTCTTCTCTCAGAACGGATTAGACCATGGTAGTCATCATGGCTGGGCCATGGATGCTCTCTTCTCAGAACGGGTAAGACAATGGACAGACGTTACCATGGTTGGGCCATGGACGTAAACGAAACACTGCAACTACCGATGGTTTCGGTGCTGCAGGCGTAGGAAACGCCGACGTCGTGGATTTGGAGCCGCCGGGAACGCCGACGGCACCGAGATATTCGGCACATGAAGCAAGGGAAACACCGCAACAAACCTATGGAATCGACGTGTCGGTTTTGCGCATTTTCATGGGGTTCGAGCCAACAACGACAACAACAGCAACAGCACCAGCACCAGCACCACAACCACCACCTACTGCTACTGCTACTGCTACTGCTACTGCTACTGCTACTGCTACTGCTCCTGCTCCTGCTCCTGCTCCTGCTCCTGCTCCTGCTACTACTGCTCCTGCTACTCCTGCTACTCCTGCTACTCCTGTCCTGCTACTCCTGCTACTCCTGCTACTCCTGCTACCCCTGCTACTCCTGCTACTCCTGCTACTCCTGCTACTCCTGCTACTACTACTACTACTACTACTACTACTACTACTACTACTACTACTACTACTACTACTATTGCCACTACTTCTACTATGCCGACGACGTCGACAAACATCGTGCGAAATCATCACTCATGTTGAACAGTAGTGCGATCTGTCACGGTCATGAGATGTCATGAGAAGAGTGCAATCTGCCAAAATACAAGGCCTCACAGGACTTTCGGCGACTGTGCATCGACTTGTGCGCGTCTGATTGGAGGTGCGGGTCAATCGTGCCCCGATGTGCCCCGGCCCCTCGGTTGATAGTCAAGCAGCAAAGGCAGGACCTGCTGCGTGCGTGCGTGTGTGCGTGGGTGGGTGGGTGGGTGGGTGGGCTGGTGTGTGTGTGTGTATGTGTGTGTGTGTGAGTGTGTTCGTGTGTGTGTGTGTGTGTGTGTGTGTGTGTGTGTGTGTGTGTGTTGCGTGATTGGGGATGAGCCGCGCGGGTCGTCTCATTGGTGCTCGAGTTTGGCCATGGGGCAACGTTGACACAAGCCCCACCAGATACTAGTCTGCGAGTCTGTACAGGAGGACTTGAGGTTGAGAATGAATGCTGCGTGGAGAAGACTGCAAGTGGTGACCTTTGGAAGGCACGGGGAGGAGTCGTGTGAAGTGGGAGAGACGAGATTTTTCTTGGGCCAGTTTCTTCTGCATTGAATTCAACTACATTCGCTCAAAGCTTTTACTCAGTGAATACGTCACGGAGTAGCCAAGCTATCGCCTGTCACACATTCCGAGGACGGCAATGCCACCTGCAGGCTACAATGAGCTGCTCAAGCCTGAACCGCTGTTAATGTATCGCAAGCTGGGGGAGCAGCTCTTGGAGGGATTGCTGCACAGCTTGGTTTGCTGCGTCTCCTGCGTCCTGGCGCAGCAAGAAACAGCTCTCGGCAAGCACACTTTATCAAGCAAGGCCCATCACGACGGCTTTTCTCTTTGCACGTTTGCTGGGCTTACGGTCAGCAGTCTTCGAGTAGGTCGCAGTAGATCGCTACATCGATGCGACCAACTCAAAGCAGCCGGTAGTTCCAGGCGCGGTGGATCTTGACATTTCCTTACCTTCTTGCGGAAAGCCTCTGCTTTCAAGATCTTTCAAAAACATAAACCCACACCGGTCCCGGTGACAGCTAAATGTCGTGGCTTTCCGTGCTTCTCCTGGTCCTGCCCATGGAAAAGACACGTAGCAGGGCGCTTGCCTGTTCCTTGTACAGCACATGCGCATCTCAAGTCTTGCTACGATACTAAGATATACTAAGCTACTAAGCACTAAGCAACAGGCAAGCTCCAATGTGGCCGAAGGCCATGAAACCAACGCCAGAGGACACGACCTCCCTTGAAAAACATGTCGGCCTCAGCCCGTGTGAAGCCTCGGCTCAACACCAGTAACCTTTGTCAAGCTGGTGCCATTAGGAAACTTGGAGATCTGAAGCTGCATTTGGCCCTCTTCGATGTCAACTTGTCCCATCTGCCAATCTCATTCCACAAACAGGGGCCGCGGTGACTGGACCACTTGCAAGCGCCACCAAAAAGGTCCACGAATCAGCACCACGTAGGAATGAGTGCAAACTAGTTGGTACTTCAACTTAACTTCGGATCACACAAGCGGAGGTTGAGGGCGGATTTTGCACTCAAACGAGCGGTGTGGAGTAGACCTATTGGTCGCTGATGAAGCTATTCCCTTGAAACATGGATGCTATCTACAGTTGCTGAGCACAGATGCGCAACACTGAATCATGCAAAGGCGGCTATGCTGACCTGTTTTTGGGCAGAAGCCACTAAGACCGTTCATCGCGGAGGTACTGTACAATTCTTTACCTGAACATGCCAGGATGTATTAACACTGCTGCGTTGGGACTTGGCATGTCGACTTGGTTCTGCAAGATCAATGCTGTCGACGGACCAGGGATATCATGCTCAGGAATACTCTAGCCCGGAAAATGTGGTTCTGCAGCTGACTACAGAAGCCCAAAAATCGACTCGCCGATCAGCGAGTGATTCATCACTATCTTCAGCCAGAGAACAAATAACATGACATCACTTCTCTGAGCCTTCGCGCCGTGAAGCGTTTACACATGTTTGCTAATTACACAACTCAAGTCTGACTGTGAGTCAAAATGACGTCTGTGTTGCCCTGGCTTCTCGAATCCGGAGACCTCTCTTACCGGGACCAGATTCCAAAACAATCAGCTTAGCAGCTAAGCGCAACGAGCCGTGGAACATCCCATGGCAGTCTCAGAGGATCCCGGTCACTGCGGTCCTACTGGGAGAGCTTCGGCGTCCCAGTGCGCTTAGTGCGAACGACCTTGACAAAGACCCTGGGAGACCTGCGAACCTCTTGGAGGAAGCTCTGGAAGTGTTTCATGTGCTTCTCGTGCAGACGACGGTCTGGAGGCAAGGGAACATTTCTGGGTGCCCCATCGCCCCAAGCAGCCGAGTCCCAGGAGGACAGAATTCGTTGGCTCTCATCAGCTGCATCTGCTCTGCAGGAGTCTGCACCTGTGCTCACATTAATATTCGCAGTCAGTTGCTGGTCACGGCTGGCAGACAGATGCTTCATCTTGCAATCTGCGGGATCTTGCTCCCAAGCGCGCGTCGGTACGACTTCGCGCATGGCACGCAGACTGTGGAAGGACTGCGGCCGACTTGATCCCGGGGTTGCGGGCAAAGCCGCGGTGCTGGCTCCGCAACCCATAGGCGTAATCTCTGTTGGGGACTGGCACCGATTCGGTCGACTCGAGCCAAAGTCGAAACTCAACCAGCAAGATGCTGCACAGACAGGTCAAGTTAAAACTGAATGAATTTCAAGCTTGAATCTGCTACCGGGATCTGGAGCAGCCTGTGACTGCGCAGCAAACAAAAATCTTCCACAGCAGCAGGCGCACATTCCATGTCTGCGGCGTTGTTTGCACGGATCTGGCCACCGCCAGGAAGTTCACCTTGGTGCCGGCATCCGCGAGTCAGATTCCCTCATGTGAGACGGACCACTAGATTTGTCTCCCATTGCTGTACTTGTATCTTCTTTGTCGGCGAAGGCGGCTAGCAATTGGGCGGGTCCTCCTTCGCTGCTTCGGATGAAATTGCTAACTGACTTCCGCGGGGCATCCTGTCTGCATGTCTCGGAGTGAGAGTGACCTGAGTGTGTAGTGGGTGAGTCAAGCAATGCCTGCAAACGAGAGGAAAAGCAAGAAGGAGCGACAGACAATGACAAGGAGAGGGAGAGATGGTGCGTCAGTCTGTGTGTGTGTGTGGGGGGGACAGGATGAACAGCCGGCTCCTGATATCTCCTGATTAGAAAACTTTTTTCGCCAACTTATGGTGCAAAATCTGTACGACTCGTAGATGCAAAGGAACAGTACTTCATAACAGCCAAAGACACTTTATGGGGAGTTGAACTCTTTTCTTCTGTCCTGTGCTGTCCTCAGAAGTGCTGCGAGCTCGTGTCGTCATCACCCTATCTTCTCCTCGTGTGGCCAGGGCATGTGTAGCATGCTACTCAACGATCTGCAACTGCATATTAAAGTGTTGTGCAGAATCGGATGGGTCCTTCGAGCAGACATTCCCAAAGACTTTGCGAGCATGATAAAATCACTCACATGGTTGAACCAATTTGATCTTGGTTCGAAGTCTGTGTGGACAGAGCCCGCCACGGTTGACGCACATTACTTCATCCACTGCCCAGGCGAGTCCAGCAAACTTGTAATTGTAACAAACCTCTTCTTGGGACATCATGTCAGCCCTTGACAAGCTCTGACTGAGAGGAAGGACCCTTTATGCTACGGTGAATGTGGCTCCTCGGGCTCTCGTGCCGCTTGACGATACGCACTCTTCCTTTTGGCTGCCAGTTCCGCGAACGAGACGAAGGCCACGAGGAGGGCAGTCCATGTTGCGACTTGTTCCAGTAGCGGTCTCAGCTGTCTCAGCTTATAGGGACGGATATGCCTCAACACTGAAATGTGGCAGTAGGTAAGCACAGAAGTAGCCTACATGTAAGTCGCTGGTGGGACCTCTGGCATGTCATGTGCATTCATTCCTAATTGAAGATGTGCACCTGCTACGGCTCCCATGAGGGAGCGTTCCGGAGACAACCAGCACCCAAGTTGCTGAATTATGTTCATGATGCATTTCGAATTGGTGTACAAGACCTTGGCAACGCGGCTGCAGCAAAGGCAGTCACACATCACTTCTGCCTTTGCTGAAGCTTTGAACTCTCCGTCGCATTCGGCAGCATTCGGGGTCCATCGTACATGGTAACAGCGACTGTTGACGAGAATTGCATGGCTGAGTGGTTGGACAGCAGGGCTTCCGAATGCGAATGCATCATACACGACTTCAGATGAGCGGGAAATTTGCCCAGCCTAGGCTCACTCCGACCTGTGGCTGGGAGGGGTTTAGGAAAATGCGGACCCGGCACATGCCTGGCCTGGCTTCGACTTGCGCCTTCAACGCCGCGACATCCAGGTGCCGGAGCAGCGTTGGCAGCTGGGCAACGGTCATGCAGAGTTGAAGTGTCATGTCGAAGCTTCAGAGGTTCAACGAAGATCTATCCTGAGCAGACGAGTTGGAGACTGTGACAGCCTGTGAGGCGGGCAAGACGACGTCTTTGCAGGTGCCACAGTCGTCCACCTGACGAGGAAGGGGCACAGAAGAATCCGAACATACACAAAGAAACAGGTCGTTACTCGCACCAAGGAAATGGGCGCATTGGGCGCTGGGTAGCCTTGTCGAGCTCCTTGGGCATCGACGTGCAAGCGTCCTGCCAGGCTCCCTCCAAGGCCTGTCGCGGCAGAACGTCAGAGCTCTCGCAACGTAGAAAAGCCCAGACGAGCGTCAGCAGACCAAGACTCCGCAAGGACCTTCGTGACCTGATACACTCACACAGAAACCCACCACTGCGATATCGCATGTTTTGCCGGCACTCTCGACGTCAGGCGGAGCTGTACAAGCCAGGTGCTGTGCCCGAAAGAGGAGGCGCAAGGTCGTCTGTAGAAGCGCCAGGAACGAATCGTGCAACCTTAGGGAGCTCCACAGCGGCCTAAGGCAAGTCTAAAATCAACGTTGCGATCTAGATCGCATGGTCACAAAAGTGCATTGCCTCATCTCACCGAAGAAGAACAGATGCAGGGTTGGGGCTGCCTTGTGCAAGTCCCAAGCCCCAAACCCACTTATGCGCCCCCGGCAGTGGGCATGGTCCATGGGGCACGAAAGTGAGACCCACAGTAGGGCAGTGAGGATTCCTCTTCGATGCGCAACAGCTGGTTGTACTTTGCCAGGCGTTCGCTCCTGCAGGGAGCTCCTGTCTTCAGGTGCCCGGTGCCGAGACCCACAGTTAGGTCAGCAATGAAGGTGTCCTCCGTCTCGCCGGAGCGATGTGACACGAAGACACCCCACTTGTTGTCCCTGCACAGCTTCCAGGCTGCAATCGACTCCGAGACGCTACCGATCTGGTTGACCTTCAGGAGCATGGCATTGGTGGCTTTCTTGTCCAAGCCCATCTGGACACGCTTCACATTGGTGCAATAGATGTCGTCACCAACGATTTCCACCTTGTCGCCCACCAGAGCAGTCAGCTGAGAGTGGCCATCGAAGTCCTCCTCGGCGAAGGGATCCTCTAGCAACGCGATGGGGTAGGTGTCGCAGAAGTACTTGTAGAGGGCCACCATCTCTTCCCGGCTCTTCTTGCTGTCCGGCTTGGGGTTGGCGCTTTTGAAGTCCATGTCGTACTTCTGCTCGGCACCCTTCCAGAACTCGGAAGAAGCAGGGTCCGAGCCAATCAGGATCTTTCCCTCATGACCCGCCTGGCTGATAGCCTCCAACAGAAGCTTCAGTCCCTCTTCTGGGTCTGCCACGGCAGGGGCGAAGCCACCCTCGTCGCCAACAGCCGTAGAGTCCAAGCCGTACTTCTTTTTGATGATCCCTTTCAGGTTGTGGTACGTCTCGGAGCCCAGCTTCATGGCCTCAGCAAATGTCCTGGCACCTACCGGAATCAGGAAGAACTCCTGGAAAGCCAAGAAGTTGCCCGCATGGACGCCGCCGTTGATCACGTTGAAGCATGGCACAGGCATGCACATGAGCGGTTTCCCGGCGAGCTCGTTGATGTGCTGGAAAAGTGGAAGGCCCTTCTGTGCAGCACCGGCTCGGCAGCAGGCCATGGAAACGCCTAGAATGGCGTTGGCTCCCAAGTTGGTCTTGTTCTCCGTGCCATCAAGGTCGATCATGATCTTGTCGATGCCCTTCTGATCGGTCGGGTCCTTTCCGAGGATTGCAGGTGCAATCTTCGACTTCACGTTCTCCAATGCCTTCGAGACACCTTTGCCAATGTAGTCCTTTCCACCATCCCGGAGCTCGCAGGCTTCGTTCTCGCCGGTGGACGCTCCACTGGGCACGGCGGCCCGAAAGACACCGGCCTCGGTGGTAATCTCCACCTCAACAGTGGGGTTACCACGGGAGTCAAAGATTTGACGAGCATGCACCTTCTGGATCGGCATGCTTGGCAGGGAGTCGGCACAATGAATGTGGGAGCAAGCGAGCGTCGAGCGTGCTTGAGCCGCAGACGTGCCACATGATGTCTTGTGCGGAAGGCAGAGTGCAGAGAAAAGGTCGGCAGGCTGAAGTCCGCAGGCTCGCGGTGACCCGATGGGTTTATCAATTCTCGGACTACTTTACTGGTAGCAGCTTTGTCATCGTTTGACTCTTGCAACAGCAGCGTGAAGCACTCGAGAAGCCTCGGCCATGGCTCCTCCCAGCCGCAGGGAGAGGTGCGCTTCATGGCGCTCGGAGGCCTGGGGTCAAAACTCTGCAAGTTGAAGCCCAGGACCAGGACGCAGCTGCTGACATATTCTGACGAGCGATCGGAAGCACGAAGTCAACGCACACACGCATTGGCAACTGGCTCATGCAGCTTCGGGCAATGGGCATCTGCATCGGCACAAGTACGTTTACTGCCAAGGGACCATAGCGATCGTCGCAGTGGCGCCGCCGCGCAGCCGAATGTCAATTTGAGCCTCCACAGTCCCAACTACGAGCAAGGACCCCCGAACCATGTTCACGCGATTCAACGAAATCCCCGCTACGATCAGCTGATCTTCGCCCTACCAAAAGCCTGCACGGAGCAGCTCCGGAGTGCCTCTGTAGCTCGCGTCACCAGGCAGGTGCGTGCGTAGTGGGCCTGCCTGGGACTCAGCTGACATTGTGTGCCAAGCTTCGGTAAGTCTCTGACCACATGGACATGTGTAAGCGCTGCTAGAACTAGTTTGTGTAGATGTCTCACTGCTATGTACTGCTAACAAAAACTGGTACACTGCCGGCCAGTACTGATCCTCCCCTGCGGTTTCCGAACCGTTATAGAGCACATTGACATGCTTCAATCCCAATTTGCTGCTGCGCAGCTGGAGGGCGACGCGCCTAGCCTTCGTCTGCAGCAGACGGTGCTTTGCCTCGCGGTCTTCCGGAAGGTTTGGGACGGCTTACTTACGGCCTGAGTGTACGCACTCAACAGTGCTGCCAAGTTATGGATTTCGTGTTGGACGGATCTCATCAAAGCCGAGTTCGTAAACACTAAGACTAGCCTAACATGCCTGAGACTCATCCTCCAAGGCCGCAGAACCCATCCTAGCAGCCTAGCGATGTACGGGAAGGCAGACTTGGCCTCTTTAAGCGCTCTGCGACTTCCTTCCACGGACTGGCGCGCGGCTTCCACCTAGCAGATTCGTCAACTTCCCGAGGATGCACCTCCATTAACATAAGATTCCATAAGAATGGCTGCTAATAGCGTGTGTCCTTGATTTTTACTTCCAATACCCTTGGCAGATTTTGTTTGTCGAACTGAAGATGGATCCAGGATGAAGCTTGGATTTGTCGGATGCCTGCCTGAATGAGACTCAGGCCGCCAATTCAACAATGGCAGATAATGGCTGGCAGCGTTAGTGATGGTAACCCCGATGTCAACGGCCATGAGATGCCGGCAAGGACATCAGCAGCCACAGCCTTCTTCTCCAGCTCCTGCAAGCCTGCTTCTTCCATCTTCAGATCTCGGCTGGCTTCTTCGGCCTGGCACGGTCATGCCGACAAACCCTGATGTACATCCGCGGCCGATTCCAAGGAAGCTTCTGAAGCAAAACCAAAATGATCAAGAGGACCTTCTGTGCCATCATCTGCTGATCATCTTCCGCCGCTTTCATCACCTGTCGCTTCGCTGTGAGAGATCAGAAGAGAACTTCGAAACTGCCAAACCAAGAGGGAGGAGAATCAAAAGCCCAGGTTATCCTGGGGGAATCGGTGAAACGATCGGATCCAAGCGTCGCTGACACTGACAAGCTCTACGCACCGAGCCCTGAAGGCCTGGTCTCGCATCTCACGGAACCGCTCGGCTGAGCTGTTCAGGTCGCTCCTGGAGCGTGACTCGGAACTCCGCATCTCCCTCAGCTGTCCATGCAGCTGCACATCTCTTAAGATCCGACTGTGCTCGACCAAACAAGTGCCACGAACTCCAAAGGAATTCTCCGACAGGAGCTGAAACCTGACCGTCCCGACTCCTGTGATGCTGGTGCCGGCGCATGGCCCAGTTGAGGTTCTTCGGCTCCTGCAATCGGCGTGAGGCCTGGCAAAGCCAAGTGCTGCTGGTGCGGCGTGAACTGCTCTGGAACTTTATGGCGGCGCTAGCACAGGAAACGTGACTCCACTCCCCCTTCGGAACAAAATGCTGCAACCGGCAGCCCGCCTGCTTCAGGGCAAAGAGCTCTGGACAAGGCTCGGTGCTCTGAAATGTGGCCTTCGCAGAAACCCAAACCAGTCGGAACCCCAGAACATGATTCTGCAACAGTAATTCCTCAGCCGGGGAACGAAAGATTTGCGGCCTTCCGGCACCTCGGACTCCTGCTCATCACCACGACTGATGGGGCCCATCTGGATCGATTTCACAACACCGCTCATGTCCACCGTGTCTGGCGACCGGCCCGGGCCCCTATTGAAGGCATTGTTCGGGGAAGAGTTGATGGAGACCTTGCTGGAGAAAGATGGCAAGGGCGGTGCCGCTGTCGTCGCTCGGAGGGAAGCTGCTGCCGCAGCTCCTCGGCCACCCTTCTGCAGCAACTGCTCCGGGCTGAACTTCCGGGTGGAGATCGGCGCGGTCGATTTCACTTCGGGACTCATTCTCGGCACAGGAGCTGCCACGCTCGGCATACTGGGCGTAGCCCCAGGCGCACTGTTCGCTAGACTCTGACTCGCCGTCATACCCTGGCTGTTCAGCGCAGCCTGGCCTCAGCAACTCGCTCGGTCCAGATTATGTGGTGCTTGTAGGGCCCAAAGGGACTTGAAACATGCATGAAAACAGTATGCTAAGTTGTACAAAGAGTCTGCCCTTGAATTGCTTGTAGAGGTCCCAGCTCTCGGGAAGAGGCGAAGTCTCCTGCTCCGTGGTTGGAGTCCGCACTGGCGTGTCCTGTCCCACCTTCAATACCGGCTGCTCGGGAAGACTTTCGAGTGGCGGCTTCATCTCCGCATCAGCATGCGTGTTCCTAGCAAAAGACTGCACGGAAAGTTGTCCGAACTCATGGCCAGTGCACAATTACCTTGCTCTTGCAAATCTTTCCTGAAGGCGCTTGCAGTCCTTGCGTCATCGAGCTCATCCTCGAGTACCAGTCGGGACCTCAGTTTTTCAGGCCTGGAGCCAATGGACATACTCCCGACTCTTCCTGAGCGTTCCTCCAGCGATGCTAATCGTTCCATCGAGGTCGCTACTACAGATCAGTCGGATTGAAATCTGAGACTGTCGCAGGCTCTCCACGTTGGCGGTGACCTTGGCCGCAGCTTGTGAGCCGAGAGCTGTTGCAATCAATGCTTTCGGTTGACATGCTGCTAACCGCTAACCGCTGCCATCGCCTCAAAACCTGAGAGATACTTCGAGATGACAAGCAGAAACCGACAAAACAAATTCTGAAGGCACGGACCTCGCCCGACAGATCGCCCTCTTCCGTACCGGCACAGCCGTCCAGGATGGGTGACAGTGCCTGGGATGCATTCGGGCACCATCACTACAGCTTTAAAAGAGGAGCTTGGGGGCAGGCAAGCGAAATCACCAAGAAAGCGCATTGTCAATTGCTCCCATCCCTTTGATAATATCGTCGAGAAGCTCGCTCCTTCGGACTGGAAAGCTCCTGCACGTCGCCATCGCTGAAAGTCCGCATGCTCACCTGTGAGGCAATGACGCATGAGCCGTCGTGCTCTCAAGTAGAAGGAAGTTCGAATGCCGCGTACTTGCAAGTAACATGGACGCCAGACCGATCAGGCACACGCTGATCACACAACGCAAACCCGTGACGAGCTCGGCGAGGCAAGTTCTTGCAGACAGGCTGCTGTCGTGAAGGAGACACGTGGCCGCTTTGGATGCGGCGATGGCTTCTCGCTGGAAGACCTCTTAACTCTTGGCATCGAACTGACCCCGGAAGGTTTGAGGTGTGATAAGAGCTGTCCTTTAACTGAGCGCAAACTCCTGCAACAAGCACGTGTGACATTCTGTGACTATCTGTCACACAGCGAGAGACCTTATGATGGAACATGGCATGCTCCTTCGCGCAGTTCATAGACGATTAACAATTTGTGTGACCTCATCTTCGATGTCAGTCTGTGCTGTGTTGCTGCGTACTCTTTGGTAGTAGAGTAGTAGACAGCCTGATCGTTTCTGCGATTGGACTTTGTCCAAGCCAGGCCTGACGGCCGAACCATGCTCCGCTGCAGCATGCGTGTCCTGAACATGGTCTCTTCAAGTGGAGGGGCTCCAAGAGGGAGTGTAATGGTCTTGGCTCAAACTGTGCAGAAATGCCACAGAGAGCCGAAATTGCAAGTTCATGTGAATATTAGGATCACGCCCACCCAAGCTAAAGCTTTCACTGGCAATGCGGACCTGTTTGGTGACGATTTCGTTTCGGCGGTTTCAGAACTCTTGTCAGCACTGAGATTCGGCTTTTTGCAACCCTTTCAACCATGGCCCAATTGCTGTACACACGACAAGCAACAGCCCACTTCAGTATTCCTATTTCTGTTTTGGAACTCAGACCTGCTATTCAGCTCCCGCCGCACCTCCATGGGTGCTGCTGTTATGTGCAGCTGCGCGCGCCGACTACACTGCATAAGTTAGTAGCCAGGCAGCAGCAGACAGAGATCATTGACATGCACACAAACCTGACTATCTCCCTAGCTTTCATGCCTCGTTATCTAATTACTCAGATCTCTCTATCTATATCTACTTTTCTGTACATAGTATCTTGATATGGGCTGTACCAATATGTAGAAACGTACTAGTGCTGAAGAATATGCTTGATGTGCCGCTTTACAAAGACGCACACATGGCACTGTTGTAAGTTGAAGCTCAATGTATGCGCGAGAGAGAGAGAGAGAGAGAGAGAGAGAGAGAGAGAGAGAGAGAGAGAGAGAGAGGGAGAGACGGAGGGGGAAAGGGAGAGGGAGAGGGGGAGAGAGAGTAGAAAGAGAGAGAGAGAGAGAGAGAGAGAGACAGAGCGAGAAAGAGAAAGAGAGAGTGTGTGTCTGTGTGTGCACTGTAAAGGCGACGCCACAAGCATCAATACTCACGTTACGACAGCGGCATTGTCTACACCCTACTCCTCAGTTTGCAGAAACAAACTTGGTCATGAGCTTCTCCGGCATTTGTCGAGGAATGGTTGAGGAAAGCAAACAGGTTTGGAATCCCTATCCAGACAAAGCGTCGGAAGATTAACCCCGGTGGATAGGCATGGCATGCTCAAGTGTGCAGTAGAGCTTTGCAAGGAGCAGTTGACCTTGCATAAGAACCCAATCGAACTAGGACACCGTTTGAGAAAGTACTCTGCAGCACTCAGCATCCAACCGAGCCATCCACGAAGTCCTCCGCCACGGCACCATGCCACGGGTTTAGGGGGAGGCGCGAGAGAGAGTTGAACCTCATCGAGTGGCGCCTTGAGGTTCACATCAACTCGACGGCTGACCCAGAGACCAGTGTGCACACTGCAGTACTCAGTCCTTCATCGCCGAAAGGGTGTGGTTTCCGACGGACTCCTGAAACTCAGTTTCTTCGTCTTTGACATCTTCGACGCTGAGCTTTCGTACTTTTCCGCAAGGCCTGCAACGACTCCTCCCCTTCTTGCAGCCTGGCAGGCAGGACATGGTCAATATCACCTCAAAACAGCCGTGATGAGATGTGGCAGGGCTACGTATTAGTCTCTTTCCCACACATGCTCGTTCTGGAGAGGACTTCAACCTGCTTCGAGATGCGAGTCTTCGAGCCGGTGGCCGGCGCCCTGGGATCCACCCACTCACGCGCACAGCCGCACTTTGCAAAAAGACGGCTGAAACGCATGCGATGCTAACGGCAATCTGGTTCGAGATGCCAACCCAGATGCCAGCTGATGCCTACCCATACTGTCGCCACTCCTCCACTAGGCAGGACGGCCCCAGGAGCGATGAGGGCGTAGACAGCAGGTGCGTTTACACGCACCAGGCGCGGGGCTCTTGTTTGCCCGTGTGGTCTTGGGTTGTCACAAACACAAACCACAAACACACGAAACACACCCACTCTCTCTTCAGTTGAGTGCTTGAGGCCGCAATGAGCGCTGGTGCTGTTGAATCTCGCTGCCAAGGATGGATCTATCGCGCTTCTGGGGACTGGCCAACTGCTACAGAAACTGTGGAAACAAGTGCTGCGATGGACGTGAAGGACCGGGTGCTTCGCACGACAGACCCTCTGTGCAAGCTTCGAATTGCCAAAGTATCCTTCATACTGCTTGGTGGTATCGCAAGAACATCAACATTAACGACGAGAATAACATGCTCTGTGCATGTCATATCCAGTATCGTGCAAACAATGTCCCTGAAATTGCGGCAGCCTGAACTGGGCAAGCCATTGTGTTGCCAACCTGGCGATTTCCAAGCGCACATCTGACCTCGCAGCGATGTACACGGTCACGACAAACGCTTGCTAGTTCACCAGGGCATCAGCGGCTTACCCACTGAGAAAGGACATGATTGAAAAGAAGCGGAGGCAGCCACATCTCGTAGTGATTGGAACCGAAGAACTTCCGACCCGGGAGAGAGGTCCACCAATGATCCCGGGCACAAAGGGCGCAAGGGCACGGCAAGGGCACGGCAAGGGCACGGCAAGGGCACGGCAAGGGCACAGCAAGGGCTCGGCAAGGGCACAAGGGCACAAGGCTATGAGGGCATACGGGCACAAGGGCACAAGAGCGCGAATGCGCATAAACATATATACAAATATACATATACACATGTATACATATACACATATGTACACATATACATATAACACGTATAAGACATACGTATGTATGTACATATACAAAAGTACAGATGTACACATATACATACATACACATATACGTATATAAACATGCACATATTTACGTATATACATATACACATTTTGATATTTATATATATATATATACATGCATGCATACATACACATATACATATGTTCACGTGCACATATATACACAAAAGCACGTATACACATATACATATATACATTTATACATATACACATATATACACATCTAAATATATGCATCTACACAAGACTACATACTTACCCATACACATATACACATATACATGTACACATGTATACACATGAACATGAATAGAGCTGTGACTTTAAAATCAGGGGCGCCCCATCAGTCCGAGGCTCCATCCTCGGAGTTCAAGGGTGATAAGACTTCTGGTTTTAAAGACAGGACCGCCCTATCAGTCCGAGGCTCCGTCCTCGGAGTTCAAGGGTGATAAGAATTCTGATATTGAAATCAGGGGCCCTACATCAGTCCAAGGCTCCATCCTCGGAGATCAAGGGTGGTAAGGGTTCAGATTTTAAAATCAGGGGCGCCCCATCACTCCGAGGCTCCATCCTCGGAGTTCAAGCGTGATAAGAGTTCTGATTTTAAAATCAAGGGCGCCCTATCAGTCCAAGGCTCCATCCTCGGAGTTCAAGGGTGATAGGAGTTCTGATTTTAAAATCAGGGGCCCCCCATCAGTCCAAGGCTCCATCTTCGGAGTTCAAGGGCGGTAAGAGTTCTGATTTTAAAATCAGGGGCGCCCCATATGACTACCCTCTGCTGGGGGGGGGGGTGGGGGGGGGGGTAATAGGAGGCAGCCACCTATTATTTTGGCATGGTGATTCAGTGCTGATTTGGGGAGGGTTAAAAGGTTACATCACCCTAAAAACCCAAAATCCCTAAACCGTCATGATGGTTAAGGGTCTAGGGATATTAGGGATTAGGGTGTAGGGATCAGGGTTTCAGGGATTGGAGATGAGGGTTCAGCGTATGGGTTATATGCGCTTTACAGTTCAGAGTTTGACTTCGGGATTTTGGGGTTTAGGTAACCCCAGACCCTAGAGCCCGTAGGACCGCTGAACCATCTAACCCCGAAAACGAAAACCTACACTTTGGGTTTAGGCCTTTTAGGGTTTAGGGTTTAAGGTTCAGGGTTCAGGGTTTAGGGTTTAGGGTCTAAGGGTTTAGGCTTTACATGATTTAGACTTGAGGGTTTACGGTCTAGGAGGGTTTCGACGCACACACTCGCCTAAACCCTAAGCCCTAAACCCACCCTTGTATCCCTTGTCCGAGTATGTCCGAGTGTGAGCGTCAAACCGACCCTTAGCCATAAAGCCTAAACTTTAAACCCCTCGACGCGAAACCCTAAACCCTCAAAGCCCTCAACCCTAAACCGCAGACTCACAGGAGGGGCAAGGATGTATGTCCTCTCTGAAGAAGCGGCTGATGCATAAGCGCATCCAGCATATGCAGCCAGAAGACGTAGACTTAGGACATGTAGGACTGAGCTGGGGGCTCTGGGGGGCAAGAGATGCAAGAGCGGAAAAAACAAACCGTCTCAGAATCGTTTATATGAGTACAGGATGCTGGGATGCAAGTGATGCAAAATATGCACAGACTGGGGCATGTGGAGTGCGTATACTGCGTATGACACCTTGCGCATGCCATACGTTGCACACCTTGCCAACGGTCAGCTTAGCCGACAATGCAGACGTTGAAGTACACAGAAGATGCGGAAGATACGGAAGACAGCATACACAGCGTAGACAGGTGGGGTACATGGGCATCATGGGCACAACTTTGGACAAAATCTGGTCTGTGACGTGATATGATAACTGCAAGTCATTTGTTCAACACTCCATGGATGTCATGGCTGCACCGGCTGCCTCAGGCCAGGACTTGCATGGACGGAGGGGTTTCATGATGTTTCATGAGTTCTAAATTAATGTTAGATATGCTTGTGATGCTGCAGCGTCACTACCGTAAACGGAGCCATTACAGCGTCCCTGCGAAACATCATCGTGTGTCTCTGACAATGTGGGACTTGTGCTTCCTGCCACCGGCAGGAAGCGCAAGTAGAGCAGGACAGAGCGCAAGTCGGCAGTTAAACTTCTAGGAACAAAGGGTTTGGAAGCAGGACTTGTGCTCCGTGAGGAGGACTTGTGCTTCCTGCCGCCGGCAGGAAGCGCAAGTCACACATATAGCTTGTCTTGACGTTGTGTTGTATGCGTTGTGGTTGGCACATGTGTGGATGCATGTTTCGGGCCCTCGAATACGCATCCAGGCCTTTCCTGACACGTCGTTCGGCACGCAAGTAAGGCTGGATTGCTGGTTCACGAGTTTGGGCTGAGATGTTTGGATGCGTTTTTCGGGCCCTGGAACACGCATCCAAGCCATCGATCCAAGCCTTTCCTGAGGCGTTGGGGGCTTCTAAGCAAACCTGGATTGCTGATGCGCGGGTTTGGGCTGGCACCTGTCGGGATGCATTCTTCGGGCCCCGGAACACGCATCCAGGCCTTTCCCGATGCTGTGGTGGCTTCTTAGGATTTCTTAGGCAACATGCTTTGGCTGGACAGTAAAGCTGGGCTGTTGGTGGACGGGTTTGGTCCGAGACATGTCTGGATGCATTTTTCGGGACTCGGAACATGCATCCAGGCCTTTCCCGATGCTTTGAAGGCTTCCAGAGCAAATTGCTTTGGCTGGAAGGTAGACCTGGGTTGCTGCTGTCCGGATTCATTTCGGTTCGCAGGCGCCTGGATGCATGTTTCGGCCCCCGGAACACGCACTCAGATCTTTCCTGAGGGCTTGGGGGATTCTAAAAGAATTTGGTTTGGCACGAAAGTAAAGCTGCATTGCTGCTGGACGGGTTTTGGCTGGCACATGTCTGGATGCATTTTTGGGGCCTCGGAACACGCATCCAGGATATCCAGGCCTTTCCCTATGCTTTGGGAGTTTGTAGGGCAAGTTGCCGTGGCTTGAAAGTAAACCGGACTTGCTGCTGGACTGGTTGTGGTTGGCACATGTGTGGATGCATGTTTCGGGCCCTGGAATACGCATCCAGGCCTTTCCTGACACGTCGTTTTTATACCGCATGTATTCCAAACTTTCCGACCGGAAACAAGCCCTTCATGCCCTTCATACCCTTTACACTCCCTTTCCCAGATATTCCACAGTCCCAGACATTCCAGACTCCCCTGAGCCAAATGAGCATAATGAGCCGATCCCCACATGCATCACATACCCCTCGCCATACATGCCAAACGCATGACAAACGAGCTAACCGTAAAAAAACATCTGTGCCCTCATATCCCTCCCACTTTAACATCTTTGATGCATGGAACGCATTTATCGCCTGACCCTTATCACTTATATCCCTTGTAGCCCGTAATGCCCCATTAGCACTTAAGCCTAAAATCCCATGGTAAAGAAGGTGGAATGTGTGGACAATGAAGGGGGAGAGGGGGGGGACAAGGGGGGGGGGGGGGGGGGGGCAAATATGTGGGGCGCAGGGTAACCCCCCTCCCCTGCCACCTATTTATGGGGGGTAGTCATGCCCCATCCGTCTAAGGCTCCATCCTCGGAGTTCAAGGGTGGTAAAAGTTCTGATTTTAAAATCAGGGGCGCCCCATCAGTCCAAGGCTCCATCCTCGGAGTTCAAGGGTGGTAAGACTTCTGGTATTGAAATCAGGGACGCCCGATCATGCCAAGGCTTCATCCCCGGAGTTCAAGGGTGGTAAGGGTTCTGATTTCAAAATCCGGGGCACCCCATCAGTCCAAGGCTCCATCCTCGGAGTTCAAGGGTGGTAAGACTTCTGGTATTGAAATCAGGGACGCCCGATCATGCCAAGGCTTCAACCTCGGAGTTCAAGGGTGATAAGAGTTTTCATTTTCAAACCAGGGGCGCTCCATCAGTCCAAGGCTCCATCCTCGAAGTTCAAGTGATAAGAATTCTGATTTTGAAATCAGGGGCCCTACATCAGTCCAAGGCTCCATCCTCGGAGTTCAATGGTGATAAGAGTTCTGTTTTCAAAATCAGGGGCGCCCCATCAGTCCGAGGCTCCATCCTCGGAGTTCAAGGGTGATAAGACTTCGGGTCTTAAAAAGACAGGACCGCCCTATCAGTCCAAAGCTCCATCCTTGGAGTTCAATGGTGATAGGAGTTCTGTTTTTAAAATCAGGGGCGCCCCATCAGTCCGAGGCTCCATCCTCGGAGTTCAAGGGTGATAAGACTTCTGGTCTTAAAAAGACAGGACCGTCCTATCAGTCTAAGGCTCCAGCCTCGGAGTTCAAGGGTGGTAAGAGTTCTGATTTCAAAATCAGGGGCGCCCCATCAGTCCAGGGCTCCATCCTCGGAGTGCAAGGGTGGTAAAAGTTCTGATTTTAAAATCAGGGCCGCCCCATCATGCCAAGGCTCCATCCTCGAAGTTCAAGGGTGGTAAGAGTTCTGATTTCAAAATCAGGGGCGACCCATCAGTCCAAGGCTCCACAAGCTGCGCAGCCGGCGTCGGCGCACCGGCGCATCCATGTGGTGGGTCGGCGCACCGGCGCACCGGTACATCGGCGCATCCGTGTTCCAGCGGCGCAACGGCGCACTGGCGCATCGGCGCAACCGAGTTGCATGCGGTGCACCGGCGCACCGCGCAACTGTGAGGTGCTGCACCTATTGCCCCCACACACTCCATATATACATATATACATATGTACACATATACATGTACACATGTAAACATATAAACATACATACAAACATACATATATACACATACATATATATATATATATATATGCATGTACACATATAAACATAAATGAAACATGTATACATATCTACATGCATGCATACATACATACATACATACGTACATACATACATACATCCAAGGGCAGAAGGGCAGAAGGGCACGGGAACAGGAGAGGACCGATGCCCGACCCGGGGACCATGCCTAACAGCTAGAGTGCCGACAAGGTTAATCCTGAACTTGTTCTTACAGGGTTTTATGAGTGATGGATGGGACGAGCAGTCTTCCAGCCGACATGAAAGGACGAAGGCCCAGGAACGGCTATGTGGTGATGTTGTAGTACGAGCCTCAACCAGCATGGTCGTCATGATTTCAGATTTAAGTTAAACTCATTTTCCAACAACATCTTGGCTCCACAGCAAAACCGCGCGATCAACCAGAGCGTCTGGCATTATCGGTTCCTCTCTGACCGGTCTGACAGTTTAGGTTCCTGGAGCAACATCCACATGGCCTCAGTTGGTCTGGACCGTCGCCGAGCACATCGAGCGCTAGCCTGGCATGAAGGCTGCGGTACATGGTGGTCGGAGCATACAGTCACCGATCCTCTGCATTCACTTCCTAGTACGCACAGTGCAGGCTAACCGCCAATGCTGCTCCGACAGCAGAAATTAAATTACCCTGACCCAGCTGAGGGCCGAGGGTGCGTGAGTTTAGCAACCTCCACTTCTCCGAGCCAGTTTCTTGCTCGATGGCCAGTAGAGTTTGCGCCGCGCGGTTGCGACGATTCACCTGCCGTCGCCGACTATGCCAGGGTATCGGCATGCATGGGAGTGGCGTATGCAGTATCTTTTACATCCGGTGCAGCTGCTGCCTCTTTGGCGAGTGCCTTTGCCGCCACAAGTGTCGCAAGCTTTTCTTCCCGCTTCCTGAGAAGAGAGTGTTCCCAAACAGCCCTTAGCCTGACTTGCAAAAAAGCACTGCAGCCGTGAGTCACTGCTTCTTCCTCTCGTTTCGAGGCTTGTACCGTTGCCTGGACCAGAGGCGGATGGAGGCAAGAAGCCTAACTCCAAGCTCCGGCAGAAGAACCCGCGTGCACCCGCCTCCTCCTGGATTTTTAGCCTCTCTTCCAAGGTTGCATAGGCAGCTTGGACCCGCGACAGCTTGCCCAAGGCCTGCAATGGACAAGCAGAGCTGGATCTGCGCGACCGATGCCCACCAGCCCTCCACAAAGCATACATTCTTCTGGAGCATTTTTCCAGACAAAAGCCAGTCATGTGTCCTACATCGATAAAAGCAGGCCCACCAACGTCGGACAGCGTTTATGCTCATTTGCAGATGGGCCTTGAACTGAGCTGAGATTGCTGCTTCACGGCTTTGATTCTCTGCCCTCGGGATGGTGAACAGAACTAGCATCTCTCTCTGGCACCGACGGAGACAAGCCGGAAGGCACCAATGGGCCTCTTAAGGGACGAGAAGTCGCACAATGCATTAGCCCTCTGTAACACGTTTCGGTGGGTCATACATTGTAGCTTCGGTTGCATACAGCGGCTCTGGCTCACAAAAAGGGCCTCGAAGACAGAACCCACCCCTCCATCCTCCTACCTAGTGCCTCATATAGTGCCCCCCCCTGGCCCTGGCTCACTGCTCTTTGCGTAATTCGCTGAGCTCGAAGCTCCTCGGCTCTCTGCTTTGCGGCCTCGTCAAGGTGTGAAAAGAGCATCGCAGAGTGAGAAAAGGTGCCCTCAGAGGAGTCATCCGAATGACAAAAAGCATCTCTTTCAGCAAAGACGGTCGCCTGTAAAGCCTCCGCAGCCTTCTTGACTGCTGCTTCTGCCTGCTCCTGACGACAGCTATCTAGGAACTCATGAGATGGGGCAGTCTGCCTAACTGCAACCGCTACAGCAGGAAGCATGACAGGACACCTAGTTCTTGACGTGCTCGAGAGGATAATTTCTTGCAGCATCTTGCAGCACTACAACATCTCTCAGCAGCATCCCAGATTGCCTTGGCCTCGCGCTCCTGTCGCAAGTCTTCCAGTTGTGTGTGCAAGGTCCGACTCCAACGAACACTTTTCGAATGACTCGAAGTTCAATCTGCTTTATCTTCAACTGCTTTCAAAGCCATGGTCCAAAGGATCGCAGCGACGTAATCCATCAGCTCATGCTACAAACCCGTGGGTTGTTGAACGAAGGCTTAGCCACAGTAAGAAATAGGTCCTGCTGCATGAAAGGTGCGGGTTTAACTGTGGCCTCTTGCGGCCGGTTTGGCAAAACTCGAACTGCGAATGACTGCTAAAAAATGAAGCTCCGCATATGGGCGGAACTCTGAAAGACCGGGTTCCCACTGCCGTGAAGACGTGAACCTTCCTGGAGATGGAAACTTTCAAGTCGCGATTCAATTAGCAGATGAGCACAATGCAGTGGTCGCGTGCAAACCTGAGACTAGACACACAGCGGAGGTCCTTTGCCGCCCTCTCTTGCAATGCTTGTCGCTCTTCCTCCGTCATTTGCGAAGATACGACATCGACCTTGAAACTGAACAAGTGAAGGACATGGGTGAGGTACAGTACTGCGCCCGACTCTGTTGCGCTTTTGCGTGCTTGCCGGCTGGTGGCAATTTGCGACCCTCCGAGTGAATTGAAAACTGAAGCGTACTGAGGCTACTTCCACTGCTCCTGCGGCTGTTTCGAATGCAACCTGATCAGCACATACGCGAATCGCGCAGCACGGTTGGAGCGGATTGAAGCTCAACGCTGCTGTGCAGCCGACAATCCTGCAGAGACTGCCTTGCGTGACACTGACAGAAAATGCAGCCGCAAAGGCCTCAGCGCAGGCTGCAGCAGCAAGCGCCTGAGCAAATCGCTGCTGGACATGATGTCACAAAGACATTGGCTCGGCTCGCAGCTCACCGTTTCGTGGTTTCAGCAACGGAAAGTCCGCCTTGCGTGATGCGCTACCTGCCCCAACATCCCCGTCTCCCTCTCTCCCGCGGTTCTTTGTAGGGCTTGGTTTCGCCCACATCGGCTCGGCTGTTCCTCGTTCTCTCTCTCTCTCTCTCTCTCTCTCTCTCTCTCCCTCTCTACTTCTGCTCCCTCTCGTTCTGTTGCTGCGGAACGACGGGACCTCCCTAGTCTCGAGTTATGGATAGCTCGACCTGTCTTGAAACTTCGCCCTCGTTGCGGGCTTTGCTGGTGACAGTGGTCTCACTTGACAGGGCTGCTGCCTCGAGACTTTTCCGTGCCGGAGCTCCGCTGACATGACATCTCTATCAAATCTTTACCTGTGCCTCACTTTACTCGCTCCACGAGCCGCGAGCTCTTTTGCCTTACTTTAGAACTTTAGTTTCAGCTGGCAAGTTCCTTGCAGCAAGCTTTAATTTCTGTTGCTGGCAGATACAAAAGCTATGTAAGTACGTACTAGTTCAGGGACGGACTTGCCGCCTCAAAGCCCTTATTCGTTGATTAAAGAATTACGCAGCACGCATGTATACAACACATGTTTCTGAATGCTATGCTTAAACAAAAAGATGCAGAGTCAGTACATCCAAGGCACATCGTCCCTCGCTTTCTCCGCAGCCTTCAAGGCTTCGGCCTGATGCAGAGCCGTAAAGGATGCACTGCTCGTGGGCGACTCTCAAACTCGTAGTCTTGAATTCTGCGGCGGTCCTGGCCGTTCTTACGCTTCGTTGCCCTCCACTTACTATGATTTCGTTCCTGGGTTCAAAGTCTTTCGTGCTTGCATATGCCTTGCTGCTATGCCTTGCTCCGATTAGCAACGTTACTCCAGTTCTTGCAAGAACGGTCCTTGCGCCGAAGTAATGACGGCGAGGATGGGACAACGATGATGATGGTGAAGAAGATTCTGATGATGGTCATGATGGTGATGATGATGATGATGCTGCGGGTGAAGATGTTACTTGCTACGAGTGCTGTTACTTGTGCGTGTGCGATGGTCCTGACTTGGATGAGTATGATGATAGAGTTGATGATGGCATTGGTTAAGCTGAGGATGGATTTCTAGGAAGCAGGCACTGCCGAGCCTCATCAGCCATCCGAGCCTCCCATGCAGCTTTCGCCTTCACAGAATCAGAAAGCCGGACGTTCCTGTGTCTGCTGCCTTCAACCCTTCAGAATACGCTCCAGCAAGTCGTGGAAATCCAGCAATTGAAGCAAATTGGCATTCTCAGTGAGTTGCAACTTGTCCAGACGAGCTTTTCCCGCATACCGGGAACACTGAAGAGCATGCCTTCTCCACAGCTTCTCGTTCTTTCTGAGCTGCGGCAGCAACAGCCTCTTGCGAGATGTAGCAGCAGAGGCGCCCTACGAGTACAGTATGGTACCGAGATGGGAGGGGCATTGAGCAGTCTGGCGGCACGTCAGGAACACATCGGCAAGGACAGTGGCTGATACCCAAGTTTACACAAGCTTGAACACCGATACATTCCAAACCGTCAACCCGGCACAAGGGCAACAGCACATTTACAACGCATAACTAGTCAGATAGCGGGTACGAAGATAAACAAAAACAAGCAGTCAACATATTATAGGGTCATGCGTATTCACATGCTGATCGCGTCAGGCCTGAGCTTGCGCCATGGTTCTGGCAGCCTCTTCGTTCGCGACCTTCTCTCGTATTCAGTATTCAGACAGTTCTGTCAAGTTTGTTGCCGAAGCGTAGTTTGCTCTCCGGATTAGGCCGTGGGTTGAGGCTCGGCTTCATCAAGCCTTAGCGGCTTGCTTGAATGAAAAAGCGAGGCTTCCGGCAAAGTGTAATGCGATCAGATGAACCCGAGGCGCAGAAGTCAAGTGCAACGGAGAAGGACGAAGACATAGCTTTGCAGTCAAGGGTCCGTGCTTGCCTTGCGTTGAAGGCTTGCCTGCCAAACTTGACTTGGGCCTACCGAAACCTGTTGTAATTAACACCCAATCCGGCGTTACACGACTCTGCACTGGTTCCTAAAGTTTTGCGCTCCGGGAGCTGCAGCGGGCGAACTTCTTCAAACTCCCGGCCTGCTGCTCGGCACGTTCTCGAGCAGCCTGGGCCTCTGCCTGACAGACATCGGTCCGACAACGTCGAAGTCAGAAGATACTTTTGAAGGCCTCAAGCTTGAATCCAGTCCCCAAACCATGTGGGTCATGTTGGCACAGGCGCAGCAGTCGAGCAAGCGCAGCAATCAACTGACATGTGCTCGAGATCGACAGGCCACATTAACATGACAAGAGGCTCTTTTTGGAATCAATGCCCTTCTGGGTACTTTCCGCCTAATTAGCTCTTTGCCCTCGATGGGAATCTACGATGAGTTCGAGCCAGTCTCAGAAAGTCCATCCTCTTTCATAGCGTCATATCCTCGGTGTGTCGGCTGATGCAGCAACAGCTTTCCGTTCATTCGGGGTTAGGGTGCAGATCGATGGCAGTGTCGTTGATTGTTGCGACTCTTCTTGTCGGTTATGCGGAAACTGAAGAAAAACTGACACAGAGTTGCAGACAGATTCTGTCTTCTGAAGCACGTGCTCTGTGCTCTATCTCCTCCAAGGAAATCTCAGCCATTTGCTCAAGCAACGCGTCCCTCGGTAGCGACGGGTCGAGAGGTGCCCTGTCTTGGTGCAGAAGGCCAGAATGTAGAACTAGCCTCAAAACCAGCCGCGAGCTGTTATAGGCAGTGTCTGCCACTCTGGGCCGTGACCCATCATCATGTCGACCCAGCAGCGGGAAAGTCAAAGAGGCTTGGAAAATCCAAGACAAGATCACGACTCCGAAAGAGGACGCCCAAATTATCCAGTTAGCGCTCCTTCCAAGAAGGACTGCCATACACGAAAACATCCACGGGGCGAATAGGTACAGGATCACCACGTAAGCGACGCCAATCTCGGACAGAAAATCACAGCCACAGGCCCTCATGAACACAGGGTAGTTTGCAGGGCTGACTCCGGATACGAGTAGGTGCAGTATGTGTGACATGCAGAAATGCAGAATAAGAAGCCCACTGTATATAAAGCTGAAGATCAAGCAGAAAAACTTAAGCTTGTCCACCGGCCAACCATCCTCATCCCAGCCAATATCTGCGCAAATGCCCGTAGCTGTCGGTACAACGGAGGAAAGCAGAAGCAATGTCATCAAGTTGTATGAGTCAAGCTGGATACAGAAGAGTTCCCGCAGCTCTTCTGGGGACTTGCCAGACTGCTCCAAATGCTGGAACCAGACGGGTTTGTGGTCCGACCAGATGAAGCCATCCATCAATTTCACCTCGCCAGGTTTCACTACGCTTCTTACGGTAACCTTTTTGTAGGAGACGGAAATCCAACAGCACTGCAACCAAAGCACCGCTTTTCCAAAGCGTTGTATGAGGGTGCCATTCCCCCGAGCTTTAGCTGAAGGCACGGGGGCCGCGGTAGACGGCTGGTCGGCTTCGCGGCTGTCGGTGCCCAAGTCGGCCACTGCACCTTCAAAGAAGTCCAGTTTGTCATACCAGCAGTCATGCACGAGCCGACTGCACACGAAAGCTGGGCTCGGCATGATCGTGAACTTGCTGTCTTGGCCTGGACTGGTTGGTCTGGGCTAGAACAGGCCTTACCCACCTGTTCAGACAGTCAGGCGCCTGCGATCTCGGTTTTCTGAGGCTGCTTTGGGGTCCGGAGGATGACACTCTTGCAGACAGAATCACATTCGGCTTTCATCACAGTCCCGTCATGCCAGGAACGAGGCACTCAGAATTCTTGCGCGCTGAACTGCGGAGGTCAAGCCGAGCTCCTTCCATCCTGCAGCATTGACAGCCACCGTCTTACCTCACCGCTACATCGCTTGGCCTGGCCGTGGCCGGCCTTCGTGACCGAGGTGTGGCAGCATTTTGCCTTCAACATTGTGGTGAAAGGCTGCCAGGGCCACCTCCGAGACACAATCATAGCAGCATAGCACAGGCAGCATCGAACTTCCACGCACCTTGACCTCAGCAGCTACGAGAAGATGTTGCTTGGGACACTCTCTGCAAAGGGCAGCTTGCATGGCCTCTGGATAGCCAGAGGACGTCAACCATGCACGGACATCCTCGCAAGACCTCAAGAGTGCAGAGCAAATGCCTAATCTTTCTATATGCGAGGTCCACACAGATGAACGTCTGACTTGCTGCATCCTCTTCATGCTAGTATTTTTTCGTTGCAAGCCGCACTGGTGCCAATCTGACAGTTTAACCCAATTCCTGAGTGCTGGACCAGTCTTTCGACATCTCAGGCCGCAGGCCACGAGAATGGGTTCGAGTCGGATGCATTGCTGGTCGAAAGGAATGCTATGGTCAGTCTGCACTCGCACGCGCGTGAATTCTCCTAAATGTCATAGACAGTGCAAGCAATTTTCCGTGCAGTTTCTGGTGGTCACATGAGTTCAAGTCTGCTTCGCGCTAATTACCTCACTGTCGCTAGCCCGTGCATCGAGAAAGTGTGCTGCGGACGATAAGCCTGTGACACAAAGACACACAAAGCGTTTTGATTTGCGACTATCAAAATTCTCGACCAGCTCTGCCACACTACGTAAGACAGTCAGGACTCAGGCTCCACGTACTGCGGCCTCTTTAGCCTGGATTCCAGCAGCTGCGTCAGCTGCTGCCTGCAGGAAAACAGCCGAAGCAGATTTTGGCTGGCACCGGAGTTGCCCTGGTAGACTTCGACCTGACTTCATGCCTAAGTGGCTGTGGTGCTACGGCTCCGAAATCTCAATCCCAGTCGTGGACACTTCTTTGGCGGACACGTCAAAGTGGAAACGGTCGTCCAGCCTGCTCCCGGGCGGAAGCTGCCGCTGCCTGTGGATCAAGCTCAAGAGAAAAGACTTAGGCCACTGCGAGGTCCTGTCGGCTGCTGGTTGATTCAAATTCTGCCGAATGAGCACAGTTGCAGAGTTCGGGTGGACCATCGCCGGCAGGTTCTGCCTGCAAGTCCTCGTTGCCCTTTAAACCCGCAACCCTCAGGACATGCAACCTCAGTGCTACCATGACTGTTATCCACTGCAACGCGCATGCAATGGACCATGCTCCCAACGAGTAGCCTCTTGCTCGGCTTTCTGCTGGGCTGCAAGAAGAGCAGCCTGCAAGGCAAGTAGGTGCGCATGCAACGGTGCATGACGCTTCACCACTCTGTGCCTCTTTCTCCTTCATGGCAGCTTCTGCCGCAGCTGCGGCCTGCGAAAGCGACAATGACAAGCAAGTCAACAGATTGTCAAGACAACTTTGAAAGGATTTGCAAAATAGGCCAGATGCAACGACACAGGATGCAAATGCAACCAGCGCCCGAAACGGCAAATGCGATCTTGCCAGTTTCTGTCACCTTGCTTGTGTGCTGCTGCTTTGACAAATCCTTGTTCGCAGAGACTGCGTGGCTTGACATGGTGTCGTGGCACAAAAACTCTACCGCAAGACGGATACTGGAAGCACGGGATGGTGTGAGCCGGCATCGTAAGACGCCAACAACCTCAAGACCTGAACCACGGCTCAATAACGCAGGGCGCCTGCTCCTGTGCCCGTGCTATCCTTTGGGCCAAGAGCTCCTCGTCCTGACCCTCTGAGCCGCTCTGAGCCTCACGGCTTTGAAAGTTTTCGGCCGCGAAGTTGGGGGTTTCGGCTTCTCGCCCAGCTTCGAGGCTGAGGAGTTGCACAGGCCTTGTGTGGCACGTTCGTTAGACACATATACATATGCATGTACATATACATATACATATACCTATACGTATACATGTACATATAACATATAACATATAACATATGCATGTACATCTACAGGTATATATATATACATATATATATATATATACATGGTAACTCCCCCAAGAACTACAGACCCTCGTTTTGTATCGTAAATGCCGTGTTGAAACGGCCTTTCCGGCAGATCCAGAAATTTTGTATCTCGCAAAGACAACCTAAACGAAACTCACATTTCAACAGAACGTGCTAGACCGCTCTTTCAGGTTCAACGGTAACACTGTACTGTTCCAATCACAAACCAGAGCACACATGTCACGGCAACATTGTATTCTTCCATATTCTTCCTCACAAAAACCAACCCTTTTTCGAGGGAAACCACCAAAAAACATCTTTCGGAAAACTATACGGCCGAACTCCAAAAAGATGTTTTTTTGTTTTCCTAGGAAAAGGCTGGTTTTTGGTGGAAAAACTACCTTTTTCACAGGAAAGAGATGGTTTCGACATGAAAAACCAATTATTTCCTAGGTAAAAAATGGTTTTGGAAGGGAAAACAAGTTTTTCTTCAGGAAAAACAAAAAAACCATGTTTTGGTAAACTATGTGACCAGACTTCAAAAATATGTTTCTTTGGTTTTTCTTAGGAAAGTTGGTTTTCACACCAAAACAATCTTTTTCCTAGGAAAAAATTGGTTTTTCCCTCCAAAACCATCTTTTCCCAGAAAATAATTGGTTTTTCATGTCGAAACCATCTCTTTCCTAGGAAAAAAACTGGTTTTCACACCAAAACCATCTTTTTCCTAGGAAAAAGATTGTTTCTCCACCAAAAACAATCTTTTCTTAGGAAAACAAAAAACAATCGTTTTGGAGTTCGGCCTTATGGTTTTCAGAAAAATGTTTCTCTTGGTTTTTTTTGAGTTTCCTAGGAAATAGTTGCTTTTCCCTTCCAAAACCATCATTTTCCTAGGAAATAATTGGTTTTTCACGTCAACACCATCTTTTTCCTAGGACAAAGTTGGTTTTTCACTCCGAGGCCAGGGTTTTGTAGCGAGGAGTGTGCATTTCATTTGTTTGCGCGCGTTACGAACACGTGTTGCCTGTAAGGTTTAAGTATTCTTATTACTGCGATACGATCCCGCCAACATTAATACTCTACAATATATTGGGAAGTAACAAAGACAATCTTCGGGTCAACTTTGGAGTCGATAGGGATCAGGTTATCACAGCTACCGCTTGATGTCTCCGAGCTGACTGAAGTTGTAAATTTAATGAGAAACATCCGGGTCAAATTCTGGGTGGTACTAAGCCTACTATGGATGGCCTTCGGGCTGCTGTCAGGGCGAATATTACGGTCACCATTGACATAACGGCGAATGACAAGGATATGGTTAGGGTTGATGTTGTTTGGACGCAGGAGTCAGCTAATGATCTTCGTCACTATGTTGGTACCTAGTACAGGTTTAACCTGAGCGTTAGCATGTGTATATAGACACATAAATGTACATACCGCATACGGGCAAGTCCGACTGCAAGTCTGCCAGTGAGAAAGGTGGCGCCATGTACTATATGTTGAGGTAAACAAACAAAGGCTGGTATAATCCCTAAAGATCGAAGGGCCAGCCTTTGGGGAACACCAGAGCGAATACAGCAAGGATCGCGCTTCTTAATGGAATCCGTTTCGTGTAGTTTAATATTAGTATGAATATGATGGCAACCGTAGAAGCAAATGCCTGGGCAGTATGTAGCTCACATGAATTAATATCAACAGCAACTGATAGTGGGGATGCCATGGCTTTTAACTTCGGAGACTTGAATCGGAACCCACAGCTACATCTGGATGCGCTAACCTGTTGATGAGGCCAATGGCCATTATGTGGGTTGCAGTTGAAGGAAGTATCCGGCACAAGGAACTGCTTGTGGGCAGTATTAAATTTGCGAGTCAGGTCCATCTTGGGGGGACGGCAATATCCTTACTATCGGGGGGCCAGTCAAGCTGATGTATGTGATTGTATTGACCTTGTATTAACCTTCAGCTCGGCATGAGAGTTGATATGGGGATGTATACACAATCGGGTTACAAGTCGACATAACATGTTAATCCATACGAACTACTGGTAAGACGTGAATCTATAAGGCACCATGTGTGGGTAAACATGAAGTGGAAGACTACACCATTGGCGCCAATGTAAGGTCTATAATGGCAGGGATAGTCTTAAGATATTGTTGTTTAGGAATAGGAGTCAGCAATGCTCACGGTCATTCACACGTATTGCTGGGGCTTCGATCTGAAACTGTAGTGGGGCTACGTTAGGAGTTAATGCTCGTGCCCATATTGAGCTTCGGGTATTCCGACAGACATGACTTTCATCGTCGGGAAATCATATGTCAGAGTATCTTGTGTGAAGGCGGCTGCCGATATACGTATGCTGTCCCCTCCGAACTTCAAAATCTAATAACACTAAGCCTGGATCATACAATAGAAGCCTAAACCTAGGAGGATTGGTGGCATTATCGCGGCATTTTTATTTATCTGTTTAAGTTTATACATATCAGGAACATGTATTCGTGTTACAAACATACATACATATCCACGTTATCTACGCATATGTGTACAGGCATGCACATGTGTCCGCGTTCGCAGGACTGAATACTGACATGACGAAAACGATGACATGTTCGTCCACATACAAGCAGTCATGAAGGCATGCATGTCAATATTTGACGTGGATATTGAAGACGGTGCGCAGTTGCAGAATTCAAAGTACTTCAGGGTGACTTAGTAAATCTGTTGAGTTTGCCTTCTTTTGTGTACCCCTTCTTCGTTGATCACATACCTGCAGCTCCTTGTTATGTGCAATTTGACGGCATACTTTTCTACGACCCTACGGCAGAAGGCTGTTCCGACCAAAGCCACTGAACACGAGGATCGCTGGAACTGCCAGAACAAGTGAGCTGACAGTCCATGTGCGCTACATTGGGGAATTCAACTCCTTACACCACCATTTCACCAACAACCACCACCACCGCCACCACCGCCACCACCACCATAACAAGGACAACAACCGCAAACATGACTACTGGAATGGCAAAAGCCAACGCACCAATGCTAGCACGAACAGTACATACAATCCCTGTCATCACTACTCATGTTGTCCCGAACAGCGACTATTGCCATCGTCACGCTGGCTGCTGTGGGCTATCTAGGCCGGCCGCTCCTGCAGTGTTTTGAGTGTGCGGACGGCCCAAATCCTAAGCCTGCCCAAAATCTTGAACAGTTGAAGTCCAGGCATAAGCTAAGCAGGGAGCATAGCTAGATTACTAGCAGTACAGAAGCAACATACAAAAACTACAGAAGTTAGCACCTTCAAGGCGGAAGAAGTCACAGAGCGGCGTTCAAGAAGTGGATGTTGGGGGCCTGTGCTTCTGCCCTGGCTCGAGCCGCCGCTTCCTGCAGCTCTTGCTCCATCTGCTCCTCCAAGCTCCAAACCAACAACACAGCATATAGGCATATAACACGAATTACCGTACTCTACATTACTATACTGCACTACCCTGCTGTACTCTACTACACCTCAACTAGAGTGGACTAGATCAGGTACAAGTAAGATAGCATGCGTAACAGTTTGACCCAGCGGACCAAGGCGGGGTTGTTGGGCTGTTTGAAGCCCCAGGTGTTCCGCCGAGGGTGTTTGAGAAGCTTAAAGTTAAATTTTGGCAAATCAAATCCTGTCGCTTACTTTGTGGTGGGCACTGACGTTGTCACGACTGCCTTCCTGAACCTGGTTCTTAGCGATACAGCTGTTCTGTGGAGCATTGCTCAACTGCGTGACGATTCTACGGTATGTTGCAGCACATGGAACGTGATCGAGATGCGACGGTGCTGACGAAAATGGCCGGTCAATAAGACACGCATGGAACGAGGTATCAAGGGCTGACTTGTGCATGGCTGCCGTCCTTGAACAGGCGCATCTCTTCTTCTCGCTTCTGAACCTCCTCCCGTGCAGCATCTGCAGCAGCTGCTGACGCCTGGTGAGGAGGCGCAGCAGGGACTGCCCTGATTCCTCGATCGCATCGGACTAAAGACTCTGGGACGACCTTACATCATGGCTTCATGACTTCATGGTTGGGCAATCTTGTGCACTTGGTGGGCTAGAGCGGCCAGATGGCCGTTACCGTAGCGGTCTTTACTCAGTCGTCTTCTCTGGGACTGTGGGGCAAAACTACCTCCGACAGCGTTCGCGAATGAAGTGACACCCATCTGTTCGCCTGTGCTTGCTCCAGAGCTTCCTGCTTTTCGGCCATTGCCAGGGCTATGGCGGCAGCCGCCTTCCAGGCTAGGCGAGCAAGACTGGCGCTTTAGAAGAACATAAAACCTCTTGCTTCTTGTATGCAGGAACAACGAAGATTCAAGAAGCCAAGCTAACCACGTTGTCACGACGCAATTCTACTCGATTTCTGTGGACCAGAACACTACCGTGGGCCTCTTGCTCGGCACGCTTTGCAGCCTCGAGGGCTTCTTGCTCCTGTGGTCGCTTTTGCTGAGATTCCTCGCCTAAAGAACGAGGGCTGCTCATGGATCCACAAGAAGCGAATGAGAATCTCCCCGATGCGCACTTTTTTCAAAAACTAGCCACATGCTCTAACCTGAAGCTTCAGTTCCATTGCCGAGCGACGGCATATGGGGTACACTACACGCGGAAAATTGCATCCGCACATGATGCATCGGCTGCAACTGTACCAGAGATCTCCCACTGTGGGCTTTGAGTTTAGGCTTCGGCGCTGAGTTGTGATTCAGGTCAACTTTCGCGAATAGAAAACAACCATGGCGTGGTATCACGTGGAGGTCTCAAAAAGCTGGTCAAAGGTTGGCTGCAGTCATCAAGTCTCTGCGGGCCAGGAACTATGTGATTCTTGATCTGAGGATTGAATTGCGCGCTTCTTTCCGCGCAAGCTGGTCCACTGCCCACCAGAGCCGGCTGCGAATAACACCCCTTTGACTGCTGCTGTTGTCGTGCTCTCAGCACGATCAAGTGTGCAGCAGCAGCAGCAGGACCAGTAGTAGTAGCGGTCGTAGTAACAGTAGTAGTAGTAGTAGTAGTAGTAGTAGTAGTAGTAGTAGTAGTAGTAGTAGTAGTAGTAGTAGTAGCAGCAGAGCAGCAGGAGGAGTAGTAGTAGTAGTAGTAGTAGTGGTAGTGGTAGTAGTAGTAGTAGTAGTAGTAGTAGTAGTAGTAGTAGTAGCAGTAGCAGTAGTAGTAGTAGTAGTAGTAGTAGTAGTAGTAGTCCTAGTCCAATGTGTCCAAGCTCGCCTTAACAACTTTCGCATTCGCTGTTGGTGTGCTGGTTGGTGTGCTGGAAGCATGACGAACCAGCTAAGCATGAAGAGCCAATGAAGACACTTTGTTATCTACCTAACTAGCTGACTACCTAACCAACTATCTGCCTAAGCAGAGAAAACGAAGGAATTGACTGGCGAACTAAGTCACGAACTAACTGACGCAAAAGCTGACTGACTCTGAGTAGCTGGATTGCTGGCTAGTTCTCCTGATTAACGAGCCATGCTCTGGGCTTCTAGAGATGAGTAGAAAGAATACTTGTTGCATCCTTCAAACATCAACTTGCTTCTTGGCAAGAAATCGTGCAGCTCGACAGCATACCCTCCAGAGAGCCAGACAATCGTGAGAAGCAGATTCAGATCAATGGAATGGCAAGGGCCGCGGCTTCATGTCAAGCGGTTTCGCCTGCCTCAATCTGGCGGTGCTGCGAATGAAAATGGCTCGAATTGAGTGAAGAACAGAAGTCCAAACTTCACACAAATCAAGTGAAACAATATCAGAAGCATCTGCTAGCAAGCCCACCGCGTGGCCTGACTTCAGTTTTGCTGGTCTGCCCGCGAGAAAGTGTGAATACTCTTAAGGGCCTGCTTCGACAGCCATTACATGCTGTCGTGCTCCGGCCATCAGCATTCTTCCCGGGAGCTGTGCCAGTTTGTGCATGGCCCACCCCAATTCCGAACACGAAGATTCAAGAGATATAAGCGAACTAAGTGCAAGCCATCCTGGACATCAACGTGCACACGATGAAGCATTTCACAGATCTCATCAGACATCGAACTGGCACTGCTTCAAACCATGCTTGGGATCCCTGTGCCTGTGCATCTCGATAGCTTGGCACAGCAAAGCCGCGACTTCATCTTGCAGGCACGACGAAACGGCATGAGCATCAAACTCAGCCGGGCTGGTCGTGTTCAGATTCATGTTCACCACATACGGCGGTCGCTCGCGGAGGTCCATTGTGCTAATGTCTTCAAGCCAGGCGTCTTCGCCGAGGAAGACAACGAAGGGCTGGTCTTGGTTGTAAGCTTGAGAATTTCTAAGCGCCATTCTGAAATCCCGGCGGTTCGAGACCTCGAATGCATCCTCCACGCCCAAGCGTCGAGCATGCGATAGAAAAATGAAGCGCTCATAATCTTCTCCCCCCGCTGTGATGATGTCCAGCTTGCCCTTCAATTGTCCATCCGTTCTGGTGGTCCAAGCCAAGAACTCGTCAACGACTACCGTCTCTTCGCTACTGCCTTCAGAGCTCGAGGCACCTGAATCGCCATTCTGCTTGGGCATAGCTTGTATGGCACAGGATCCGGGACGCTAAGAATGCTGCACTCTTTTGACCTCTTTCGAGAGTCAGGTGCTTGACACAGTAGTGCCTGCATTACCTCGGACCTCTCACAGGAAAAGAAGGCAGTTTCAAGAAACAGCTTGCCCTCACCTCTCATGCGTGTACCTGCTATTGAGACTCATTATCATACAGACCTGCATGAGGACGCTCGAAGAGGAACCGCCGACCTCCAAAATTGAGGGCCTCTACCGCGCAGCCACAAGCCCCCAGAAGTACGAGTTTGAAGTGGACTGGAAGTTCCGGAAGGTTGTCCTGTTCGGCCTGTCGCGCGGCTTCCGCGGCATCCGTTTCAGTTACGCCCGGCTTCTCCTAGCTGGATGCAAAGCCGGAGTCAAACTTCTGTCCGAAAGGAATCTGAGACTGTATGTTCTTGGCTCGGTCAACGATGCAGCTGTTGTGCGCTGGCACAGAGCGATGGTCGGATTCCTTCTCGGCTGGAGTGGCATCTGCAGCTGCGCCCCACCTGAGACAATTTGCAGCACAATTTGTCTGTCTTCTTACTTAGATGCGCTCTGCGAGGTTCCAAGGATGCGTCATGAGAAACCAGCTCACCACATACCGACCCACCCCTCGGCCAGACCCTGATCTGACTCTTTCCACACACTGCCTCCCACATGGGGTCAGCACTGAGTGACCATCCAAGAGCCTGTTGGATCAAAAGCCTGTTGCATCAAGTCCTGCAGGGTGGCGTGCGGCTTGAGTGGCTTGCGCTTGCCATGACCGAGTGTAACAAAGGAAGAAGCGAAAAAGGGCGAGCAACGCACCTCTTCACGAGCTTTTCTTGAGATTTCCAGGATCAGCCTTGTGCAGTATGTGGGACACTGGTTGAAGCAGGGTTGAGCCACCCCACCCACCCAGCTTCCACAACTCTCCGCCCACTCACAGTGAGCCTGTTTTGGCATCAGTGGTCGAGGCATAACCTACTCCGTTGAGACCCTCAGCAACAGTCAGTTCGGATGCAATTGGTCTGTTCTGAGTTCATCAGCGAACTGAGCACGGTACTCCTCTGACACGCACGAGAATTCGGTTTGCACCTTGGGCGACTAAGCGGCCGCTGGCAGCGCTTGATTCTGGCTTCTCAATTTCAATCATCAATGCCCGCGTCTTCACACTGCATTTCTCCGCATGCCGTTCATCTTTCGCAGTGCTGCGGTGTGTGTGATGGGGTCTGCACCGTTTCATGGTGTCGTTGGATGGCACGTGGGGCCTTGCACGAGAAGGGCAGCTACGTCGTTGCACCAGCATCACATGAGCATGAAGGCTCCGGTACGAATCAAGCGCATGCCAAGGCTAGGCCTAGGCGCGCGCGCGCCTCCTTTTGAACCTTATCGGGTGCCACGAGAGCCAAAGCCTGGCAGAAGCCGAGCAGTGCTTGGCGCGCGGAGAAAAATTGTGCTGCAGAAGGAGCGCCATGAACCTACCGCCTATATCCTCCTACAACTACCTAAAAATTACTTATCGGATAAAAAATGCTCAGTGCTCAGTCTTCTGCTTGCAAGTTAAACTCTGCCCACAGACCTGAGCCTGGCCAATGCGATGGGCAGTCTGTAGCAGGAAGAGCTCGTTGGCCTCGTCACCTTCACTCTGGTCTCCGGTTTGCCATGAAAGATGTCAGCTTCGGAAAACAATCGCCCGAGTGAAGAACTCTGGGGCCGGGGCAAAGACCCTTCACGAAGGCCTTGACGCTGGGCTCCTCTGCTTCCACCAACTTTCACATGCTTCTCTTTGACTGGCGATCGTAGTGCTAGGAGGAACATGCGATCATCTGCGGGCACTGAACATGTAGAGGCTGCCGACTCACTGGCGACGGCCCATCTGGAAAGCAGGTGGAATGACTCCAAAGGGCTGTGCAGAAAGGTGATGCCAGTTTCTTTTCTGCGATTAGGGTGACGTCAGCAACCGGCAGAAGCTGAGTGCTTTTGTGGAATGCTCAACGTCAGCAAGGTGCATCCATAACACTTGCCAACAAATCTGCTAAGTCACGATGGGGACTGGCTGTTCGGGCGGAGCCATTGCTGTTGTCGTAGCCTTTGGCTGCTAGGGTGAAACGAATCCGAGGAACAGCGCTTAGCGCATCTTCGCACCATATCGGAAGCTACTACCTCTCCTTCCAGTTTCTGGGAGACCATTCAGAGCCTCGAACTGGGCGAGAACACAAATGCATGAGGCTCGCGAGATTATGCTTGAGGCCGGTCATCTCAGCCTGACTAGGGGTGCAGGCACAAGAAAACGGTTTCTAGACGTTAAGGAACGCTCCTGTCTCGACCTGCTCTGCATGTGGTCACGCTGTCTTTGCTGATGTGCAGTGTCGATGTCTGTGACATGCCCTGCCTCCATGAAAGACTGGAACTTTCCCTGGTTCTTGATGATCCAGCTCTGATCCTGTATGAGTTGACCGACATCCATGGCCTTCGCTTGTCCACGGAAGCGAAGACAACCCATGAAAAACTCCTCCACATCTACTGATCCACCTCCGTCGGAGTCCAGAAGCTTGAAGAAAGCCCAAGCATCCCACACCTATACTGAACTTGGTGCCGTTGCAAAACAGTGCAATTTCAGCTCAGTTGTTTCTTAGGGGTCATAGTGACCAAAAACATAAAAAAAATCCCAAGTACCCTAAGACACATCTAGACCGAGTGCTTCAAAATAGGTGGTAACGGAATCAGAGTTGATGTTCTCTTCGAACATCTGCAAAGTGATGTGTCCATCATCGGTGGCACCCAGCCGTCCGAAAAGCTCCTGTATTTTGCGAACATGCTTCTCTTTGTTCATCAGCATGTTTTGCATAAGCGTCACTTGGTCGTTCTGTGCCGATTCAATGGCTGACCTTGACCGGATCTGTAGCACATTGCAAATTGGCTCTTGCCGCCATCATGAAGCAGAAATGTTCGCACACGAATCGGAAAACATTGCTAAATCAGTCAATGCACTGGCAGAACACCGCCGTTACTACCTCAAGCGTGTAAGATTAGCAAATACAACAGACCGGGCAAAGCACAAGCGGACACCTATGCAAAGACCCATGTGAACACACCAGCACAAGTCTGCCAGCTTCGGACATGGCTAAGTACACAGCTGTAACACTGTAGCAGCAGCATGGAAGCGAAGAGAGCAACTTGAATCATGGAATTAGATGAATGCCGCGAAAGCTTACACATCGCTTCCCCTTGCATCTCTCACAACTGTGCAACATGTGCCGTGGGGAAACTGAGGCCGGCTCGTTTAAGACTGCAAAATACGTGAAAGCTATATATCCAACGTAACAAATAACCCAGATGGCTGATATCTCCCTGAGCGGTGCCAGAGCTTGCTCCCAGCTGACGCCACCAGCCAAGCTCATGAAGAGAGTCAGCATGCTGTCCACCAGCGAACCAAAATACCGTTGTGCAGCATCTTGGTGGACCAACGTCGTGTTGCTATCAGCTCTGTAGTCGCTGACAGCTTGCGTAAACAACACAGCAAACACCTCGGATAGTGGAGAAACGAAACCATCATCGAATGGAGAGACAAACCGTTGCAACGACAAACTCGCAAACCCCAGGACTGCATCATGATGGTCTCCGACTGTCAGCAAGGTTCATGAAACCAACAGTTCCATTCCGAACGGATGCCGACTTTTGCTGTGGTCGTCCGATGCTTGCATCACTTGCAGCCGCCTATTCGACGAGAAGACTTCGTCTGATGTAGATTCAATGTAGATGTACCTGGTTTGAACGAGATGACGTCACATGGTTTTCCGACATCCTCACTGTCGTGGCAGAGCTTGGAATTCCGAATCATGGCGGTGGGTTTCAATGTCTTCGTATGTGGCAAGGTGGGGATGATGGTGGTGCTCGCCCTTGGATGAGCCTTGGCATCCTCTACGTGATCGTCCTGTCGGATGGTAACTACTTGGACTACCTCATCGAAAATGCCTTCGCCATTTTAAAGTGGCACACACAAGCCACTCCGAATGCGGGCACACACAGCCCTCCTTTTCTACCTGTAGCCGGTCGGCTCTGGTCTCGAAAGACCCAGTCCATGCGGCACTCACGATTGCCTGAACTGGCACCAATAAGACTCTTGAGTCTTTCATACAAGGCCGCATCTGGATCCACAAGGTCCTGTTCTTCAGCCCAGGGGAAGAGGTTCTCGCACGCAAAAGCTCGAACCTTCAGCACAAAATGCGCTTCAACTTCGCGGATCCTTTTCTCATGCTCACATTTCGTGAGCTTCCTACCGGCGGTGAACTGAGGGTCGTAAATGAGCCTCCAATGCTGCCTCTCAAACATGAGCTCCAAGAGGGCTTTCTTGGCGTTGCCCTTCGTCAACGAGTCGGCCAGCTGCTCTGTTCCAGCTAGCCAACTCAGGTGGGTAACGCTCCACACTCAACAACTTGCTTGACGGCAATCGTCAACTCGTAACCGGATCGGCTACTTCTCGTCATGGCATCGTAAATGCCACGTGAGTCCATCACGAGGGCCCCGGTCGTCTTCTCCTTCACCAATTCGTTCTGACGACCACGGCCTGGAGGATAGCCATGAATCTCCAGCCTGACGCACCTGACAAGGTACGTCATGTCTTCACCTGAGGTGATGGCTTGAACTTCACTGCCATTCGAACCAAGGACGTCACGAGGGGACTTTTGACTACACCAGGCCACGATGCTCATCGGAACTCGCTCGCATCCAAGATGCGTTTTGGAGCAATGCATGTGAGCGTGCCAATGGTGCTGCCACGGTTCACGCGATTGTTCTGCTCTGCGTCAGACCAAGTCACAACGCATAGATCTTCCCAACCTTCATCGAATGGGTGAAAAACCAAGGCTTGGTCGGCCATACGCTTAGCCTCCCGGATCACCTTGTTGACGTGCAAGATCAGGTCGACGGTCGCAGTCGGGATTTCGGACAGCATCAAGCCCACATCCGCAAGGAATTGGGGACTCACTTGATTAGCCCACCATGCAAGAGTGCCAAGGGCACCAGGGATAGCGCTCACCTCTCGAGCCGTTGCTTTCTCCTTCGGACGAGAAGCCCGCTGAGGAGTCACAGGAATTTTTTCCATCCAGCGATCGTATACACCTCCTGGTCTATGAAGATGGTGCCGTCGGACTTTTGAACGATGTTGCACCCTGCAAACTCAAAGGCAGACTCCTCCCATTTGCCCCATTCAAGGGCTTGTTGTAAAGCAAGCTTGGCAGCCACAACGCCCACTAGGCGATTGTCCTTGTCGAGAAGCACAAAAACAAGCACTTGTCGAAGGAGAGTTGTCGCCATCCAGATTTCTTAAGGGTCTCGGCAACTGCTTCAAACCAAACCCTGGGAGCGTGGCACAAGTCGTAGAAGGCACGTTTCAGCTTCATCGCCGAGAGTCGTAGCATGTCGCAGCCATGGTGACCAAGTGACCAAATGCTTGTGAATACAACGAGTGCAAGTCGGTAGAAAGGCATTCGTGGGTGCAAACTCGTTTGGCCTGGCTTCGACTTGGTTTTCGCGGTCCTTCAGTCCATGCTGGCGAGCTACTGAAACAAGAGCCACACAAGCCTGCAAGTCACGTCAAAACGCACTTCTCAAGCTCAGCATCTTTGTTTGCTAATCGCCTACACGGAACCATGGAGACTCAGAGGTGACCCAAGGGTTGGCGGCAAACCAAAATCTGTAACGAACCCCTCAATAACTCAGCTCGGCTGGTCGACTTCTAGTGATTCTAGTGTTCCACCCACTGAAGGAATGGCATGACCATGACATGAACGTTATCGTCTGTTGAGATGCTGATGGATGCTGCCTCGTGCGATGTTGGTCACGACTTGGCGTTGCTCTGTGGATCTCCGACAAAGAACCTTCGTTTGCATCTTTGCAAACGGTCCTGTACTCAACTGTACTGGGTGGGCTGTGGCGGTTCGCCCGAGTCATCAAAACTCACAGCAAGGGTCCCATTCTGTGGGGTTGGTCAACTTAGGTTGACATGGTTGACTACGAAATACAAGAAAGGCAGAACTTCGAAGCGCAGGCTGAACAGCTTGCTCCTATGCTGGCGCTGCTCAAACGAAGGGAATAGACTTGGTATGGCAGAGCCTGGCAAGATGGGGGGACTTGGTGGGCGAGAACAACGCCGTGTCTAGAGTCTGAGGTTTTTCTGGCATCAGAATCCTCAACCTCGGGTGGCAGTTCACTTAAGAACCGAGCTCAAAGTCAAATGGTATCTTAAACCGATGCATTGCAGGTCAGTACTGAGCGGAACAAAAGCACCGAAGCCGCAGGCCGAGCTGTGGTGACTGCGGTGTGTCTGCACTCGGATGACGGTAAGGCCGCTGCATAGACGATCAGCACCAAGAGCGTCATAGCCCAGACCAGTGCTTTGAGAGTGTGGAGAATCGATGTGACCAGCATCCGCAGCGCGATGACGAAGCGGAAGATGCTGACAAACTGCGCAGTTCTCAAGATGCGGCTGAGCCGTACTATGCGGAAAGACTTCAAGCCGCTGACGCCGGCGATGGCGTCAAGGTCAGAACTTCCTGTCAGAACGCATAAACATAGCGCACGAAGGATGTAAGAAGTGAGTTAGACAAGAAAGCAGAACCTACTTGACGGACCCATCGCAAGCGCCCTTTTCCACCCGAAACCGGCAAATATACTTGCACAATGGTACTGTTGCAAGATACCAGCCTGTGATGTCCACAACAACTTCCCACAGAGAGCTCAAAACAATAAAGAGATCAAGCCAGCTCCAGGCCCAGTCTTCAGAGCAGAAGAAGTGCAAGCCGTCTGCCGCCAAGCGCAGCAGCAGCTCAACTGTGAATATCGCCGCATAGAGGTACTGAATGACACGGAACTCTGTCGGTCGCGGGTCACCATGATCCACACTGCGTTGCACATCAATTCCTATGAACACAGCATTCGTCACCACGACAAAAGCAAAAAAGGACTCAAAGACTGGATGATGCACCATGTGCCAGATGCAGCTATGGCCGCCATACCTCGGCTCAAATCCTTTTTTTGCGTGCGTCGGGCTGCCTGCAATCGAGAACGTTCGCCGCATTTGCGCTCGTCCAGTGGCAGTGCGCACCTTCTCTCCAGTGAAGCCATTTCTTGGCGGCGAGATATCGGTCTGAATCGGCTTCACTGGGCTCACTGGGACGGATTGAGATTCATCTCCCTCCGTCTTGGGTCGACTCATCTTGCTGCCCATGCTGGTCCTCCTGTTCAGAGTGAGGCCTCTCAGCACTTCATCTTGGAAGTCCAGTCGGCGAATGACCTCCTCGTGCTGCTGCCTGCAACGGACATTGCATTCAGGGCCGTTTGTGACGTCAGGTAACGTCTTTTCTCAGTCTCACATGGCGGGCCTTAGGAGCTCGGGCAGGGCCGACGGGGCGGATCGACGTTCCTCTCCCGGCAGCGGTTCCGAGGGTGCCAGAGGCGCCGCCATGCCGTTTGCGGGCGAGGCAGGGTCGAAGCCAAACCCGAGAGAAGGGGCTTGAGGACGCTTGCGCTTACGTTGTCTGGCTCAAAGTCTGGTTGACTGAGCTTGCAATACGAACACTTCACTCTGGCTGTGAGGTAGGTCGGTTTGGCATTCCTGCTCCTGACTTGAGTTCATGTACTTTCCTTGATTCTGCGATCACAATTGGTGGGTTGGGTGGGGTTGCATAGAGCTATGCAGTCCGGCCCATGGCAAGTGGCTCTAAGCCCTCCCAATTTCCCTTGGTGTCCACAAAGATCATCTCGGCACAGAGTTCGAGATCTTTCGGGTCTTGATAATCGAAGATGTCAATCCTTGAAGGGCGCTCCAAACATCCAAACACGCACATTTTGAAAGATGTTCCTAAGGTGCTGCGGAGATCTGAGGAGGCTGCAGGATTGCTTTTTTAGTCCGCTGCCCCAGCTCGTCAAAGAGCACCTTGTCGCTGCCAAGTCTCTGCCTATTTATTTGCCAAACGACCTGAGCCTTGTATGAGTACTTGGCGACGATCTGACATGCAAATAGTAAATAGCACAGACAACGTTCGGGGGTCTGGATGACTTTCTTACTTGGCTTCCCACTCCAACGGCATGCCTCCTTTCCCTGTTTCCCAGACACGGCACCTTGACCTCCTGAGAGTTCAGCTTCTTGATAAGCCTGGCGAAACCGGAGGCAACTGCCGGTTCTGCTGGCACTCTGCATTTGGAACTTTTATGATGTGGGGGCGGAGTGGGCACGGCCCATCCATGATTCATGATGCCACGGAGAATACCATGAATTAGCGCGTGCGTCCTCGTCATCAGGAACTTCTTGCATCTTTTGCCTCGGAACATTCGAGGAATTCGAAGTACGATCCCTTGCAGCTCTGAGAGCTTCTTTGACAAGTGGGCATGACTTTGCTACTTGCCCGTTCGACCTGCTGCACGTCCGCGCTGAGCTAAGGGTCCGGCCGATGTCGATGTTCGGATCAAAATACCCACCCTGGGAGTAACGATGTCTTCTACGGACAGTCAGATATCAACAACACCTGCTTCAGAGTCCCAGACCCCGTGCTTAACATCCCCAAATCCCGAGCTCGAGGGCTACAGACGGCTACAGATCCAGGTCCCCGGGTCCCCGGCCGCATGGCCCTTCATGTCCGCGGCATCGTCGGATGCAGCGTCCTCGAGCACCTGCAGCGAAAGCTCGGAGGCTCTTGTGCACGGCACTTTCTCCGGGCTTCTGCGGCTTCCTAGGCTCATGGCTTGGAGCTGAGTAGCTTAGCTCAACTCCGACACCTCCGACAAACCATATGGGGCATGTTAGCTAACTATGGTTATCTACTGTGGCATAGGCCGAGGCTTTCAGCCGGTCCAAGCTCGAGCCGCTATAGCAGCTATTATTCTATTATGCTCCTCTGCTTCGTCAGGTCCGAAGTTTGAAGTCGGATCTGCGGTTTCTGGAGGGTTCTGGAACGTAGGTTCGCACGCCAAAACGCTTCAAGTGGAGCACTCTCTGATATAGCCCGGCCTTCACAGTGATCTCCTTCACGACCTTGTGCAAACGAGCCGATGGTCCGAAACAAGCCACTTGCAGATGCGATAGCATCGAGAGGACAGAATAAAAACTGGCTGCGGTTCCTTTCACCCTTCTCCCGAACTGGGGGACCCTGGGCACAGACGTGGCAGACTGAGATCACCACCTTCGGTGGCAAAAGATCTGCGACCAAGGCCTGGTCTTCCTGGAGAGCGGACTTCGATCGCATGAAACGAATATCATCTGTCACCAGAGGAGAAATGCATTGCAGATCGAGAAACTTCCCGGCCTGCGGAAGTCCCGACAGCAGCCTTGGTCAGCTGTTCACCATCGCTGCAAGACTGCATTCTCCAATTTGTATGTTGTGGTTGGATCGAGAAAGCTGAGCTTCAGCACCAGCACTAGCACCGCCGAATTAAATAGCAGCAACAACAGCAACTACAACTGGAAGACAGCACTCGCAGCCTCAGTTGAAACACCAGCATCACCCCCTGCCACTGGCGTCATCATCATCGGCATCCAGAGTCTTCGCTGCGCGTGACTTCCCGGAAGTTGTATGTGCCTCATATCGCCTCATTTCGGAGATTGCTGTGCGAGGAGCTTCTGCGCGGCGCCAAGGCGGACTTTCGGAGGGCCCAGGGAGCCGTGGTCTGAAGCCAAGAGCTCCTCAAACAAGGCGGAAGTCTTAGTCCTTGTCTTCTGCTTCAGAGTTTAAGGCTTGCCCATGTCTTGGGGTTTGCGTACACTGTGTCGCATTCAGGACGATCTCTTTTGCCCCGAGGTACAGTATCTTATCTGGATGATGGCACAGAAAATGCTTTGCGAGCTCAGAAGTTGGTGCGTCGTTCTACCTTGCTACCCGCTCTTTCCATGGCAGTGTGTTGCCACCATCCTGTGGATCAAAGCTTGATGTCACAAGGATGTCCACATCTAGAGAAGGCATTGGGCGTGCAGCCAGGAAACTTCTTTGGGCACGTGCCGCCGGGAGAAAGGCCGGAATCCGAAACAAATACTGGTGAGCGTGTGGAAGAAGATGGCAGTGGTTCAGTTTTTCCACATCAGGGACAGCAATGCACACAACACAATAGATGATCGTAAGTTTCATTTATGCCTTATAAAGATTGTCTGTGAGCGTTTCGATGCCAGAGGTCACGAGAAAAAATGCGGGAAGATCAACAACCAATACTCATCAATAGTGTTCACTATCAAAATGTCCTATGTGGATTCAAACCCCTCATCTCCCCAGGCTGCCTTCATCAGATTGGGACGCGTGTCTTCGACCAGAGCCTGTCCGAGTTCCATGCATCTCAAGCAACCCCTTCTTCCCGCCAAGGAGGGTAGAGGTGCCATTGCGCGAAGGCTTAGTCTGCGACGCTTTCAAGGGACACTCGGCTGTGAGCCAAAGACACCATCCATCCCTTTGCCGATCGAACCTTTGAGCCTTGGCCAGAACCTACTGACGGACTGTAGACCGGCCTTCATGATGTCTGCTGTTTTTGTGACCTGCAAGGAATGCGAGCACAACGACCGAAGGACTTCTATGCGTCTTCCCTAGCGAGCACGATGAGGCATACACAGCAAGGCAAGCCTGTGAGCTTGGACATCCTTTCAGAAGGCTCAGCGCTATGGTGAACTGCTCCTTTCAGTGGGGCAGCAGCATGACAGCTGGTCTTCGTGCCACTTGTGGGCTGCGATGATTCCCTGATTCGACTTCATCTCTGCAAGTCGATCCGACGCTGACACAATGCTAGGGACAAATCCTGGCCAATCGTTGCTCCCGTCCTGGATGTTGAATCCCTGCTGGGTGGAGGCCACCATGTCCGCCATGTCGGCAAATCTTGGAGCCAGGGTTTGAGGTGGTGAAAACGGCAAAGAGAAACTGCCGGGGCGCAGACTGCTTGGATCCTTGCCTCCCCGACATGGACAGGGAGGTCCTGAGCCGCCAAAGGTTGAAGCTTCCAGGAGCCTCCCGGACCTCTGGGGCCCCGGGCGCCAAGTCGACGTCCTCTGTCTTTTTGCTTTTCTCCGCTGCCTCGGCGACTCGGTGCCAGGCGTTTACCGCGAGCTTCCCATTCGCTCAGAGGCCCTGGCTTTCTGCGCCTCCTTGAGCTTCGTCCTCAGGGCTTCCAGCTCCTCGCTGTCACAGCCGAATCGTCGGAGATCTCAAAGGCACTAGGCGTTGCATCTCCGAACCTTGGAAGAATGCATCTCTCCTGCTGCTGCTCCTCCCTCATCTTGGCCATCTTCTCCCGAAGAAATGCCGGCTCCTTTCCGAAGCGTGCCCGTTTTCGAAGGGGAGTCTTGTCAGTTTTGCAGTTTAGGGCTCACAGTTGCGGAGGTTTGGCCAAGGCCCGGAGTGCACTGAACGGGCTCCGCTCTATAGTTCCTAGCAAGATCGGCATAGCATCGTGCGTGCAGAGGTCGCAGTTGCAGGCGTGAAAGCTACAATCTCAACATTCTGCTCCTTGATCAGCTGTTCCTCAGTGACGGGTTCACAAAGCCGGCCGAACTCTGCGGACAGGTCATGACTACGGATCCCAAGTGGCACTTTTGGCTCTTCCCACCGAAAACTGCTTAGATCTGTGCTTCACAGGTTATACCAGTACTTGTTCTGAGCTTCCCAGCTGCCTTTTCTCGCCAGTCCGCTGCTTCAACCTGTGACTCCTGCAGCGATTCGAAATCTACGAGCTGAGTCGCAAGGACCACTTCATCATCAAATGCAAATGGATTGCAAGTGGCTATGGCAAGATGAGTCAAGATTTAGGATTCATTTGTCGACTGGAGGATGTGTATATCTGCATCTGTACTCTTTGTCACTTCAAAAGGCTCCTCCAGCGACTGCTCCAAGTCCTTGTTCAGCGACTCCGACTCCTGCCTGATGGTATGGAGTTCTGATGACGGACTGATACTGTCGCATCTACAAGCAGCCAGAATTCAACTTTGCCGCGGCTAACTGTGCAACTGAACTGATGCTATCATGGCCCTAGATGCCAGTCATTGCACCGCCGAGCTCGGGGCCACATCCGTGTCGTTTGCATCAACGCCTGCAAAGCTATTTCAGGGTCGCCAGAGACTCCAACCGCTTCCCTGCTTCAGCTGCCCATCCACTTGTGACTTTTGCGATGCGCAGGCTGTTCAGGCCAGGCATTTGTCCGGCTGCCTACGAACTACTCATCTGAGTGCTACAGTATGCAACTGCCTGCATGATGGTACGATGTGCACCACTCACACCTTCTGCATGACATCGCGGGTCGAGAAAGTACCGCAATGGACTGAACAACAGGCGCACAACAAGTGGACTGATGCGTCTCACTTCTTCTCCACGTTGCCTGGCTGTCTTGCATAATGGTGCTGCGGAGTTTAGATAGAACACGCAGCACGACCAGGGAAGGAATGTTATGGCGGCGACATGTCGCGAACAATGCAGCACCGTGCAGAGAAGAGCATCAATGCAGTTCTGCATCTCACTGTGAATTTACTAGGTAGCCAGTCGCAAGCGTGCCACCAGGAACGGTTCTTGGCCAACGCTCCGAAGAAGCTCTTGATTCCGGAGAGCCGACCTGAACGTTCTGGGCTACGACATCTTGATTCCGGGAGCAGATACAAAGAGAAAAGGCATCCACTTGCCTTGCTCTGCCTCGCGATGGGCCACAGCGAGGTAGACCATGGCCAAGCCAACGAGGCAAATCGCCTTTGTGGGCTTTGCAACTTGCAGCTGGCTTTGCTGCAGGCCCGCCTCCTCCCAGCAATTACCTGCTACTCATAATGCAACGGCCTTTCTCTCGCTGCCTACGCTTGAATATTGTTCTCTTGAAGTGCCTACGAAACGCATGAAGCCCACCTTCCCCAAATCTCGGTCTTTTGTCAGGGGTAACCGGGTAACCGTTTTCTCTATTGTTCCTCGGCTTTGAGTGCGCGCCGCCGATGCTCCTAAAATCTCCTCGATGCCCCAGAGCTCACGAATCCCAACAGAAAAAAACGAAAGCATGGACCCAAGGCCTTCCGCATCAATCTGCCAATGCCAAGGCGCAGCCCGAAGGAGGAGATCCCAAGGAAGAGGCGTTAGCTCCTGCACCTGCAGCTCTCTCACACAGAAAACCTTTTTGCTAGAAGTTGGGCTGCGTACCTTGCTGAACCCACAACGCCCTTCTTACAGTGTTAGCCTTTGGCCGCTTGTCTTAGCCCATCTTCCCTCCAATCTTTGTGAATGACATTGACATTGGCCTGCCCACGCAAAGATGGGATGGGTCGTCCTGGTGTAATCCTGGAAATGGCTGCGAACTGAGGAAGTGCATTCCCCAGGCGAGCCGCACAACCTATCGCTGCCATTGCTGCACGCTAGTGCTGGTGCAGCACTCGACTAACCTCTGAAGCTTAGGAACTCTCTTTGGCTGAGGTCGGTGGCTGGGGGCTTCAACGGCCTCGACTGAATAAGGACTTCGAAAACAGACGAACACTCCTGGGGAAAGCCTCTCGAAGCAGTTTTTTAAAGAGGCGGCTTCATGACCCACCTGCAACAGCATGGCTTAGAAGGCGAGCCGTTCTACGAGCTGGATCACGGATCACAGTTCCGAAAACAACGTGCAGCAGGATACCGGCCTTGCCAGCCGACTCCACCCCAAAACGGTTCAAGCTTCTCAACGGGTAGTGCAGGAGTTGCTTTTCTGAAGGGGCCCATAATTTCGCAAGTGAGACCCTGAAGGAACTTCAGCACTTCTCCTTGCGTCCAGCTGGGGCCCGAGGCCTGGCAGTCGCGAGGGAAGCGCTTGTCTATGCTTCGCCCTGCTCCGGTCTCTCTCCCGCCGTGCCTAGCGCTGGAGACTCCACAGCTCGCATCTGCAAGCCGAGGCCTGAGCCGAGCGGAAGGGAAGGGAAGGAGTTGCCCCTTTCAGCTAGTCTCTTCTCTTCGCCAATCCTCGAAGAAGATCCCGCCTCTGCTGAAGCCCTCTTGGGTGCCCGTGAGCTCCACTGATGTCACACCTGGCAGTGTCGAGCCAGCCAGGCGGCCAGCCCCAGATGCCCCCTTCCGGGCCTGTGGCATGCGCCGCATGCGCCTGGCGCGTGGCTGTCAGCTGGGGGCCGAGGCCCATCCCGGAAAGTCTGTCCGCACCGAGGGGTACCTTCCAGGCAGTTCTCGAAACAAATCCTGCAACCGCTGCGATCCCGAGCATGAGCAAAAGCAGCCGTGATCTGATTACCGTCCAGTCTCAATCTCAATAACATGCTCTGGAATCGGAACACCAATCCTGCCAACATCAACATCAGCACAGGCAGAATGTCGGAATTTAAGCTGATGCTAGCACTCAGAGACCAAGGATGGTTCATCTTTAATGTTTGACAAGAGGCTGCATGAAGATGGACCCTCAAACCATCAAACCCAAGACAGCAGTCAAGAAGAACCTACGACTTCCCGATTTCCAAATCTTCGGAGAGTGGGACTTCTGCGTCAATTTCTACAAAGACCGGAGAAGGGGCGTGGGCCTCGAGAACTGTTGCAGAGGTGTCTGCATGGCTGGAGGTCAGCAGCAGTGCCGGCAGGAGCAGCTGCTGCAACATCGCGTTGATGACCTCGAGAGTTGGTTCGGAAAGGTGAAGGCTTTCCACGCAGTCATCTGCTGAGTTGTGTCCACTTTCTTGGACGTTTCGGCCATGTAGAGACAGCGTGAGCATCATGCTGTTCAGTTAAGGCACAGCTATCGGATAAAGGGGACTATGGAACAAGCCAGGCAGCTCGGGTCCAGCTTGAGCTGTTAATTGCTGCAGGCACTCATGTCGTGGAGGCATGCAATCTGGATGTCACCGCAGTCACAACCGGGCTGGAGTCAAGAAAGGCACTTGGAATGGAGGACAACACATATACACATCGATGAGCACTGAAGCTAAAACTTCCTGTCATCACGATACTCCGTAACTTAAGCCCAAGGCCTAAGCGGCAAAGAAATTCTCACCGCAAGAGCCTCACAGCTCCCCAGGGAGCACTCCCTTCGCTCTTCGCCTCCTGAGCTTGCTTCTCGTCTCGGATGTGCTGTGCCATCTCTTGCTTGACCTGCGAAGCGTGGGTGAGTAGGGCCTAGGGCCGATAGTGGGGTCTGGTAGGGTCTGGGATGGCTTGGTGGCTTGGGTTTTCCGGTCATTCTTCACCTTCAGGTTTAGGGTGCAAAAAATGACGAGATTGGATACATAGACGGAGCAGCCATGAGCCGGACTTGCTCATCCCTGCATCTCAAGGAATGCAGGAAAGTACATACATACATGGGCAGCTGTTACTCATCGCAACAGAAACGCACATCAACACACATCAGATCAAGGTGATTCGGATAGCTGTTGATCGGGAGGCTTGCCAAGGTTGAGAGTCTTCCGGCGCAAAGCTCAAATTTGACAGCTTCGTGCCTTGAGGAGCTCGCCCCCCAAGCGGCTGATCTTCTCCGCGTCCTGGTGAGCTTTGCTGAACGGAGGGGTTTGCACATCCAGGGAGGGCCGACTTTTGGTAATCTGTTGAAAAGCACGTGGTGGCGATGAGGGCTCGGGTTACTCGGAAAGCAACAGAAGAAGCATGGCACGGCTGTCGTCGGCCGACTGCTTCAGCATGTCGCCAACCTGCAGATTGCAAGCGGCATTCATGCGTCGGGTCGCTCTTCCAGTCTAGTCTGACAATTCCGGCCTTACCCAACCAGCATCAAACGAATTACTTGGAGATTGTAAACGAAGTGGGCCTTCAGCCCCCTGTAATCTGAGAGGACCTCCTCCAGGGTCACGAAGAACAGCTCCTCACAGCGACAGCACTCGGCGCACCCTTCCGAGCAGAATCGCAGGGACACTTCGAGGCGTTCCCTGAAACACAGCGCCTGATGCACGTCTTCGATCATGCTGCGCAGCGTGCGAACCCTGCAGCCAGCGAGTCTGAATTACACTTTTCGGGTTTTCTGCCGAGCAGCTGAAAGAAGGTCTGAGCGCTTCACAAGGTGTCAACCTTCACGCGGTCCAAGATGTCGTAGAGCATGTCACGAACATCCTCGGGCCCCGGTGTGCCCAGCAACATCAGATAAACGGCTCAACGCTCCACCGCACATGGACTCCGAGATCTCGACCATCTTCTGGACGCGGGTGTTCATCTGGTTCCTTCGCTTCTGGACAAGTTGCAAACAAGCAATCAGTCAGGGCAAATCCCAAGGTGCCATGTGAAGTATCTTGAGAGGTCACAGAGGGTTTTCTATTTCGGAGTCGACAACAGGATCGGCCAGCACACCGAACTGCTTGCACTGTACGCCTTTTTGCAGCTGGCACTTTGCCTAAAAGGGAAAGCTACGCCGCCCACGAAGGAGCACTGTGACTTGCACCACCCCGGCAAGCTTTGCAGTGCTTCCTGAGCCCCACTTGGAGATTCGCCAGTGGTGGCCGGCGAATGTCAGAAAGCCACTTGCCCAGGCAACAGTGCAGGCTTGAACTTTATGGAGAAAACGAAATGCCTGCGCAAGCAGCGCTTCTGAAGTTTGCTCCTGCATTTGGCAGGAGTCTCCAATACCACAGTCATAAAAAACTCAAGAATCACTCATGGAATTTTCGGGTCTGCTTCTCGTCATGATTAGGCTATCCGAGGTTTTTTTGTCCGCTGGAACTTGAGCACGCCCTCGCGCACAAGCTCTTCCAGCCGGTCAAAGTCTCCACTTCCCGCTCCACGCAGGTGGCCCCACATGCGATGATCGCGCCACTTGGCGGCTGGCATTACCACCGAGCTCACACCAGCCAAGAACTGGGCAACTGCGCGTACTATGGCATCCAGCTCTTCACAGGGCAAGCTTGGCCAAGCTGGATCACCAAGAAGCCGAAACACTGCCACAGTAACAGTGACGCCTTGGAGACGTTGAGCCTCTGGTGCCTCTCTCTTCTGGGGCTTGCCGGATTCCTGGTGATTTACGAAAGGGCGAGCTTGTAAGGGAGTTGCGACTGAAGTTCTGAAGTCTGCACCGAGGGCATATGTCAGAAGACGTCGACGTTCCTCAACACTCCCCGCCATCACCAGGGTCGGATCCTCCAAAGCTGCAAAGTAGGCATCGATCAAAGTGTGCAACGTTGTGTGGGCCGCAGGCAGCTCTGCATCGGGATCAGTTACCTTCTGCCTTTCAGATGCCTCTGCGGCTCTCGTCAAAGCGATGTACGAGGCATCCAGCTTCTCGATCGCAGACTCTCTGGCTCGCACATTAATTTGACTGATCTGCTCTGCCCAATCGTCGATCTGAGCTTCTGTTACAGGCTTCCGGACTGTCAGCATGTAGCCGTAGTCTGCTTTCTCCACGGAGAACTCGTCTCCACCAGCCTGCCAAAGGCTAGTCGAAAGCTGCGCAGCGGTCCCGCCCAAGGTGGCTACAGCTTTCACCGTTTCAACGGTGTAGACTGGCCCCGTCTTCTTCGCCAGGGGAAGCACTTTCCGCAGCAACGGGTCCACCTGCACTGAATCAGAACATCTTCTGTAGCCGCGGTAAACATGCAAGCACCCTGCGTACCATCATCATGACAGTAAACAACTGCATCAGCATAGTTTTAGTTCTTTGACGGTGGAGAACCGAGCTGTTCCCAATGCCCACCTCCATAAGTTCTGCAGGGTCTGTGCGAAAGAACCGAAGCTTCAGCTTGGTCGGGAAGCTCGACATCAGTGTTAGATGGCTACTGCCGTACCTGGACATGTCAGGACGGTTTGGGAGCTCAGACCTATAAGCTTCAGCAACGAAGGACCTCCGCACTCACGGAAACGTTGGGAAAACGGAGTAATTAGCTACAATCCCATTCTCTGCGAGGCCTCCTGCACGAATGCATATCACAAGGCGTCAGGGCTGCTTGGGTGTTGCTGACGGTTCTAAAGTGCGTAAACCACCAACATGATCAACAGCCCTCGTCACGAACTGAAATAAAGCTGTCCAGCTTCCACCAGCGGTAAATACCCGCGTCGGTCTGCTCAAAGTGATGCCAAACACTACACAATAATTTTTCACAAGTTCATTGAAGTGCTGTTGGTCAGGTGGGAGCAAGTCATGCATAGTGCCGACGTGTGCGTCTACTGTATCTTAAAGGATCAAAATGCCATGCAAGAAAGCTCTCTGGCGCAGGAGCTCGAAGCTACGGAGCATGTCACGAGGACTGGAAGCAGCACCAGCAGCGCAGCGGCACAGCCACTAGCACCGGCACTTTGCAGTGGCAACTGCATCCCCTTCCACCACAAAACAGAAAGAGGCATGCGACGAACAGATGCAAACCAAGGCAAGAAACTACGAGAGCTTGAAGGCTGCATGCTTCTGTTTTTTGTTTCGGCGTCTCGTGGTCGCTCACATGAAGGGCACATAGTAAGCGGCTTTGAGTCTGGTTTCCTTGAGGAAAGCTGCCTCTACATCTACAGTAGCGCTTGCTTCGATCCAGGGGATTTAACCAACGTTCCACATGAATTCAGATGGACAGGCGAATGCAGATCCTGCATGTTCGTGCCTTGAACATACCCTGAATCTGAAATCTGCCACCCGAGAGGCCTGCAAAGGTGAGCCAAGACCGAGTGAAGCTCGGTCGTGGAGCAGTTCATTTCCTTCGCGGCCTCTGTCTCATGCAAGCCCAGGCTGTATGGCTGCCATTCGCCTGGGTGTGTCGCACACACTTGCTTCCGACTCAAGTCGGAAGCCACTTCGGCCGATGCTGTTAAAGCGTTGAAGTCTTCGAAGAACTTAGGCCCGTTGAACTGGCGTTTCCACTCTACCTCCAACGCCCCACACTACCGCCAAGGAACTCTGCGATGATGTCTCCGGCGCCTCCTCGCTCTTGCCCAATGCAGCCACGGCATCCTCGCTGAGGGGGTGGCGTTTGTAGGTGGTCGAGTCACCTTAGGCAGCTCGTGCTTGTCGTGGCCGCTTTCAGCAGGTCCTACGGGTCCTACTCCTTGTTCTGGCTGGTAAATCTTGGACAATGCAGCAATGCAGTCCCCTACTTTTGAGACACGGCACCCAACAAAGCCACCAACAGGCGTCGCACGACACTGGCCTCACCAAACTGTGACAGAAGCATCTGTTGTAGTTCTAACAACGCACCCCGAGCCAAGACAGTGGCAGAGAGGCAAAACGTACCAGACTAAGCCTATGCGGCCGCGCCTGTGTGCCGCCACCTCTACCACCACTTTCTAGCCACCGCATGGCTTGGTAGTCCTGGGGCTGCGAAACCAATTCGGCAAGCGCCGCCGTCTACGTGGCCATCTCATGGCTGGTCTGAACGATGGACAAGCTTCTTTCAGACAGGCTGCATCAGGAAATCCAGACAAGTCAACCCCGATCCAACATCAGGGGCCATTTTCCCACTCAAATATGCTGAAGCCTTCAAATAGAACTCGAAGCTCACAGCCTCACAACGCAGTCTATGATCGTATTCTGCAGTCCTTGCGGTTCACCAGGGCCACACACTTCCCTCGCCCTCCATCTCGAGAGCAACGTCCTGTCTCTTGGATGTAGTTCCTGGCAAGGCTTTCGGCAGAGAAACAGCAAACACCATGCGCTTTTCGCGTCATGAAGAGGATACAGGAGTGGCGATGAGCCACTAAGTAGCAGCATGCGAGGCTCAACGGCGCAATTCACTGCCCAGCGACTCCCAAATGCCATAGCATGCATTAATTATGTTAGAGGAAGCCAAGGGTCTCAATGCTCTTTGGCAGCCCGAAATGCACCACAAGGCGAATGTCCGGCTTGTCCAGCCCCATTCCAAAAGCTACCGTTGCGACCACCACTTTGACCTGGCAATGACTGGAGGAAACCCAATAAGAAAGCATCGGAGTAAGGATGCGTAGTAGCGCGTAGCAAAACGAGAAGAAGAGAGTCGCAGCTTAAGAAAGGCACCTTGCCCGACATGAAGTTCTCCTGCACCGTGCTGCGCACCTCCGCGAGCATGCTGCCGTGGTAGGCACACACACCACCCTTGACATAGGGCCGTAGCTGTTTGGCAAGCTGGTCGGCTGTGTCTCGCCTCCAAACGTAGATGATCACAGACTCAGCAGGGTTGACGTCATGACGCAGGACCTGGACCAGCTCGCGAACTTGGCTGTCGGCATCTGGGACGCTGCGCGCGTCCATGGTGAGGTTCCCGCGCTGGACGGTCGGCTGATTGCTCTCTCGCATGAGCTCGTCCACCGTGAAGCTATTGTCGCTGCGAACAACAGTGTCCAGCTGCAGTATGTCACACACGGACTTTACCGTAGGCCTGGTGGCGGTGGCAGTGAGGGCGAGGATTCGTCGCGCACCAAGGGATTCGACGAGGTACTCGTGTAGGCGGAAGTAATCCGGACGAAAATTGTGTGACCATTCAGAGACACAGTGCGCCTCGTCGATGCAAGCGAGAGCAATTGGAGGTAAGCCACAGCCATCAAAGGACCACGTGGCCAGCCTCCGGCTTTTGCTTGTACATTTACTTCAAAAATCAATCCGGCGAGTGCAAACTGCCCCGTGGCCTCTCCGGTGACACGAAGAGGACATCAACCAGTCGTGCCCGCACGGCACGCATGACATCACGCGCCGAGTCACGGGACTGCTGGCCACTGCAGATGGCACCTCGCCTTGGAAGTTTGCAGGTGAGGTGAGATAGACTGCAAATGTCTGCAATTAATTTCCAGCCAAAGGGCAAGCAGCCCGGGAGGCGTGCGAGTTGGTCGGACATAAGGGAGACGAGCGGGGACACCACAAGCGTGAAACCTTCCTCCCGCAGCCTTAGCGATGGTCACGTATAGTGCTACAGGCATAGTGACTGAAGTTTAGCATGGAAGTGGAAGCTCCGGCTTGCTCCACACTGTCGACTGCCCAGCCTAGTAAACGGCCGAGCAGCAAGTACGCTGGCAGTTGGTAGCACAGGGACTTCCCGCAGCCGGTTGCCAACAGCAGCAGTGTCCGATGATTGGCCAGGACAGATAAGATGGCCTGCTATGAAGCTCACGTCCAAGAGCTGTACCGCAAGACTTTAAAAAGAGCGGATACAGGGGCCTCACGCTGTCCCTGACGGAAGGCCTCATGACCGAAGACCTGCAAAGGCTGCTTATGCGGTATGATGGACAGACAGCTTGGACCCTTCCGGATGCCACCACGACGCCTCTTGGAGCACGGTAGTGAGGTCCGCTGCAGAGTAAGTTCCAGCTGCACGTTCTTTAGAAGGCAGCCATTCTTGACGCTTAGCCGTGATATCTTCGCCTCGTACGACAGCGATAGACTTCTCTACTTGTTGCACAGACAAGTCCTATCGGGCTGACCGTCCTGCAATCCGTCACCTCCTTGCAGAACGGCAATAATCTGCCAGAGATGTCAGGTTCATTGGCCGCCGCACTGTTTGCTTCCTAGCCTGCACGGCTATACTATCAATGCCGAGGTACTTGCTGCATCAGGCGGACGCTCATCTGCAACCTCCTCCACGGCCTCCTGCATCTCTGGCAAAATCGCAAGTGCAGTATCCCTCCCGCAAGCAACCGCATCACTCAAGTCCCAATACCAGACAACATCGAATGTCTCCACCGGAAGTGAATTTTCAACAGGAGTCGGACTGGATCCTTCTGATGTATGTCACAGAGCGAGGACTTCAAGCATGACGCAATACTCGGCCAACTGTGCTATCAAACGAGATGATAGTAAACGAGTTCGTGCGGAAAAGTGATTACGCTTCTCTTCTCAAGCAACTCTCTCACGTTCATGCCGCACTGAAACCGGGCCAGCTGTAAATGGTGCTTTTCGTGCTTTTCCAGTTTCAATATTTATATTTGAAACGACTCGATAGGAACAAAGCTGCAGCGAGTCGGCTGGGCTGAAATCGCACCGCGCCGGATTTTGCGACTAGGCAGGCATGAGTTTACGTGGGTCCCCAGCTCCACAGTATGTAGACTTTCATAGTGTTCTGGCTTGCGCACAGCCGCCAATGCTCAACAAGCCTCAAGCCCTGAAGTTCCCACAATTTTGATCCTCCTGGATCGATGCCAGCAGATCCTGCGTCATGGCTGAGGAGAAGCTCCTGACACAGCAAGGAACAAAGAGGCTGAGAGCTTCCAACTGATCCCAGCCTCGGCTCTCGCTTGGAGGAACACTTCTTCAGTAAAGACGTCCGCTGAAATGCTGCGTTTTGATAGTGCTGGAAGCGTAGCACCTCCGTGGCACTGGAATGCTTCGGGGAGGCTCTACCTCTAAACTCTACACTCCAGCCCAACTGTGATGCTCACCACAGCAGTCGGGCCTTCTCCTGCCGGCGTGTCACTGGGATCGTTGAGAGCGGCTCCGGCGCACGGGCATACTTGGATTTCATCCTGCGAGCTCAGAGACACAGACACCCCTGGGCTACTGCAGGCCACCCGCTGCCTGCCATCTTTGCCGTACATCTTGTTCCGGGCCCGGGTCTGATGCGTGCCACCCTTGCCTCAGAAGGCCAAGTGGGGCATGAGCGCACGAAAACCTCTGGTCCTCGCTCAACCTTCGGGCAGAAGGGCAATTGACAGGTGGCTGTCGGAATGGATGGATCCGGAAAGGAAAGGCCAAACATCAAGTCTTGGGGACCTTAGGGCCTCGGACAGCCTGAACACTGGGGCTTAGCGGCTAAGCGGTGGGTTCCTGGACCACCTCAGCCACATCCAGCAAATGAAGTATCTGCGGCTCAAGAAACTGTGGAGGGACAGGGAGGCTCAAGATTGCTGCTTGCAACAAGGCGACTAGCAGCTCTCCTTCGAAGATCCTGCGTGGCAGCCGGCGTCATTGGCTCATGGTTTCAATGGGCTTTGGTCGCTCTGAGTCCTGCCGGACAAAGTTTGCACCGAAGGGGACCTCAGCGCAGGCAGCCGAGGTCTTGCAGATAAGGGACCTTCATGTTTTTTGTTGTTTAAGTGTGAGTGTGGTTTGTCCGTTCCTCTGCTTAAAGCAGCACGATACCCACGCAAAAGTAGCAAGATCTGTGAGCATACCGTATTGCTGCAAAGTTCATCGACACAACACAAAAAATGCCCGTCTCTGCTGACCTAGCCTCAAGCTGTGCGCCCATACGCTTCATGTCACAGTCATTACATGCTGGCCCTGTACTTGTCGCCGACTAACACTCGAACTTGAAAGCAGCCTTTTGCTCATGACAGCTCGATGATCGGCAAAGCGAACGACCCTAACGGTCTTGTGCAGAACTCACTTGTCCATGCTTTCGTTTGGTGCTTAGGGCCTCTGACTCCAGTTTGAAGTGCCATGAATCGGCTGCAGTACTTGTACAGCTTCCTGCTTGCACCGTGCCAGAACGAGGTACCAAAGTCAAATCATTGTCTCCGCTAGAGCCATGAGAGTGAATTTCCTCTGACGGAACTCTTCCCCTGCCCTGCCAACCGAATGACACATCTTCCTACAGTATCTTTTCGGCATGGATGCTGCGCAGCCGAAAAATCGCCGAAGATAATATGGTGCAAGTTCAGCAATTGTAGCAGTGAGCTGGGCTCGCGGCCAAACTGCTGTCACCTCCTGGCACCTCTGCATTCGTCTTCTTCGATGCTTTCGAAGCCTGGTGCTGACCCAAAGCGTCTAAGCCTTCTCCCTGAAGCTTGAAAACTCTGTCTTTCGCTTGCACCACAGGAGCTTTCGCAGCCTTTCCGGTCTTCGGCTTCTTGCTTGGGCTCTTGGGAGCTTGTGAGCGCGGCTTTCCCATGGCGATCTGGTCCTCTATGTTCGGGTCAAACGTACTCCTCCTTCTGGTGGCGATCACGGGCTCTACATGCAGCTTTCTCTGCTGAGCATATTGATGCTGCTGATGTGATGTGCCTCGTTCTGCACTGCACCTTTCTGCAGTTTTTGCCGTATTGCGCTTCATGATTGCTTTACCGGGCACATTCGGTGCTTGCTTCTCTTCCTTATCACTCGGGCCTATGCAGCATCACAATTATCATGTGGACGATCCTGCAGGCCTGTGGGAATTCGTTGCACCACGCGCGTTCCCGAGCATTCTTGCTTCCAAGGATCTCAAGCTGCGTCACTTCGATCGTTAGGATGGCAATGCGCTTCTTCAGCCTTCAGCAGTCGGAAACTTCACCACAGAGCTCGCTGCTGTGTTGGTAGAATTGCAGCTTTGGCGGTGACATGTGGAAGCTAGCAGCAGGAGTCAAACGCGAGCAGACCCGGAACGGCTGAAGCAGAATCGACCGAGACTTCTTCACAGCTGTATTCGTGAAGAGCTTTCACTCTTTGCATCCCTGGTGTGTGGTCTAGGCCTAGGTCGATGTCGCACGAACTTGTGCTCTGTTGCTTTTACTGCCCTGAAAGTGAAACACAGATGTAGACGACCGCATTGCTGCAAGCCCGTGCATGCTTGCATTGCAGCTCCAGCACCGCTCACAGTGTACCCAGTGTACCCAGTAAGTATCGCAGAGGACATCGAAGCTTCCACAAGCTGGAAAGTGGGTACAGTAACGTGCAAGCCTCAGGTTCTCAACCTCCACCTCTGTCAGCCTGGCATATCGCCGTTCCAGCATGCAAAGAGTCTTGGGTCAAGTTTGACAATAGCTGTCGTGAGACCGCAGCGATACCTCTTTGTGAGCTTTTCCGTTCGTCGCTTGACCTGGCAAAGGCGGCTTCACTCGGTCCTGTACATGCGAGAGGTCTACGTGCCGTTCACGCACTCGAAGGAGCCTGTTTACAGCATCAAAAAACATCTGGTGAAATGGACTGCAGGCATGGGACGCTGCACCTTCCCAAAACAAGCGATCACGAGTTGAAGCTCCTCTCCTCGACATTCTGTGCAGGTTATGCCGGAAATCGAAAAGTGCCTGCCTCCATCTCCACTTCCTGAGATGTCTGGCCTTGGCAGCGTTCCGCTAAATTCTTGCATCTTCCTTTCGCGGTGATTCCTCTCATGTTAGCGGGTTGCAAGTGAGCCTGGTAGCCGCTTGCAAGATCTCTGAGGCTTGGGCTTTGAAACGCCGACGGATCCTGGACTTCTTCAACAGGAAAGGCCCACCACTGCAAGTCTCTACGTGGGTTCTGCAGCGCATGTTGCTCTGCGAAAAACACTGGCACAGAACATGGTACAGAAGTTGGTTGTAGTCTGAATTGACAGAAGCAGCAACTTCCGTGTCCAATGCCGTCAGGGTCTCAACCTCTAATCTCAACATCTGGGGCACAGGCAAAGAGAACAGTTGCATCGATCCTTTGATTTGCATATGCAGGATGCGCTTGCTTACGGTTTCGGAGTCTGCGATGTAAGAGTTTTTGTTTGGAAACCTTTTTGGGACTGCGCAACTGCGCAACCCAGCCCGGTTCGGGCAGGCTTTGAGTGGCACGTACAGTTTAGGGCCTAAGGTTGAAGAGCTCAAGCGTCTGTGCCAATTGGTGTGGGGCTGAACATTGGGATCTAGCACACTTCGAGAATGTGGCTCCCAATGAATAATAAGATACGTCTTCATGTCTGCTTCCGCGGTGTCCCACCGCCGTCTTGCATGACAGCTCATCCGGGCTCGAACGACCTGGTCCGGCAGGTATGCCACCGACCACTCCACATATCTCCACATCTAAGCTTCGACTCGTCTTTTAGCTAGCTTGGAACACAAAGATTTGCAGCCGCGATTCGAGTGCTTGCGCCCGTCCTTTCTCGCCAAGGCCTTCCACTCGGCGCAGATCAGTAGCGAGGCATGGTTCGCATGATACTGCGCGACGTCAATCCAAAACCGCTGGTCATTGGGCATGGCATGGAACACCACCAGTATGAAGAGAACAACGATGAGCACGATGATGAGCATGACAGTGAAGAGAACGACGAATAGGATCGACAACGACAATGATGAAGGACGGACGAGGGTGAAGCATAAGGAACTGAGGAGGATGTGATGAGGATGACGACACCGGATGATGGTCATGCTGACGATGGCTATCATGGCGGTGCTGACGATGATGATGACGATGAGGGTGAAGATACCGATGCTGAACATGATGAGGAAGATGAAGATGATGGCGGTGCTGGCGGTGGCGACGATGAAGATGAAGATGAAGATGAAGATGAAGATGAAGTTGAAAATGAAGATGAAGATGAAGATGAAAATGAAGATGAGGATGAAGATGATAAAGATGATGATGGTGATGATGATGATAATGATGACATGTCCGCTCGAGATTCAACTAACCTATCCGGAAAGCCTGTGGTCACACAGCCTTTTCCTCCTTGATGTTGGCACCGATGGTGTCGCAGATCCGAAGTGTCGTCTCGGGTGTTCTAGGTGGTTGGCGGCTGCCCGACCCCATCCGACGGCGCCTCCACCCCACCCCACGGAGGATCCCACTGCCACTGAAGCCCTCTCGGACTCGCAGGAAACTCAGAAGCAGTCTCAGAAGAAAGCTGCAGCAAAACGGCCTCCAAAGCTCGTCCGTCGCTAACACAGCGACGCCAGGATGGCTGAACCACGCTGAAGTCAGCACGGGAGATAGGATCATTTCATTCACACGCCTTAGTCGAGTCGACTATTCAGCGGGCGCTGCGTACTGCCCTGCGTACTCATGTCGACCGGTGGACATAAGAACGGCCTGGTTAGGCACGCCGGACTACTACTGCCGCTTCCCAGGGCGGCGGCCGTCTATTGCGGCCGAGAAAAGAGAGCTATATACCACGTCCTACTGATCTCTTTAAGGTCAGTAGTGTTTGCCAACGTTGTCGGCGTGTCATCGTTCTGTACATAGAGGGCCGGATGCACGGCATCCCTAGCCTCCTTTGGAGCTCACTGTACAATGCATCAGTCGGCTCCCTTTGTGGGGCCGTCACTCCCATCGATCTGTAGTGACCTGAGTCAGATAAATGACGGAGTGAAGCACATAGGCACAGGGCGAGGTTGCAACACCATCGGTGAATGCAGGTACCTGTAGTCGAAGTGTCAGGGGCACTCGATGCTGGAGCTTCCCAACATCCCCGCCAATTTCACCATTGAATCTCATGAGCTGGATACTTAGAACCTCCCGGGGTCTGACGAGTGCCGACACCTCCCTGCTGATATGCCCAGTCCTCAATGAATTGCTGCAGTGTTTTGTTCGGCTTACACGGCAGGGTGATTAAAGGAGTCGGGCTCATTCGTTGGTGAGCTCTGGGCAGGGGCCCCTCCATTGAGCGGGCTTCCCAGATGCCCTTTAGGCCTGGCACATCCGTGATGATGTAGGCGTGGCCAGGGTCTAAGCAGCTGTGTCCAGGCCTTGCGTCGAAAGAGTTGAACCGTGTTGCCAGGATTCTGCAGTTGCCTGAGAAGAGGATGCAGATCTCAAAACTCTGAGTTCCTGGCCTGGGCGCGAGCCTGGTATATCCACATAAGTGCCTGGATCAGACAGTTGAGGTAGCACAGACTATGCGGGTTAGCCAGGACAAGGCTGTGTGGCTGGGTAAGCTCAGGAAGGAGTGCATCACAGGCTTCAGGTTTTGCACCCCTCGCTGCGGTACCAAAGTCCCCTGGTGGTCTTAGCCACCGCGTAAGATCCCCTGGTGATCGTCCTGTGGACGATCCCCGTGTTGGGCACACGTCTGCTCCGTAGCTTTTGGACGCTCTCTATCGTTGCGTCTCAGGTCCTCTGATATGGTAGATGCTCAAGCTTGTTCAAAGATTGTTTGTTGTGGGGCCGTGGTCGGCACCTCCTTGTCCTCTCGTTTGCTAGGGGCCGAAGCTGGCTTCCCTATTTTGTGTCTCCCAATTATTGGTCCTTTTGAAGTAACGACAGAATTTGCAGCAGCTCCTTCGGCAGGGGTCGGTGCCTCCGTTCTGGGCGGAGGCGTGTGCCGATGAGGCGGGCCTGCATGGAGATCGTCAACTTGCATGACGTGACTCCATTTGGGTCGTGCTTTTCCTCCGCCAGCCCGCCCATCGCACGAAATGCATGGATGGTGGCCTCCCTTCACTAGGAAGGTGGCCTCGTGTGTGAGGGGCTCCTTCTCCGTGGGGCAGTGTGTCTGCTTCGCCGCATCCCACTTGGTGTAGCGCCATCTCCACGGATCCTTGCTGAGCATTCCAGCGTGGATCAGCTTCGACAGTGCTTCCTGGTCTGTGAGGATCTTGGCCATGCGAGCCTCCAGCTCCATGATAAAGGCACCCATCAGGGCCTGCCGCAATCCGCAGGCGCATGTTCCCTGAGCTCGGCTTTTCTTCCACGAGGTTGCGGTCCGAAGGAGTTGTTGGGTTATTCCCATGTTCCCGGAGTCCATGAACATAATCCATGATCGATCCGCTTCGAGTAGTTGAAGGGCAGTTTCGTGCCTGGCTATGATCTTGGCCAATCCCACTAGTTGGGGGGCCGGTGGCATCCTGGCTATCGGGGCCGATCGCGGCGCCCTTTCTTTGTCTCTTTGCCTTTTGTCCGCGCGGCCCTCTCGGTGGCCGTTGTAGCGTGGCATGGAGATAGGATCAGCAATGTTCAAAGCCGATGCGATGAAGATGGCGATCGGCAGCATGCCAGGGGCACAAGCGCTCCGACTGGGCGCGGCAGATACAGCAGTAGGACCTCATGCAGAGTCAAGCTGCCGTGTGTGTCGGCCTTGGAAATGGGCACCAGGAAGTGAACCGTGAAGTCACTCTCGCGGCTGAGATAGAGGTGGTGGGCACGGGCATGATAGAGACTTCAATCTCACGCAACATCCACCAAGCTGCGATCAAGGCTAAGTCAATCTCGGCATCAAGCTGGCCAACGTGGAACTCCGAGCGTTGGCGGACATAGGGGACGATTGGTGCGAGCAGCTCGACATCGAAACTGCCCTTCAACGGGGCGACCTCAAGCCCCTCTTGACGGCCCGGACCGTGTCCTTGATGACCCAGCGCACATCCTCCCGACTGGCGTGCCGAGGGCGCGCATCTGGTGACCCACGGCCGCGGCAAAATAATTGGAGCAGGAATGGTATCCCCCGGCCTTCAAGCTGGCTCCGACACACGTGACCGTGGCCACCTGAATGGGGAACGGAACCTTTTCCCACGCTCGGCACAGCTCCTGCCACGCCCGAACTCGGCTGTCGACGGAAGACTTAGTCGTGACAGCCAACATCCGCTTGAAGGGCGTCAAGCGACGCTTGGCGCTTCTCGGGCCGGGCTGCCACCAGAGCCAAAGTCCAGCTTGCGGGGCCCGACCACGGGATGATCAGGCCGCCCTCTGGGCGACGACAAGCCAACCTCGAGGCTGCCGAGACCCACTGCCTCTAACTGCCAGGCCTGCACCCCGACAGCCAGAAGAGCAGAGGCGTGTTTGGCAGGATGTCATCCACTTGACGCACCCCATTCTCGAAAAGCAGCGGAGCAATGGGCTGGTGGCCCGCAAACGCTCGCAAAGATCTAGAGCCATACTGCTACCGCTGACACCCGCGTAAGGGCACAACAAAAGCAAGCATGACAACTAGAAGCGGCCGGCTTGAAGCAAATCGCGAAGGAAATGCACGGCTCGCTCGAAGGGACCTTCCGGGCGGCATAGCAAAAGAAGACTGGCCAGAGAGCGCATCAGCTGCACACGTTCTTGAGGATAATGCCGGCTCCGGTCCTCAAACGACTCGGTGCAACGAGCCCGGGACCACAAGACTCCTGTGCCCACAGGCTCTGCAGCGTCCACATGCAGAGCGGTCAAAGCATCCAGCGCGGGACGCAAGAGAATGCGACCCTCAGCAGTCAAAGAGGAATCCAGGTGAATAGGGCAGTGGCGGCATTCCTCGAAAAGGTGATCATATGCCTGCTCAGACCCCATACCGTTGAAGAAAGCCAATGTATGCAAAGCGCCCTTAGCAAGGGCAATATCCAGCTGACCAGATAAAACCGACATTGGCTGGAATGAGCTAGATCACAAATCTCTCTCGACTTGGTCCTGCGCTGCAACGCACACATGTTGCATCCCTATCCAAGTCGAGACTCACACGGCATGTCCCTATGCACCTGCGGTGCTGCATTACAATGAGGATAATGACGACTATGAAGATGATGTGATGTGAAGAAGTGAAGAAGATACAGTAATGCTGAACACACGAAGACAATGCAATGCCGATTAATTAAGAAAGTGCGATTAGGAGAGGAGTCGTCGTGGTGCCAGCGACGGTGGTGAACGGGGCTGTGATGGCGCATCGCGGTGGTGATGGTGGTCGCAGTTGTCGTGGTCGCATAGGTCATGCTAGTTACAAATAGTTGTGTCAGGCGACCGTGGTCTCTGTGGCATCGGTGTCGGTGGTGGCGATGGCAGCCGTCAAGGTGCTGGGTGGTGATTGTGGTGCTGGTCACGGTGATCCTTGCAGTGCTGACTTTGGCATTGACCTGGTTGCGACGAATTTCTCGTCATTTGTCATATTGACTATGACCCGGTGGAAACGTTTTGTTGTGTTTCTGTTCGTTCGTTGATGTGCTTGTTCGTTGTTTGCCGATTGTTAAAAATCCTCGCCTGCTCACCTGCTCGTGATTATTCCCCACGAAATGTGCGAAGCGAGGGCCACCGAATGCTCCTGAAAAGAGTCTGCCACCCAATAGTATCGAAACCACGGATCCACCCGAGTCGAGTGGAGCCTGTTGGTAGAGCTGCTCCTTGAGAGTGGTCAGCTCTTTGTAATACCTGGAGGTCGCGGGAGGTGGATGCGGGGAGACTTGATGTCCCAGTGGAGGACAGCGCCACGTCTGCTTGAATCTTATTCCAAAGCCTACTGAATGCCTCGTGGGCATATTCTACCGCGACAAATACATACAGCAAAACCCTTCCTGGAACCGAAAGCGTTTCGCACCGTTCCTTCTCAAACTTGAGCAGAAACATGCCAGATGCACGCTGATCGGCACTTCGCCAATGTCGCGACAAGATTATCGACCTGCAGATGTGAATCCCTGTGCGAGGTCAGTCACGCAAGTACGCCGGCATTTTCACGGATGGGTTTCACGGTGTCCGCTTATGATATCCTCACCGTTCTTGGCGCAGCCTTGCGGGTGAGGCAGGAAATCGTGTTGTGCATCGCCTGCCATAGGAAACAAACCTCTCGCTGGTTCAATCCCTTCCACCACAGCCGAAATGCGGCTCGTGCTCTCACTTGTGACACGTGCATGACAGGGGATGCCTGGATTCCATCAATGGAAACGCAGATGCGAGGGCGGCGTTCTGCGTAGATGGGGTCGATGAACACGATCTGGCAGCAATTCTTCCCTCCAGCTTGGCCCTGAGCGACCGCTACCGATTGCCATTTGCCATGGCCAACTTCCCACCTCGCGCACGGTACCGCCCCGTCCATCATCGTAGAAGACCTGGCGTGGAGCGATGCTCACAAGAATCTCAAAATGTGCAGGCATCGGTGCTTACAGCCCCCAGGAACACAAGAAAAGCCTGCATTACACGGCTGCCTCCAGAGCCTCTGGCTCGTCGAAGTCGTCGGTCTGCAGCCGGTAGATGTCCTGCGACATGCTGCGACTTGGCCTTGCAGTTTTGTGTATTTTTGCCGAAGTCCGCGATGAGTTTCAAAGCCTGTCAGGCCTGCAGCAGCTTTCCAGATCTTGAAGTCCGGCTCTCGATTCATACTCGTACCATAGAGGGCCGTATCGACATATCTGCAGTGAAGCTACTAAGCTACCCAGTGCCACCGCTACTGCTGCAGCCGCTGCAGCTGCTCCACCACCGAGCACCACCACCAAGAGCAACAGCAACAACAACAACAACAACGGTGTACAGGGTTTGGCGCGATCTTCGTTGGACTTTGCAGGATTGTGATTGGATTTTCAAGGGCTTTGAGAACCATCCGAAATCCGGTAAAATCATTCTAAATCCGTTGTAGAACACATCACCCATGAACACCCTCATAGTCCAGCTCAAAAAATCCGAAATCTCATGAAATTCATTTAAATCCCATGACAACCCTTGACAATCCCATACGCTCCTACATACCTGCAAAAAACATCAAAACCCTCCTAAAGCATGCTGCAACCCTTAAAATGCCTTCCACCCTCTTCTGAAGCTCAGTGAAGCCCTTCTGAATGCAAGTAAAACCCATCCAGAACCCATGATCATCCTCCGAAATGCCGTCAAATCCATGCAAAAACACATGAAAACCCTTCTATATTTTTACATACCTGGGATGGAAACGTGGCGTAATTCTGTGAAGGGGAGAGGTGCGGGGGTCAAAACAACAGCCCCCAGTCTGGTTTTCGTCTCTAGCAGCAGGTAGAGACAACGGGGCTTCTTTTCTCTCTACCTGCGGCTAGAAACACAAACTGGAGCTCGTTTGTTTTGCCGCCCCCCCCCCCCTTTTACAACAACCACCCAGCCCACACCGCATTTCTATCAGACATGAGGCAGATGCTGTGTAAAGCACGGTTCGCATTCCTCCAAACGGCCCCAAACTCTACAGGCACCCCATGCGGTCGCCGGAAGCATCCCCAATCGTTTTTCGTTAACACAAGTAACGGGCGGCTGTTTTGTCTGTACAAGCAACACCACCGACAACAACAACAGCAAGAAGACAAAGTACAAATACAACTACAGCAACTAAAGGCAGCTGAAACAACTACAAATACAACAACTAATTACTACAACCAACTACAACAACAACTACAACCACAACCACAACCAAATCCAGAACTACTCCTATTCCTATTCCTGCTCCTCCTCGTCCTACTGATCCTCCCACTCCTCCGGGTGCTGGTACTGCTGCTGCCACTGCTAGGGCTACTGCTGCTTCTGCTGCTACTACTAGAGCTACTGCTAGTACTACGGCTACGGCTACCACTACCACTACCGCTACCACCACCACTACCACTACCACTACCACTACCACTACCACCACCACCACGACCACGACCACGACCACGACCACGACCACGACCACCACCACCACGACCACCACCACCACCACCGCCACCGCCACCACCACCACCACCACCACCACCACCACCACCACCGCTACCCCTAGCGCTACCGCTACCACTATCACTACGACTACGACTCCTACTGCCACTTACTGCTACTGCTGCTGCTACTACTACTACTACTACTACTACTACTACTGCTACTGCTACTGCTACTGCTACTGCTACTACGACGACTACTGCTACTGCTACTGCTGCTGCTACTGCTACTGCTACTGCTACTGCTACTGCTACTGCTACTGCTACTGCTACCGCTACCGCTACCGCTACCGCTACCGCTACTGCTACTGCTCCTCCTGCTGCTGCTGCTGCTCCTGCTCCTGCTCCTGCTCCTGCTCCTGCTACTGCTACTGCTACTTCTACTTCTACTTCTACTTCTACCCCTACTACTACTACTACTACTACTACTACTACTACTACTACTACTACTACTACTCCTGCTGCTGCTGCTGCTGCTGCTACTGCTACTGCTACTGCTACTGCTACTGCTACTGCTACTGCTACCTACTACTTCTTCCTCTACTACAACTACAACAACAACTACTACTGCTACTACAGCTACTACTACTACTACTACTACTACCACCACTGCTGCTACTACCACCACCACTACTACTACTACTACTACTACTACTACTACTACTGCTCCCGCTCCCTCCCGCTCTCGCTCCCGTTCCCGCTGCCGCCGCCGCCGCTGCTCCCGCTCCCGCTCCCGCCACCACTACGACGTCTACTACTACTTCGACTACTACTACGACTACTACGACGACTACTACTACTACTACTACTACTACGACTACCACTACTCCTACTACTCCTAACACTCCTACCGCTACTACTGCTACTGCTACTGCTGCTACTACTACAAGTCACCCCCCGCCCCCCTCACCTGCAACTACGCTTGTCAAACCAGCGTTCTGGAAGCTCGAGCTGGTAAAGTCGACAAATGGATGTTTGTGGCAACAAGCAGTGGCCGGTCATTGCGAAAGAACTGCAACTACCGAGTAAGATGCACGTGCACGCAAGCGTGTCGTCATTACCCCCACCTCCACCCCCCACCCCTCGACCCCCCCGAACCTTTGCAAAATCCGACGCTCGAGTTTGCAAAGTCGACAAGTGGATTTTGAGAGATGAAGTGGTCGGACATTACGAATGTACCGCAAATACCGAGTAAAAATGGACGTGCTCTCAAGATGATTTAGAGGTAGGCGGGGCGTGCCTCCTCCTCGTGCTCCTACTACTACTACTACTACTACTACTACTACTACTACTACTACTACTACTACTACTACTACTACTACTACTACTACTACTACGACGTACTACGACGACTAGTTACTTGTGCTACCCACTACGATCTACCACTGCTACTAATTGCTACTGCCAGTGCCACTGCAACAGACGTGGCGCCGGGCACTGCTGCTGCTGCTGCTACTGCTTCAACTACGACCTCCGCGCCACTGCCACTGCTAAAACAACTACTACGTTACTACGTTACTACGCGACTATTGCCGACGTCGGCTTCGACTATTCGAGCCACACAGCCTTTTCTGTGGGATCTGTGCTGCGATCATGGGTGCTGCTCCTCCGTTCCCTTGTTGGAGCCTTGCGTCTCTTGGCGAAGACTCTCTCGAGCCAAGTGGGCTGCAAACTTCCGGGCCACGTCGTACCACAGAACAGGCTGAGTGCCATTCGTTCAAAGAGTCTCATGTGTACCGCTGCTCCTCCGCAGCAGCACGACGGCAAAACACTGAAGCAATTCAGTCTAGAGATCGGAATGTGTTTGAGCATAGGCTGGAGCGTCGGACACCATCATTAGCAGCACAGGTCAATAAGCATGGGTGTCTCAAGGAATGGATGTGCGACGGCCAGCCTAAAATGGACTGTGCGCTTGTAGGAACTGTACAGAACATCCGGCATTTTCGCTGGAAAGCACATAGCATGTCCGAGCTTCACAGCAGCTGCTCCAACGTTCTTACCATCTAGAATTTACAATACAAGCCCTAAGGATGGATAGCCCAAGATGGCTTTCCGAATGCTTCCAACGCTTCGACCGTCATGGAAAGCACTTCGCTCAAACAAAATGCCAGTGACCCTCCCTCTCCATCATCAATTTCTTATTTGACTGCATGAGCACAGCAGAATGCATGCCTGCTGCAGCCCGTTGCAGCTTGAGCGGGCATGCTTCAACAGCGGGAGAGTAGCACCAGCAGTCCGAGAAGCAAGCTTGGCACGGAAATAGCAGGCCGCGACCAACACGTTGGGAAGGTACCAGCCGGCCAGGAAGAGGCATGTGGACTCTGCTTGCCAGACAGTCTTTACTGGCATGTCCGAGCTTCACAGTACAGGCCTGACGGATGGATTACCCAAGATGGCATTCCGAATGCTTCCAACACTTCGACCGTCATGGAAAGCACTTCGCTCAAACAAAATAGTGGTGCCCAGCCCTCTCCGTTCATCAACTTCTTATTTTGACTGCATGAGCACAACAGAAGGCATGCCTGCTGCAGCCCGTTGCAGCTGGAGCGGGCATGCTTCCAAAAGCGAGGGAGTAGCACCAGCAGTCCGAGAAGCGTGCTTGTCACGGAAATAGCAGGCGGCGACCAACACATTGGGAAGGTACTAACCGCCAGGAAGACGCATGTGGACCCACCGCGCGAGAAGGCCTTTGCTGCCGAGGTATGAACAGATGCCGCGAGTCCCGACACCATCAAAGTGCACGAAACACATGCAACTACTAAAGCGTCTCAACAGGCTAAGACTAAGATGCAGAGACATCGTCCACGTGCGCAAAATGCTTGACTCAACGGGAGATTGAAACATATTTGTCTCCCGTAGCCATGGAGGAAAGAGAGAAGTTAGAGAATATGAAAACAGCTGGCAAAGAAACTGTACGCCTTGCCAGTTTGGCTGCCAAACAAACCAACGAGCGAGTCCACGAAGCCTTCCCTCTCGAATGGTCTCATGGGCCGGCTCGCTGGAAACCATCGACGCTCTCAATGCTGCCTCTGGTGCCACCAGGGCGTCTTGCGGAAAGACGAGGTGTCAACACAATGCAGAACTGTCGTTAGTCATTGAAACCTCGGGGATCGTGCACCTGCGTCACAGCATGTCGCGGCACTGTGACTGTGGGCATCTACCATGCTTGCTGTGAACGTAGTGGTGTAGCTACGCCAAACCGCTCAGACTAAAGTCGAATTGGAGGGGTTCCGAAATGACGTCTCAGCTCCCAAAGCTCAACCCATCTAAACACGGTGTCAAACACTACCCTTCCAGTGTCGACAAGCTCAGCAGCCTGTGAATTTATTGAGATACCTGTCCTGTGAACCGTCATGTCCAAGCATGGGCAATCACATGGGGATCGCCCGTGTCTGACCTACAGCAACATGGGCAGGAAGAAAAGACAACCCGAACTCAGTCCAGGATTGAAAATGTTAATGAGGCCGTGCACACCCCTCTGCCAAGGACCCGACAACTGACGATCTCATTATCGCGTCTGTCACCAGGCTCAGGGTGAATGCACAAATTACTCG